GGTATCGTTGTGAGGTTGGTGTTATGACATCGTTATGTCAGTATCGTTATGAGGTTGGTGTTATGACATCGTTATGTCAGTATCGTTGTGAGGTTGGTGTCAGGGTGTCGTTATGTCGCTATCGTTGTGAGGTTGGTGTCATGATGTCGTTATGTCGCTATCGTTGTGTGGTTGGTGTTATGACATCGTTATGTCAGTATCGTTGTGAGGTTGGTGTTATGATGTCGTTATGTCGGTATTGTTGTGAGGTTTGTGTCATGATGTCGTTATTTCGGTATCGTTGTGAGGTTGGTGTTAAGACGTCATTATATCAGTATTGTTGTGAGGTTGGCTGTAATGTTAGTAATGTGGTTACGCTTGTACTACTCTAGTGAGATATTTTCTTTGCAGAGAAATTACAGGAAACATATATCAAGAAATAAAAACAGCGCTACTTCAAAGTAGTTTTTTTCATATTAAAATTAAAACGCTAGACTTGCATGCACCAGCTTTATTATTCCTGGTTTCGAGTGGCTTACAAATCGCATGTGTTACTCTTCCGGGTTAGTGATGGATACTTTGGAAACGACTGCAGTTTTACATTGTACGAGAATCAGACGTGTTGGTTTTCACAATGTTTTCACAAACTGTATCTTGGCATGTTTTCAGCAGTTTAATTGGCTCCCGAACATATATTTTCTACTATTTAACATCTCGGTTAATTAACAAGATGTGAAGTTAAGTTACCACGCCTCTCTCATTTTTCCTCGTAGCTTTCTGCACCGTACTGAGATGACTGCACAATTTACTGACGTTTCGTGCATTGTCTCGGCTATAATTTACGTCATTCTTCATCAATAATAATTGAAACTGATTTACAAAGAAAGTTTGAAATTAAAAAAGTCTGTTTAATTACTTCACTTAAAATGTTTCTTAAGTGACTGTTGTGCAGTATAATGCATTTAAAATGAAATCATGCCCTACTTAGAGGGAACAATCATCTACCTAGAGGGAAACATCGTCTACCTAGAGGGAAACATCATCTACCTAGAGGGAAACATCATCTACCTAGAGGGAAACATCATCTACCTAGAGGGAAACATCATCTACCTAGAGGGAGACATCATCTACCTAGAGGGAAACATCATCTACCTAGAGGGAGACATCATCTACCTAGAGGGAAACAACATCTACCTAGAGGGAAACATCATCTACCTAGAGGGAGACATCATCTACCTAGAGGGAGACATCATCTACCTAGAGGGAGACATCATCTACCTAGAGGGAACCATCATCTACCTAGAGGGAAACATCATCTACCTAGAGGGAACCATCATCTACCTAGAGGAAACCATCATCTACCTAGAGGGAAGCGTCATCTACCTAAATGGAACCATCATCTACCTAGAGGGAAACATCATCTACCTAGAGGGAAACATAATCTACCTAGAGGGAACCATCATCGATCTAGAGGGAAACATCAGCTATCTAAAGGGAAACATCATCTACCTAGAGGGAACCATCATCTACCTAAAGGGAACCATCATCTACCTAGAGGGAAACATCATCTACCTAGAGGGAACCATCATCTACCTAGAGGGAAACATCATCTACCTAGAGGGAAACATCGAGGGAGACATCATCTACCTAGAGGGAAACATCGTCTACCTAGAGGGAACCATCATCTACCTAGAGGGAACACTCCTGTAGCTAGATGGAACCATCTTCTACCTAGAGGGAACCATCATCTACCTAAAGGGAAACATCAGCAACCTAAAGGGAACATCATCTACCTAGAGGGAACCATCAACTATCTAAAGGGAACCATCATCTACCTAGAGGGAAACATCATCTACCTAGAGGGAAACATCATCTACCTAGAGGGAACCATCAACTATCTAGAGGGAAACATCATCTACCTAGAGGGAAACATCATCTACCTAGAGGGAGACATCATCTACCTAGAGGGAACCATCAACTATCTAGAGGGAACCATCATCTACCTAGAGGGAGACATCATCTACCTAGAGGGAACCATCGTCTACCTAGAGGGAACCATCAACTATCTAGAGGGAACCATCATCTACCTAGAGGGAAACATCATCTACCTAGAGGGAACCATCGTCTACCTAGAGGGAACCATCATCTACCTAGAGGGAAACATCATCTACCTAGAGGGAACCATCATCTACCTAGAGGGAACCATCATCTACCTAGAGGGAACCATCATCTACCTAGAGGGAAACATCATCTACCTAGAGGGAAACATCGTCCACCTAGAGGGAACCATCATCTACCTAGAGGGAACCATCAACTATCTAGAGGGAACCATCATCTACCTAGAGGGAACCATCATCTACCTAGAGGGAGACATCATCTACCTAGAGGGAACCATCATCTACCTAGAGGGAACCATCAACTATCTAGAGGGAACCATCATCTACCTAAAGGGAAACATCATCTACCTAGAGGGAAACATCATCTACCTAGAGGGAACCATCATCTACCTAGAGGGAAACATCATCTACCTAGAGGGTACCATCATCTACCTAGAAGGAAACGTCATCTACCTAGAGGGAAACATCATCTACCTAGAGGGAAATATCATCTACCTAGAGGGAAACATCATCTACCTAGAGGGAAACATCATCTACCTAGAGGGAACCATCATCAACCTAAAGGGAAGCATCATCTACCTAGAGGGAACCATCATCTACCTAGAGGGAAACATCATCTACCTAGAGGGAACCATCATCTACCTAGAGGGAAACATAATCTACCTAGAGGGAACCATCATCTACCTAGAGGGAAACATCATCTACCTAGAAGGAAACATCGTCTACCTAGAAGTAAACATCGTCTACCTAGAGGGAAACATCAACTTCCTAGAGGGGACCCATCATCTACCTAAAGGGAAACATCGTCTACCTAGAGGGAAACATCGTCTACCTAGAGGGAAACATCATCTACCTAGAGGGAAGCATCATCTACCTAGAGGGAAACATCGTCTACCTAGAGGGAAACATCATCTACCTAGAGGGAAACATCATCTACCTAGAGGGAAACATCATCTACCTAGAGGGAACCATCATCTACCTAGAGGGAACCATCATCTACCTAGAGGGAAACATCATCTACCTAGAGGGAACCATCATCTACCTAGAGGGAAACATCAGCTACCTAAAGGGAACATCATCTACCTAGAGGGAACCATCAACTATCTAAAGGGAACCATCATCTACCTAGAGGGAAACATCATCTACCTAGAGGGAAACATCATCTACCTAGTGTGAGACATCGTCTACCTAGAGGGAACCATCATCTACCTAGAGGGAAACATCATCTACTTAGAGGGAACCATCATCTACCTAGAGGAAAACATAATCTTCCTAGAGGAAACCATCATCTACATAGAGGGAACCATCAACTATCTAAAGAGAACCATCATCTACCTAGAGGGAACCATCATCTACCTAGAGGGAACCATCGTCCACCTAGAGGGAACCATCGTCTACCTAGAGGGAACCATCATCTATCTAGAGGGAGACATCATCTACCTAGAGGGAACCATCATCTACCTAGAGGGAACCATCAACTATCTAGAGGGAACCATCATCTACCTAGAGGGAAACATCATCTTCCTAGAGGGGACCCATCATCTACCTAGAGGGAACCATCAACTATCTAAAGAGAATCATCATCTATCTAGAGGGAAACATCATCTACATAGAGGGAACCATCGTCCACCTAGAGGGAACCATCGTCTACCTAGAGGGAACCATCATCTATCTAGAGGGAAACATCATCTACCTAGTGGGAACCATCATCTACCTAGAGGGAACCATCAACTATCTATAGAGAACCATCATCTACCTAGAGGGAAACATCATCTTCCTAGAGGGAACCATCATCTACCTAGAGGGAAACATCATCTTCCTAGAGGGAAACATCATCTACCTAGAGGGAACCATTATCTACCTTGAGAGAAGCATCAACTACCTAGAGGGAGACGTCATCTTCTTAGAGGGAAACATCGTCCACCTAGAGGGAACCATCGTCTACTTAGAGGGAAACATCATCTACCTAGAGGGAACCATCGTCCACCTAGAGGGAAACATCATCTTCCTTGAGGGAAACATCATCTACCTAGCATAAGCCCTTGACTACGGTATCTAACAGATTAACAAGTAACAAACTAACAGGAACCATCGGCTATCCAACAGGAACTCTAACTACTTGCCTTGACCATCAGCTACCTAACACGGATTACCAACTACATACCAGGTACCTTCGACTAACTTACCCGTCCAACAACTACCTAACACGTACTACCAACTACATACCAGGAACCCTCGACTAACTAACCCGTCCAACAACTACCTAACACGTACTACCAACTACATACCAGGTACCTTCGACTAACTTACCCGTCCAACAACTACCTAACACGGACTGACAACTATATACCAGGAACCCTCGACTAACTAACCCGTCCAACAAATACCTCACTCGGACTACCAACTACATACCAGGAACCCTCGACTAACTGACCCGTCCAACAACTACCTAATACGGACTACCAACTACATATTCGGAACCTTCGACTAACTGACCCGTCCAACAACTACCTAACACGGACTACCAACTACATAATCGGAACCTTCGACTAACTGACCCGTCCAACAACTACCTAACACGGACTACCAACTACATATTCGGAAACAGACTAATTGACCCGTCCAACAACTACCTAACACGGACTACCAATTACATACCAGGTACCCTCGACTAACTAACCCGTCCAACATCTACCTAATAGGAAGCATTAACTAACATTATGTATCATACGAAGCTTTAAAGCTTGATAGCTCGCCCCTTAATCAATCGAATCACGTGGGTTCCACCTAATCCGACCAGAATATCAACACGAAACACTCACTCATCTATGACACAGAAGCAGCCCACTATCAACCGACTCATCAACTTCTCGTAAAGGAATCTCACAAGCGATTAAACAACCCTTAAAACTGTGCAAAGGAATTAAACGCGGAACCATCAAGCTTAATGATAGAACCGTCCTTCGGTAGAAGCTCCCTGATAGAACCGTCCTTCGGTAGAAGCTCCCTGATAGAACCGTCCTTCGGTAGAAGCTCCCTGATAGAACCGTCCTTCGGTAGAAGCTCCCTGATAAAGCATCCTTTGGTAGAAGCTACCTGATGGTTCCGGCCTTCTGTAGAAGCTGCCTGACAAACAGGCATTAATGGCTTTCTGATAACTTAGAAACTACTCTAGTATGTATACTTTAATAACAATCGGTCAGCCTAGCAGTAATATCTGATATTACTCTAGTATGGATACTTTGATAAAAACTCTGACAGCCCAGCAGTAAGGTCTGATACTACTCTAGTATGGATACTTTAATAACAATCGGTCAGCCTAGCAGTAATATCTGATATTACTCTAGTATGGATACTTTGATAAAAACTCTGACAGCCCAGCAGTAAGGTCTGATACTACTCTAGTATGTTCAATAAAAACTCGGACAGTTTGAAAGTAAAGACTTGCTGACAATGTTGAAACTACTGAAGTCTATTTGGCTAGGTGATGTCATCCAGGCAGTTTGGATACTTTGAGAATAATATCATATTCAAACCTATTATGATTATCGTCGAGATACGCCCGTGAGAAGCACGTGTTAAAATATTACTTAGTGACACTTGTCTGTGCTATGACATATTGCCAAACTATTTGAGGAATGTGTTAAGGCGTTTTGGTCTCGAGGTAATACAACGATCGGCCACAAGGTGTCAGTCAACAACACAATAATGACATTACAACATCGACTCTTTTATTGCTTATCGTTAATTATATATGGAATGTCTTACCTGGAGGGGTATTATATCTAATTATGGTGAACATTTTTGATCTGGTTAAAAAATAAAAAACATTCTGATTGGAGACTCTTGGTTGTTAACATATTTGACACTTTCACTTTAAGGAAGTTTAATGTTCATGAAGTGATTTACCAGATCATTGATATGTTATAGAAGAAAACATAAACAGGAAAAAAATGCCAATAAATGAATATGATAGCTTTAATTAGAAATTCCTCATATCCATGTGAATTGACGAGAAAGAAATGGCCTTTATCTGATAAACATACCCAATTGCCTCCTCTATAAGACGGTGAATTACAACATGCATGATTTGCCAATTAAAGTTCCTTACAATATATACATTTATTATCAATTATTTACACGTCATCGAAATCATGTCATTTTCATACAGCGTGTCATCATTGAAAATGATTCATCTAGCTGTGGTAGATTTATGGTATATTATGTAATGTTTCGTTCTGTATGGTGCTTTCCCTGTCATGTGTCGCAGTTTTATGTTCCCTGTCATGTGTCGCAGTTTTATGTTCCCTGTCATGTGTCTGTGTTATGTTCCCCTGTCATGTGTCAGTGTTATGTTCCCCTATCATGTGTCAGTGTTATGTTCCCCTGTCATGTGTCAGTGTTATGTTCCCCTGTCGTGTGTCAGTGTTATGTTCCATGTCATGTGTCAGTGTTATGTTCCCCTGTCTTATGTCACTGTTTGTAATATCCCCCCTTTTTGTGTCACGGTGTGTTATGTTTTCCCTGTAACGTGTCACAGTGTTATGTTCCCCTGTCATGTATCACTGTGTCATGTCTCTCTGTAGTGTGTGACGGTGTGTTATGTTTCCTTGTCATGTGTCAGTGTTATGTTCCCCTGTCATGTGTCAGTGTTATGTTCCCCTGTCATGTGTCAGTGTTATGTTCCCCTGTCATGTGTCAGTGTTATGTTCCCCTGTCTTATGTCACTGTTTGTAATATCCCCCCTATTGTGTGTCACTGTGTTATGTTTTCCCTGTAACGTGTCACAGTGTTATGTTCCCCTGTAACGTGTCACAGTGTTATGTTCCCGTGTCATGTGTCACTGTGCATGTCTCTCTGTAGTGTGTTACGGTGTGTTATGTTTCCTTGTCATGTGTCAGTGTTATGTTCCCCTGTCATGTGTCACAGTGTCATGCCCCCCTGTCGTGTGTCACGGTGTGTTATGTTTCCCTGTCATGTGTCAGTGTTATGTTCCCCTGTCATGTGTCACAGTGTCATGACCCCCTGTCGTGTGTCACGGTGTGTTATATTTCCCTGTCATGTGTCACAGTGCTATGTTCCACTGTCATGTGTCACTGTGTTATATTTCCCCTGTCATGTGTGACATTGTTATATTTCCCCTGTCATGTGTCACATTGTTATGTTCCACTGTCAGGTGTCACAGTGTTATGTTCCACTGTCATGTGTCACATTGTTATGTTCCACTGTCATGTGTCACAGTGTTATGTTCCACTGTCATGTGTCACATTGTTATGTTCCACTGTCATGTGTCACAGTGTTATGTTCCACTGTCATGTGTCACAGTGTTATGTTCCACTGTCATGTGTCACATTGTTATGTTCCACTGTCATGTGTCACAGTGTTATGTTCCACTGTCATGTGTCACAGTGTTATGTTCCACTGTCATGTGTCACAGTGTTATGTTCCACTGTCATGTGTCACAGTGTTATGTTCCACTGTCATGTGTCACAGTGTTATGTTCCACTGTCATGTGTCACAGTGTTATGTTCCACTGTCATGTGTCACAGTGTTATGTTCCACTGTCATGTGTCACAGTGTTATGTTCCACTGTCATGTGTCACAGTGTTATGTTCCACTGTCATGTGTCACAGTGTTATGTTCCACTGTCATGTGTCACAGTGTTATGTTCCACTGTCATGTGTCACAGTGTTATGTTCCACTGTCATGTGTCACAGTGTTATGTTCCCCTGTCATTTATCACTGAATGTTATATTTGCTATTATCATGTATCACTGTATATTATGTTTCCCCGATCACTTGTGTTTTCAGTTGTCATGTGTCACTGCGTGTGTTTTAACCCCTTACATGAATGTTTATTGCAATGAAATGAAACACCTACATATTGAATTTGGAAAAATACTGTTTAAGTTTATATTGATGAATATTGTGTGACCTTTTACATCATTAGGTCAGCACGTGACCTTTATATAGGAATCAGTTTAATACTTATTAAAACATCAGGTAAGATAAATATTATATAAATACTGACCTCGAGATATAAACTTTTGTTTTTATTGTTAAAAATATATGAAGCGTTATGAAGTATTTTTCCCGGTGATTATAACAAAAGTGGTAATATATTCATTGTTGTTATAACCAATTGATAATCAGATTTAACATTTAAGTGACATTACATACATTTTTTTTTAAATTCACTTACACAAGAAGTCCAGATATGAACATAACGAGATATCTTTAGATTAAATTTAATTGCTGATTAAGGAGCGATGAAAGATTTGAGTTTACCTCTTCACGCTGTAAGATAGAACTTTCCCCCTCCTTCTATAGCGTTACTGATTAATGCCCGGGAACAGTTGCAGTTCACACTTTCTCAAACATTCTTAATTTTGATTTAATTGGAAAAATGTCAATCTCAGCAGGGGATAATTTCATTTCATCAAAAATCTAATTTATTTAATTAAAATTCTATTATAGAATTGTGATAGCCACAGCGAGGTTAAAACCAATATTAGCTGTGTACGGAGATCAACAAAGAAATGAAGGGAACAAAAATCGTGGATTCAATTATAATAGTGAGTTGAGGTGAATAGCTGCCAAACTAATTATCACTACAGTAGGCAACACGGCTGTATTCTCAAAGGTGACAAATATCTTATATAATTAATGCAGGTTTGAGAAATGTGTGAAATAGAACACAAACAATCCTTAAAATCATCTTTATATGAAAAGATAGACAGTTTCTGTTTTTGTTGTGGTACAACTTGGTATTTTGTAAAAATTACATAAGTGTGAAAAAAAAATTAATATTTTTATAAAATTTCTATTGAAAGTGATTTCAACGTTCACTAAAATCTCTTCGTGTTACAAATAATTTAGACTTTATGTGAAGGTCAAATGTCAGGTGGATGTTACAAAATAATTTAGACTTTATGTAAAGGCCAAATGTCAGGTGGATGTTACAAAATAATTTAGACTTTATGTGAAGGTCAAATGTCAGGTGGATGTTACAAAATAATTTAAACTTTATGTGAAGGTCAAATGTCAGGTGGATGTTACAAAATAATTGAGTCTTCAAAGAAAGGTTAAAGGGCAGGTGAATATATACCAAATAATTTAGACTTTTTGTGAAGGTTACAGTAGGTGGGGATAAACCTTGTATTTCATATATACCAATTTTTTTTGGTAAAGGTCAAACGGCGAGTGGATGTTACAAAATAATTCGGTCAGTTTGTATAATAGTCACACTTAGGTCTAAGTGCTCGTGAGTATTTACACAATGTACGAAACCCTTAAATTGTTACGAGAATATTGAAGTACGTGTGATTTAACGAATGTTCATTTATTTTTTATTCCAAAGATGTTCGTTTAAACGATTGGATCATTTCCGTACATTCTGCGAATAACTCAGACTGACTGGGACATTGAAAAAATGATTAAAAAAAACCCGGACTAACAAAATGATCAGCATTGCCAGTGCGGGTAGACTGCCTGGTAATAAATGTGCAATAATTCAATTACGGAATAAAAGGAATTGATTTATAGAGAAGATATTGATCTTAAATCAGGTGGTAATGGGAAACGCAGGTGTTCAATAAAAAATATATGATACTTCAGTGACGCTGTCTCAGTTGGTTACAACAGACTGACTTCGTAAGGGGTACATGTATACTGAAAGGTAACGTCAGGTATCACAAGAATAACGGCATCGTCTCACCGTATTTACTGGTCATTGTCGTTCAGACGTTGTGTTCCATGATCTTGCCTTATAAGGATGTACTTTTGTAATGTCTGATCGTTCAGACGTTGTGTTGCATGATTTTGCCTTATAAGGATGTACTCCTGTAATGTCTGACCGTTCAGACGTTGTGTTACATGATCTTGCCTTATAAGGATGTACTCCTGTAATGTGCTACATGATCTTGCCTTATAAGGATGTACTCCTGTAATGTCTGACCGTTCAGATGTTGTGTTACATGATCTTGCCTTATAAGGATGTACTACTGTAATGTCTGACCGTTCAGACGTTGTGTTCCATGATCTTGCCTTATAAGGATGTACTCCTGTAATGTCTGACCGTTCAGACGATGTGTTCCATGATCTTGCCTTATAAGGATGTACTCCTGTAATGTCTGACCGTTCAGACGTTGTGTTCCATGATCTTGCCTTATAAGGATGTACTACTGTAATGTCTGACCGTTCAGACGATGTGTTCCATGATCTTGCCTTATAAGGATGTACTCCTGTAATGTCTGACCGTTCAGACGTTGTGTTCCATGATCTTGCCTTATAAGGATGTACTCCTGTAATGTCTGACCGTTCAGACGTTGTGTTCCTTGATCTTGCCTTATAAGGATGTACTCCTGTAATGTCTGACCGTTCAGACGTTTTGTCCGACTGGAAGTGGAACAATATTCAATATAAAATGAATTCCAACATGATATTTTGAATTTATACCCAATTTTACATCATTAAAGTTTATTTTTTCATGATAAATTGTCTTGATGAAAAGGAGAAAAATATTTTTAAAGAGTGATTCTAAAATGATACAGAATGTCTGTTATTCAGGTAAAAGATTTTTTCACAAATTGTGACGTCTGTATTGCAAAATTAATTACAACTTATTGATTTAAAAAAAAATCACTTCTTAAATTTGTCTTTCAAATACACTGTACTAAGCCTCAGAATAAAAGTTTAAAATCGTACTTTATTTGCTTCACAGTGGAGTATACCCTTAAATACTTAGCTATATATCTGGATATAACATTCTGTAAACAGTCTGAAGATTCATTTAGAAGTTTAGTCTTTTTATGTTTCAAGATTCTACAGTCGCGACTTCACCAATTTGATATGTTATTATTACATTTCTGTCGGTGAAATATTGAGAAATATCTCATTGATAAGGATGTTATTTTTCCCAAACACAATTGCAGACTTACTCCAATGAAAAGAGAGAACACAAGTCATCTAATAAAATTGACAAATCATAAAGCCCGGTACAAAAAAAACATAAAACCAGACATCTGAAGGTGTTGTTTACTGTGACATGACCTTCAATTCTACGGTAAAGTCAGCAAACAACGCAAGGAAAATTACGTTATCAAATCCAATCCCGAACCGAACATATTGAATGTGGAGCTATTTAGACATTTCAAGGGGATTCGTGTCATCAACATATATGCTGCCACCATTTTTTTTCAGTCGCGTAGTAACTTGTCCCAGACTAAACTCTTTTTCAACATTTTACAACAAATTTTTCTCTTAGTGACATGAATAAGTAACATTTTTTATGTGCATATGAAAATAAATTCATATCGAAATCTATTTTTGTGTTTACATGTTTTAATTATTAAACAAAGGACTATATTTTATCGCGCACTGGGAAGTGATAATGAGTGAATAGGTTTTACGAAAAGCCTAGTCAACTTCCATGTTTAGATTTGTTCTAAACATGCCAGTAATTCGACTATTATGCTTGTGAAAATCTAATGAATAGAAAACATAACAGTGCCCTCAGTAATAACAAACATATTTCACTTGTGTGTTATATACTTTCGTATCTTTCACTCGCGCAGCATGCTCGTGATAGATTGCAAAATACTACACACATGAGTGAAATATATTTGTTATTATTAAAGACATAATTAAATATCCTCTCTGTCTATATATATAGAGAGCATTGATAATTAAAAACTGAAACCCGAATGACCCCGTGGCAAATCGGCATAAAGGTTGTAAATCACAAAAGATGAAGCCGAACGCAATCAAAGAAAGACAACTCCTATTGCAGAAATAGCAAAAAGTATATTATAGCGCTGCATCCGGTCTCGAAGTCATGCTGACTGTGAACAATACATTTTATCTTACCAGAAATATATCTTATATATATGAATATTTTCCATTTTGTTCTGTATATAAAAAATTACAATATAATATCATAAAATTAATGAGCCCTTCTCTTGTTACAAGTTTTATTTACAGTCGAACTGTGATGTAAGAACAATACGTTTACACTGTGTATAATGTTACAGAAGTTAACGTTCTATCGTGACGTACCAAATCAACCTCGTGCTCCGAGTCTACTGTGATTTGAAATTCCCAAACAATAGTGTGTATGCTTTATTTCTATATATTTACATCACAAACGATGACGAATAAATCTATAAAAGTACATAATTTATTCTTGAAAAACAACATTTCCATGTGAAATATTTCTCCCGTGGTGATTACCACGAAATTGGCGATAATGGCGAAGGTTTGAAACAAGGTAACATTGAGTACAAAAATATCCTGCAAATGTTTTATAATCCTAGGCCTGTGTATCAGTTTAAATACCAACTTATTACCCTGTAGATCGAATTATAAACATGTATTTATACAAACCTCTCAATCCGTCAATAGTTTTGCTCCTCTCAATCCGTCAATAGTTTTGCTCCTCTCAATCCGTCAATAGTTTTGCTCCCCTCATAGATTAGTTCCCCTCTATCTGTCAATAGTTTTGCTCCCCTCTTTATGTCAATAGTTTTGCTCCCCTCTATCTGTCAATAATGTTGCCCCCCTCTCAATCTATCAAGTTTTGCCTCCTCAATCCGTCAATAGTTTTGCCCCCTCCACAATGTTGGCCTGCAGTATGACAAGTAAAACGTTACATTACTTTAACATCTTATGATTTATATGTAAATATTGTGTTCTTTATCATCAAGTCTCACAATAGAAATAAAACGATATTTTGCAAATATAAATTTCTGGCTTTAGAAAAGGAAAAGACAAATGATTAAGCAATTTAACAAAAGATTTAGTTTTAGTTAAGTGTATGTGGCTGAGTGATATACCAATGTTTTACACGATCTTCATTCGAGTAAAAACTGTTAATCTAAAATCGAACTACAAGGTCAACTACGCTGTCAACAAACAAACAAACAAACAAACAAACAAACAAACAAACAGTCAACATGCTTCATAGTTGTATTGACAATTTATACAAAATCATGTTTGGTAGTTATGTTTGTGTTTTCTTTCACATTGACAAACCATGTTTGATAGTATGTTTGTAAAAGCTGGGTTGTAAATTTTGTTAGTGACCACAATAGGCTAAAGTAATGTCACCAACACCTAGTTCATTTCTGTTAATGATCACAATATGCCGAAGTAGTGTCCGCAACACCTGGTTCATTTCTGTTAATGATCACAATAGGCTGAAGTAGTGTCCGCAACACCTGGTTCATTTCTGTTAATGATCACAATAGGCTGAAGTAGTGTCCGCAACACCTGGTTCATTTCTGTTAATGATCACAATAGGCTGAAGTAGTGTCCGCAACACCTGGTTCATTTCTGTTAATGATCACAATAGGCTGAAATAGTGTCACCAACACCTGGTTCGTTTTACTGGATCTCCTCCAATTTCAGCCACAAATGTGTAGGCTTCAAAATGTTTTTATCTTCTAATTTCGGTGGAATCTGTGAACAAAGATTTCAAACATTTGAGCCATTATCTGAATAACATTTTTCCACGATAAAAAGTCATTTTGATTTCATTGTGTTTGTGAGATTAACGTTTTATACAATTGGTAAATGTTTTTTATTTGAACGACACATTGTAAAATCGACTGAAAATAAACAAATTCCCCGAGTTTGATGTTTTTTATCAATTAAGACTTATATACACTTTAAGGGATTAATCCTACTTCCGGTATCTTTACGTACGTCAGTTTTGTCGCTGACACATAACCGGAAGTTGCGTACTAGATAAGCAGTTGCCATCTTTGCCTCCATTAAAGCAAGCCTCATGCCGATACAGATTCTGGGACCATACCCAAAAGGTAGAAAATCCAACGGATCATGGTTTTCTCTCTGGGATGCCGAAAACCTGTCAACAAAATCTCGAATTAATTTTGATCAAATCTGGTACATTTTCCACAACTCCTTAAAGAAATCTTTGTGCATTTAATCTAAATACTCTCAAATGAAAATAATGAAATATTTCAGGAAGACAATACTACAGACTTGAATATACTGATTGAATAGATTTGTTTTCAACGACGCATTCCACGGACGATATATGTGATTGTTTTACAGATAAATACTTGGTCTTTACCAGGTAGTCCATAACGACAAAACTGTAACAATTCGACCGAATGACAAGCCCTGGCTCAATTCCGACTTCCGACGAGAAATTAGGAATAGAAACAGACAACTTAATAAATTCAAAACTAATCGTTCTCCAGGCAATCTGACTAATTCCGGAAACAACGTAATTATGTAAATAATCTAAAGACAACTTCTATTAGGGCATAAATGGTATTTTAGATTGTTCTTTTAATTTAGACCACAGCAAAATTTTGGAAAATTGAATCCGTTTGAATTATTACAGGTTTACCAGCATATAGCAGCAGAGAATCTATCTATATCGAAAATGGTTAAGATTCGCTATCCGGACGAAGCTTTACAAGAAAACTATACCTATTCTACAAAATAAGTGATCAACCTACATCTTGTTATCTATCCTCTTTATTGCTTCCTTTAGTAACAAAACAACTCGCAACATAACATCCGGGATGCACAAAACTAATCTTTGGGAAATTTTCGTCTACAACTTACGAAATTATTCTTTTTCTCTTCTATTATACGACTTTAGAACCAACTTGACCTTGACATTAGACATAGCGTTTCTTATCACTCCTTTTTAATCCATTCGAACCCCTGTAATAGTTCCAATATATTATTGATTGGTGATCGGAAAGCTAACATACTGCACGCTCGACTAAGAAACAGTTCCAATACTTTAAACAATGACAATGTCAGATCCAATTTACTTACCACTACTGCGAACTAAATCATTTTGTCCCACTATACCTGCAGTCTACTACTACAAGATAATGATAACTACTCAAATAAAGATAATGTAAAGCTATGTCAAATCACTCAGCAATATATGCTTAACTCTAACAGATTTTTATATATGTATGTATGTGCAATTTTGTTCTAAACATGTCGTTTTGCCTTAACATAAGTTGGAAAACTTGTGCCCGATCCCAGTGTTATTGTAGCAATAAGATTTATTTACATCAACCGAGAAAAAGCTTGCCATGTAAATATTGGCTAATCCAGGCAAGTAATGATACGTTTCCATATGAGAACAATGAATTCAACAACGGAACCAACAAGAAAGCTAACGAACATCAGCCACATCCAGCTTCATATCACACCATGAAATATAACGTTCTTAATGTGATCGTTATGACAAACGTAAAACTTCCTGACACAAAAATGCATTAATCTATCATCTGATCTGATATATACTCTTAAACTCTTAAACAACTTTTTGCAGCTGTATTCTGCGATCTGTAAGCTTTACCTTTCTGGATTGAAAATGTCCGGTTTCTCCCAAACTTCCGGATCATGGTGCATCGCATATATGGGTACAGTTACCACCATCCCAGCTGGAATTGTGATGTCCTTAACCTTTGTCGTTTTTGTACACTTTCTGTTCATCCTATTAAAATGAATTCATTGGAAATAAGCGAGTCAGGCAAATTAATTACAATTAGCTTAATAGCAATAATTTATAACTTATAAAAGAAGTATTGATCAGGATTTTTCAGGACCTTGGAGAAATTCTGTTGATGCACTTGAACTGAGCAAGACACTAAACCTTTATCTTAAGTGTAAAGGTGATCACTGAGGCATGGCGAAACTCATATAGTATCTAGGAAGTAACCAACCTCATTGCTGGAGGATATATTCGCAGCGTCTCGTTAATACACATGTCGAGATATTGAAGTCTTTTGATGTTCTCATAGTCGATATCTTCCTGTAGTAAATGAACATAACGTCTGTTCATCATATCACAAAATTTTGTAACAATCCAACACTCTAAAATAAGCACAAAGCACAACATCTTCGCCGAAATATTACATTGATAATTCAAATTTTAAAGTTTAACTTATTTTAAAGAAATATATGTAGTTTGCAGTTGAAGTGAACTCGTTTAAATGTAAGGCAGATTTAATATAAAAATTGTATCTCTCAGCGAAATACTCGATATTCTCAATAATTCCTATAACTTACTGATCCAATCTTTTCCTCGATTTCTTTACGTAACTTGTCCTGACATTCTGGATTCGTAGCGAGGTTGTATGCATTCATCGTCAGTGTTATAGCCGTAGTTTCGTAGCCCGCAACAAAGAACAATTGTGAATTTCCGAGGATTTCCTCAAACGTCAGAACTAAAACAGAGAGTACACCATTTTGTCATCATAGTATCATCATCTATCAAACATTTCGCTACATACAAAAATATATGTAGAAAAGTAGTATAGGTTTTAACGTTTAAGCACTAAAAATAATCTCCAACAAGTAGAAGGTTGGAAGAAATAAAATGTGTTTAAAATGCATTTTTATATGCTTACGATAGTGACAAATATGGCTGCATTAACATGTGTGGATCAACTATACTAAATACCTTTGTTTTGTTTTGGTAAACTGTCCTCTCCATCCGAATCCTGATCTTCAGTTTCCGTTTTACCTTCCTGGGCGTCAATCACTAACTGGAGAAAATCCTTTCGACCTGTCTACAATGTGACAGTTTAACATCAGAAAAAATATCATATGTTGACATAAACAAGATAAATGTATATACCTAGTTCGTTTTTTTGTTTTTGTTACACGATTATTCAATCTTTCAGATGAAGTTTTCTGTTCTCATTGGTGGAATGCTTCAAAAGGGTGAAAAAGTGGGGAAAAAAACAAACAATAGAAATGATATTTTAAATTTCATCAAAGAGTTACACGTTTACCAATTAGATATGTACCTATGTTCCACTGATGAAAATACGGTACAACATGTTTCATAATTTCTGTAACGAGATGACTGCTTATATCATTGAAGGAACTACCGATTTCCAAATTCTAGTATACATAACAAAATTTCTACAACATAACGGTCTATTAATTACACTAGATATCTAAAATTTATAAAATACTTAGTAAAGGTAAAGCGCTCAGCTAAAACAAAATACTTTCTGTGGTTGCCTCCTCGGTTTCCCCTTATGTGTCTGATTTATACAAATAATCACTCGCTTTAGACAACACAAATCTAATTGGTGTAATTTCAAGTATAGAAACAACATTTATTTCATTTCAGAATATTTCATTGATATAAACAATCAATAGGATTAGACAGCAGGCTAGTGCCTATATAAGTCTTCTCTCAAGACAACATGGTGATCAAACTTAGACATAATACACCATAAACATACATACATACATACAAACAACCAAACATACATTACACACATACAAACCTTACATCACATACAAACAATCATAAATTTTGTGTTGACAGACAAATCAATTTTAAATTGTGGGAGACAACATTTATATATTTACGGATAATCCTCATGATTCGTGGACGATACCCGACATGTAAAGTTTGGTCAAGTAAACTAATGTAGCGTTCCCAAATGAGAACAATGTAAACAACAATGGAACCAAAAATATACTACCAATCATCTAGCATGTCTAAATTCATATCGATTAAATAAGATATTTCCAAATGAGATAATTATGGCGACCTTAAAACTTCCCCATAATCTTTATCAACCAAGCGTAACGTAGGGAACAAGCGTTTGAATATCTGATCAACTAAGGCACATAAACATTGGTTTGAGCATAACAAATATATCCCTTTTTCCCTTCTGTACCTGCCTGTTCCGTCTCCTCTCTTCCAGTAACTGGATGGTGAGTTTGCGGAAGTAAGCCATGCTGTCTTTTGGAAAGAGACATACTCCTAATTTCATTAACAGGGGTCTTAACGCAGGAAAGAACACTAAGAATGACAGAGAAAAGCAACGAAAACAATGGTACTTCAGCCAGACTCATGTTCTTACTGACATGTCTGAAATCATATAAACAAATAAGATAATTCATTAAATACTTGCTATCATTATTCTCATCTACATCATTTTCTGGAACAACAAAAATGGAATTTTGACACAATTGTAGGGGATGATATAAACAACAAATAAACAGATAAATTAAGTATTATGTATTAGAAAAATACTCTTTTCACTATTCGCCTAAATGTGTCAAAAATCGACATGATCTGGAATCTAAAACTGAAAATCGAACATTTCCAGAAAAGCGATATAGGAAAGAAAATAAATGCATGGATACATTAGATGCGGTAGAGGAAAATGGCATCAGGTTTTCCTAAAGGGGAAGCGTCTTCTACTTCATCGTTGACACTGACCATATAAATTCTGGCTAGTCCTAATAAGGAAAGACAATTCCGATAAAAACCAAAATATACGTATTTTAATTGTTATCAAAGTAGAAACGTTTTTAGAAGTTTAGGATATATTTTTTTATACGAGTTGCTACATTTTTTTATAAAACAAGAAATTTTGTTGAAGAAGTATTTTACATATTACATACACACAAGAAGCATCCAAGGTTTTGTTAATGAAACATCGAACATCTTCTTGGCGTGTTTCACGAAGAGGTCATCTGGATTACCCTGGGAATCCACTTGAATACCAAAGGCAGTGGAACTAATCACATCCATTGTGAATCCGGCAAATAGTCTAACAAATGAGAGAAAACCGTTAAATAATGCTTACATCGTCATTGTAAATCAGTAATGAATCAATCTGCTAAAAATGTTTTCATGCATGCAGCATGGCATGACAGAACAATACATTGAGGAGCTCACTGTTTGTTTAAAGATCACTGTTTGTTATATGTCGATGACAAAATACCATCATTGTCAGTATCATTTTTTCCTGTAATATGATTCCTTGATCATTATGCTTTGAACCTCTGATTGCTATACTGACCAATAACTATCACTGTGTGGTTGATATTCATACTGAAATTGTTTGTTAAATCATGCATGAAACGTAAGGAAGCTGATCACCAAGGCCTTGACAATTTTAAAAGTAGAATGCAATAGATTTATGAATTAAATATGTAATAAATACATATGAATTATGAAATCGGTCGGGTACTGATAATGTATCACTTCCAATAAAACCAGTCATGTTTTTGTGTAAAAATGTGAAATTGAGCAAACAAAACAGAAGCTTGAAATCAGCATTGATTTATACTGTGTCTTTATTAAGTCATGAGGGAATATCCGGTGGAAAAGGCCACGTGGTTTCACTTCGTATTAAACAATGAATTACAAGTAAATCAAAAATTGAAAATGCATGGTACTTTAACTTCATTTAATGAAGTCTGAGATTAATTAATTCAAATATGAAAAGATATTTTCAGCTGGAATTGTTTTGCCCTTTAGTTAAATTTAACTGTATACCGGAATATTTTCGCCCCAGACTTTTTCGCCTTATGTTTATTGTACATTCTGAGGATCATATAAATATTATATATATGTATAACATATTCGCTTTCTCTGTTCATGGACAAAAGGTCGACGAAACACGAAAATCAACATAAATAGTCAGTTTTGAAAAACCGAACAAATGAAAAAAATTGACAATTTCACATTATGTGTACATGATTCGGAGTGCTGTAAACCCATAATTTGAAAACAAACGACTGGTAGTTTACTGATACTTATACACAGGTCAGTATAGGGTGTCCATTTTATCATGACATTAAACAAAAATGATAATAATTAAAAAAATCAATAAGAAAATCTAATATATAATTATTTGTTTGGTATTGTAATAATACTAACCTTATAAAGTATCTTAACTCGTGTCGATGTAAATATGTGGATTCATTAAAATCAGTTCAATAATTTGATACGTCATTTAGACATAGTTACGAATTAACAGGTCAGATATATTCATTGTTGTTTTTCATGCGTTCATCATTGCAGGAGCGAATGTTGAATTGCTGTAATTTGTGACCGAAATGACTTGTATTCTTCAAACGTTTTTTAATTTCTTTTTTTAATTTTTTTGTTTGTTTGTGCAGGTTTGCTTTGTTTTCTTTTAAAACCAGGTCTTTCATAACCTAATCAAAGCACTTTCTGTTGTACAATGTTTGAATATACCTTCTCATTTCAACTTGACCATTGTCTCCTGTCTTCATTGCATTCCGTGACGTTTTCACCAGAGTGTTACAAGTCTCCTGAATTAACGGTATCATCTAAAAATAGAACATACTGCGATCAGATATAATAGACAAGTAATGATCTAATCAAATAGATACTAAACATAGTCGCGAATAATGAAATATCAACAGTGAAACTTGATTTATTTCACTTTATTCCAAACAACCTACCTGACGAAGTTTTCCCGAAGAAAATGTTGGAGTGATGGTAGCTCTGTTATGTTTCCAATGTTCCCCCTTGACGTTTGTCAGTCCTTGTTCCAAATCTCCGACGAATCCGTCGAGTGTCTATAAAGCGGAATCACTTCGCTTCACAATAAATTCAAAATCGACCAAGAAAAGGTATACTTTTAACTATCAACGAAATCTATCAGATACCATTTAATATTATTTGAGTCTTAACATTAGTCCACATCTGTGACTTGAAAAAATCAATTGCGTTCCAGATAACAAGACCAGAAACCAGGGTTACGAGGTGCACACGCATATAAATATATTCTATTATTGGTGATTAAATGTTGATGACGTAGGAAGAAACGTCGTAATCAGAGTATATTAAAACTGGATTATGGTTGTCTCGTTTTTAAAAAAAGCTGAATATATGTTTCCCCTGGAAACCATCAAGAAAATAATGACATGAACATGAAAAGAATCACTCTCAATCAATATTTAATCAATTTCACCTCAGCTTGTGTTAGTTTGATAGTACGAATGCTTACTCTTCTATCCGAGAAGTTATTGAACTGCTTCACGAGAATTTCCCTTAGCATTTCTTTATCTGCAACGACTAAATTCGTACACATCACATCGAAATGTCTACAACAAGAAAACAAGACAAATGTATATCAAGCATAGGTTAATGTGAAATAAACTGACGATGTGTCAACGGTTCAGAGGTATTTTATCACATCTGATATAAAATACGTACCCAAACACTTTCCCATATTTCTTTATAGCTTTCTGATCAAAAGCCCTGAAACCCTACAAGAAGGAAAGAGACTGTGAAAGATAACGCTATCAACTTGTCAAAGAAATCAGTTAAAATACAAAAGCAGTAATACGCACAGAAAATATACATTACAAACGAGTACTCTTGGTGTGATAACGTTGGAGGCGATCCACTTGTCATCATTCATATATACAAATGTTCCATTTAATGTTTCAGTTTTAAAAAAATTGATACAGATTCACAAATTTGTATGCATTTCATGATAACTCCCAGACAAAAAAGTTTCGTAAGCACAGGTCGATCGAAGAAATATTTCATTTTGAAATTGAACACCATCTAATAGTAAAGAAATCCCTAGCCATGTCTGATACCTGTCCATGGACACATCGCACCCAACGTATGATTGGATTGTATAAAATAGTTTTTTCAATGCTTGAAATGTTTCTCTTGAGTTCAGTATCATCGCTCAAGCTTATTTTTATGCCCCTGCCGATCTGAAATTTTATCTATAAGTTCATATTATGTTTAACTTTCTAAGAGAACATATGAAAGAGGAAAAAGATATTTTGTAATTATTTTCACAAAAATTAATATATATTGATATACGATTAATTAAACATGTTTTGCTGACATTTGATACTCTCCTGTATAATGAATTAAGGATTTGCTCTTTAAACGTTTATCGGAAATATATTTCAAATAGATTAACAGGTAAATCTTAACAAAACAATTAATCTTTTCAGGTAATGATGTCGTAATCTAGACATTCTATCTAACTTCTATCTGTTCAGGTATTGATATCGTAATCTAGCCATTATATCTAACTTCTATATGTTCAGGTAATGATGTCGTAATCTAGACATTCTATCTAACTTCCATTTTTTAAGGTATTGATATCGTAATCTAGCCATTATATCTAACTTTTATCTTTCCAGGTAATGATGTCGTAATGTTGACATTCTATGTAACTTCCATCTTTTCAGGTAATGATGTCGTAATCTAGACATTCTATTTAATTTCCGTACTTAAAGAGATATTCATTGCTTGAACACCAAACTGAAAACTTAGATAAATTGAAATATGTCCACGTCACGTTCTCAAATGACAACCAATAAATGTACAGGATTTCTTTATACCTCAGACACCATGGCCATCATGTTTCCGACGATTGGTCGCGGTGTCGGTCCTGGAATCCCCATCCGTCTAAATGTCCAGAAGTCACGACTCATCAAACTAAAATTAACAGACCAAGGTTCGGACGTATCAAACAAATCCAGTTATGTAGTTTCTATATCTACTTCTCTGTATTGTGCTTTGTTCCGAATTGATGCTGAAAATTGGCCACTGCTATATTGCTTGAACACTATGAAAAATCTACGAATAACACATTATTCATATACTCTTTATTTATACTTTCCGCTTAATGTTTCTATCCTTGAAAATGTTAGCTTTAACCGTCACATCCACCTACAGAGTATAGCATGCCACCTGACACTCTTATCGTTACAAAGTGGGAGGAAAAATTTTTGGATTTGAGATCATTTCAGGTCTTGGTGGTTTATATTTTTGTACAGGAAAAATGGAAATCAGTATCCATCGTATACTACAGAGTATAACATGGAACAAACCTGTAATCGATACTTTTCTATAGCTAGCTGACAAATTATTCTAAATATATATTGTAACGCCATTATGTAAATCTGTGGAAAAATAAATGAAAAGACAATTGTGTTATCGAGCAAATGTTAACATAGGTATATCGTGTTCATATCACTTGTAATACAACGGTGTCAGGATATTTCAACACACGTTTATATACTTACAACGTATAAAGAAGGACCATCAACAGAATCAGAATGACCCACAAGGGCACATCTATACCGATGATCTCCATTTTGTTGTCGGCTAGGTCCTTCACGAACACTATTGTGGCATGTGTTCTAGTTACCTGTCCGCGTCTGTTTGTACAACATGAGCTGGTAACCGCTGATATCAGCACAGCTACCTTAGTATGTGACGAAGTGATAATACTACAATCTACACAGGTATATATTCTAATGTTAAGTAAAACTTATGTAACAATCTAATGCATTCGCTGGATGAATTTAATCAGTCAGAATTAAACAAATTCCAAAGTTTCCAAACCTGATCCTCTAAAAATTAAAATCATATTAGAAAACTCAGTATTTTGGAATCTAAAAATTCTGCAATTCTGAAATGTGAATGGTATTTTGGATAGGATGATGTAATCGCCGATGTTTATACATGTTAAAATGCTAGTTAAACAACATTTCACCTGAAATGCCACAGCCAATATAACTGAGAGTGGTTTGTGGTTGACATAAGTTAAAATCAACACTGTTCAGACAGCGATAACATAACATCAAGACTAATATGAATTGAAATCAAGCCTACGATAAACAGATAAATTATATTTCATGAAATAAATACATTTGTGTTAGATGGTTACATTATATATTCCTGTATATATGTGTATAAATTGTCATAATCCTACAGATGTTCTTCACATTATATGTGTTATGTAAGTTGGCTCTTGCATAATTTTGTTAGGTTGGATTAAGATCTTGAACTCTGACCTCTGTGACTATCTGTTACCCTACGTAGTTTGTATCTCGTGTTGTTTGGATGTTATGTGTGCACGAGGGCCGTGTAGGTCAACTCGCTATGCGGTCATGGTTTTAGCTTGACCAGTCAGCATGGGCAGTTTACGTGATCACCGGCAGTAGTCGTGATGCTATGCAGGCCTGGATTGACCAATCAGCAAGGTGCTCACCTCCTAATAATTTTTTTACCGCATCATATCTTTATCACTACTTATAATTTTTCTGCTGCTGTGATTAAGTTTGATATCTTTCGAAGTCCCACCCTTGCCACACTCCCACATTTTGTCTTGAGCCAGCTTATATATCCATGGTTTTGTGTTATTTAAACTTATGTTTGTATGCCGATAATTTGTACCCCACCATTTTGTTGTACATATAGACTGAAGTTAATATCATACAGATCTATATATTATATAACAACATTGATTGATATTATGGGTGTATTTGAAATGTTACTGTCATTTAATAAATGACCATTTGACAATATTTCTTTTCTGTGTTGTTTTTTGTTCGTATGATATGTACAACAAATAACAAGCTGCAGTCTTTGAGCTGGGTTACCATGCTAACACAAATACTAATATCAACCTCTAGCATACACTATCCGCTTTTAACGCTAAATGTTATCTAACATTAACGGTAAAATTATTACATGATTACAAATTTTCTGTAAGTCATATTTTAAGGTCAATATCAAACATGTGTAAAACAAATACAGAAATACTGAAATTCATTATGGTTTTCCACTTGTATTTATTATAATAAAATGTATATACATAAAATATGCTTCATTCTAAATTGTGGATGGATGTTTGGAAGTTTGGACCGATTCCTTATAAAAATAATTTTCACAATCAAAAGTATGCCTTTCACCACGGAGTAGGGTAAAAGTATAGGATTAAGTTTCCTGGTTTTCTAAAAGAAATCACTATTTCATGGATATTTTATTTCATGGTTAATTAGGGATCTACAAATAAATAATAAATAATAAATCAAAGCAATTTATATAAATTTGTAGACATAGGAATTCATGGATCAAAAATTACTCTAACAAAATCAACAAAAATGATATATGTGTATGTGTGTTACATTATATTAGTATGTGTGTGCATATGTGTGTTAGGTAATATTGATATGTGTATGTATGTTACATCAGATTGATATGTGTGGGTATGTGTGTAACATAAGTATTTATATGTGTAGGTGTGTGACATAATATTGATATATGTGTTTATGTGTTTATATGTACAAAATATCATAAACATAATGTATGTGCATGTGTTACATTATATTAAGACGTGTGTGTAAACATAATATTATATGTGTGTATATATGTATTACATATTACTTGTATGTGTAGGTGTGTGACACGATATTATAATGTGTGTATGTGTGTTACATAATATTGATATTTGTCTGTATGTGTGTTACATGAGATTTATATGAGTTCGTGTATGTGTACTTTTATTTTCACTTCCTAGTTTAAGGGGTTTCGTTTAAGATTTTTCTATACTGTATACAGGTTTTTTTCGACCTTTTCAATCATGAACAGGGAGGGTGAATTTCTTACATTAAAATTGCTCTTTTATATAATTCTCAGAGGGCGAAGTAAACACCAAGCGAATATGTGCATAATGGTACAAGGGTATAAATGACCTGAGTCGATAATATCCCAGTATACAATATCATATTCCGCATATAGTAGTATACCTCCCCACCTTAGCACCATTGATAAGTACCAGAAAGACGGAACAACTGTGTGATGTTGTTTTATTAATTACTTCATTCTACTCTATCGAATAACATTAAAGTATTGAAAGATGTTTCCCTCTGTGTCTTTATTTTATAAACAGAGACTGGCCTCGCTAGAAAACAACCTTAACATTTCGACACGTTCAGAAAATCAAAATCCGGCCTTAAAATCGATGCAACGTGGTGAATCACAAAAAGGTCATGGTGGCTGCCGTACACCTCCCCATATATTTCATCAATTTGCACGTCTTGAAACCAATTGCTACTCTTCAGGAACACATAGTCTTATCTTTGCGGTTATTATTTTTCATGAAGTCGCCGTGTAAATCTGTCTTTTGGTCATTTTACCATTATTTATGGAAATTGAGTTTGGATTATGATTATGTTTTTGTAAGTTGATCAGCTGCCAATATCTTTCACGTTATACTTGAATGTTACCATACAGGAACTAAATGTCACAAAGAAATATGAATTATGATCATAACTGATTCTTCTCGACTTACAATAGACAATGATTGGTATATAGTTTGTAGGTCTTGAAATTCATCTGACAATCACAGGTGTATAAACACTGAGCATGTACATATATCATGTCAAATAGAATAGAAATGAACTGTAAAACAAATATATGTTCATGGTATATTGGTGTTCAAGTAGGCAAATCGTTGACAAAATCTTATTGCTCAGACTACAAAAACAGAAAATACATTGCAGATAAATAATACACGGTACTATCAATGAAACATGCGTCTATAAGATAACAACGATCAGGCTCAAAATCTACATATCAAGGTTTTAGGAGTACGAAACAATAAATGTGATGGTTCTGCTGTTCCGGTGAAAACAGAATTCTTCATTGTCAGATACATGGGCACATTCTCATTTTATCTCCTCAAGCTTCAACCACATCGACAGAGGTTTAACTATCGCCTTCTCCTCCATAGTCGGAGGGATCTGGTAATGAAATAAACCATAACTTAGAGTAATGTGAAGTGGATGAGCACATTCTGCTTAAAACAAATTTACAGGAAAAAAACATGTATTTAAAAAGATAGAAATATAGAACTCATTGTAACTAAAAGAAGCTGTATTTTATATCTCCGTGTTGTGTTACACTTCACATTGTAATTAGAATAAGCTGTATTTTATATCTCCGTGTTGTGTTACACTTCACATTGTAACTAGAAGAAGCTGTATTTTATATCTCCGTGTTGTGTTACACTTCACATTGTAATTAGAATAAGCTGTATTTTATATCTCCGTGTTGTGTTACACTTCACATTGTAACTAGAAGAAGCTGTATTTTATATCTCCGTGTTGTGTTACACTTCACATTGTAACTAGAATAAGCTATATTTTATAACTTCGTGTTATGTTACACTTTACAATGTAACTAGAATAAGCTGTATTTTATATCTCCGTGTTGTTCGATATAATTTGTAACAAACAGGATGAATCATCATACCTCAGTTTTGCTGCCGACATGCAACCGGAAGTTGCGCACGATATGAACTGTTGCCATCTTTGCTTCCATAAAAGCGAGTCGCATTGCGACACATTGGCGAGGACCATAACCAAACGGTATGAAATCCAACGGATCATGGCTAGCTTTCTCGGTGGACGAAAATCTACAAACAATATTTTGTAAATAAATTAACATGCTACACAATCATTTCCATAATGTCTAATGAAGCATCCATCTGTTAAAACAGCTGGCTACAGTTTTGTGTAATATTGAAATGGTATTCAGGATCCATCATTTAGTATGTAAGGTGTATGTGTCCTACATGTTCATTTAGATATCTGCTTGTCCTTGTATATAGACTTTATCTTAACCATTGTGTACATGTGAAATCCCTTATGTAATACATACTTCATCATATAAATTATAGGCAGACTCTTGGGTTTTCATTCTTATGAGAATTAAGAATCGTAGAACATGTAACTTTATTGGGCTCTCTGGAGAGATGGCAAATAAAATCGTGATAACTTTCATGAATCTCTTATCAAAATGCAACGAATGTAAAACTCTGTGATAACTGTCATGATTTACACACTTTCGCGAACACACTATTTTGTATGACTGATATAAATCTTATATTAACGACTTTCTCACTTCAGATATCGTTCTTTCATGACGTAATATTGAATATCACATCATGTAACCATGACATCACAATGAAAAGGATGGAAACCTTCAACCAATTACAGGTCAGGGGGGCGACATGATGTCATTTTACACGGAACTAGTATCGGAAAAATATATAAAAGGTGTAATGAATTTATTAATAACACGATAGGTATTTGATAATAATAAACACCATTTTCATTAAATGATTCAGAATATTTAGGAAATATTCACCTCTCTGGATTGAAAACATCCGGGTTTTCCCAGATATCGGGATCGTGATGTATCGCATAAACAGGAACACTGACCGCCATCCCCGCTGGTATAGTAATGTTCTTAATCTGAGAGGTTTTTACGCACACTCTATCAAATCTGAAAATGGTTAAATCTTTTGTATTGATATCAAGTTATAATGTTTGGTGTTATATTCACGTTAAATGTCTTATAAACCAGGTGGTTGACATACAAATATGTTTCTTTTATATATAAACTTTATAACTTTTTTTTTTAATTTGAAATTCATTTTACAACAATTGGCGAAACAAGCTTTAAGTTTATATATCAATCACAATGGATGGAAGACCGCACGTCCATTTCGAGAATAGAACCTCGGACGACTAGATAAGAGGCGCATGCGCTACCACTGCGCCACCCAAACACCCTTGAGTTTCCTTTACTTATGAGGATGCCTGCAAATGTCTGCTAAAATATCGCATCGCCCGTGGCTATGTAAATTTTCATAATATTACAGGGATCGTCAAAATGGAAGTTTTAGGTGATTGGATTCATAGGATATTTTCATAGATCTACGACTGTCAAGCCCGCAGGCTTGCCGAGAGTTCGACAGCCGGGAATATCCTCCGAAGACTGAAATTATCTTTTTTCTTCTCTTTATCTCTGGCATATTAAGAATAGAATAACAAGACAAAAATATGCGGACAAATATGGAAACAAAATCAGGCAAATAACGACTTTCGTTTTGATTTTGACCGATTTGTAATTTACAATGCATTGTACAAAGACAATCGTAATGATATTATCAATCAGTTATGTCTCTAATTAACAACTTCCAGTTTAGCACGTGTTTATGTTCTGTTCATGCAGGCTGTCTTATTCCGGCACTATAGAAATATATTACACTCAACCGAAGTGTGGATATTTCTGTCAGAGGGGTAGCAGTCTGTCAATCATCACTGACTCCGCCTATAACGACGGTTCGTACTTACCTCACAGCTGTAGGATACAGTCGCAATGTCTCGTTGATACACATGTCGAGATATTGTAGATTCTTCACATTCTCGAAGTCGATCTCTTCCTATAATAATTTAATACGGTGATTGTTTTGTGATTATTACAGAGGACGAATTCCTGCAGAACTACTAATGATAAGGCGGTACAGATGCTAAGTTTTATCAAATGAGCCAAACAGTTCATGGCCTTTTCGTCTAATGTTGTGGTAGGTACATCTCTCCATACGGATTTTGTTTTTCCTCGGTTTACTACGGAGTCATTTCCGTGTACTCTTTGTAGTTTACAAAATCCATTGTGTAAGCTGAAAAACAGCTTTAGAGAAAAACCTTTAAACAATTAAATGCCTTTATAACGCAAGAATGATCAAAATATCGCACGCATTATATGTACATATACGATAGACTAATGGAGTATTCATGTTAATACTGAACTATGACAGTACCTACCGATCCGATATTTTCCTCGATTTCTTGACGCAATCTGTCTTGACATTCTGGATGACTAGCGAGATTGTAAGCATTCATTGTTAATGCTATAGCCGTTGTTTCGTATCCCGCAACAAAGAACAGTTCTGCATTTCCCAGAATTTCATGATATGTTAGTCCTATGAACATTAAAATAAAAAAAAAATTGTTTGTTTTCGTACGTAAAAACAGTGATTATGTATAGCAGATTACTCGTATTAAATGTTCATTACTTTTGTTTATCAAGAAAAGACCTGAGTTCCAGTGGAATGTGTTCTCTATTTAAGAGTCATCATGTAAGAAAAAAAAAGTAATTTTTATTCATCTTTGGTAAAAGTCCGCAAACATAAATGAAAAATATATTGTCTAGCACTTTTACAGTCTTTAAAGTCGACAGACTTTACCATAACATACCGTGATGCTTTCGTATTGACCATAGATCACTGTGTTCTTTTGAATCCTCATCTGCATCATCAACTTCGAGTCTTCCTTCCTGAGCATCAATCATCAACTGGAGGAAATCTTTGCGACCCATCTAAAATATAATTGTTTTTAATATATCAAGATAAATGAGAACGCAAATCAGACCAAAAGAAAAAAAATGCATTTTTCGCCAAAGCAACCGGATTTTCATTCTCCTATCGGATGTTAAGAATACTATCAATGAAATAACGTCTAAGGTATGTAATATCATTGTAACTTAGAAATGCAACTCTAGTAGAAACATCCTTTCTTTAATGTCAGAACTATATATATATAAAAAAAGAAAAAAACAACTCGCGTAGAATCATTACATTCATATGTTATGGGATCATTATGGTTTTATTGTTAATGAGACGTTATTGTTAGCCTGTTGAAAAGTGTTACACTAATCTTTGTTAAGTATCTATTTGTCTTCCCCCTTTTAAAAGTGTATTGTATTTTACCTGGTTAAGTACAGTGAATATATTATCTATGGTGTTTACATGTCGCTGATGATTTTGCCCACTATTTTTATTGAATTTCAAAAGATCTTTGAATTTTTATGGTGATTATCTCGTTGAGAAATATTCTATTTCTTTGTGCGAAGTGAAGTTGGATGTGTTTGATGCTCGTTAGTTTATCTGTTGGTTCCATTGTTTTATACCTCATACTCATTTGAGAACGTGACAGTACTTACGTGGATTGACCAAGGTTTACATGGCGAGTGTTATCGATGAAGCAGAAGACGCTGACTCATCCGGAACATCTGGCAATATTCTTCCTGTACTTTTCCAGGAGTCTTTCGTTTGCTCATATTTTTACCCATTTTTATTGAATTTGAGTTTGAATTATGATTATGTTGACATATTGTTTTTTCATCCCCGGTACAGAAATCCTGGATTTTCAAACGCGTGCGCGGAACTTTTTAATACACAGTCATGCTACAAAATGACCACAGCTGCCATATCGAAATGAAGACGAGACCAAAATTTAACAGATTTTGTCGGATTTCGTTCTTTATATAATTTAACAGGCTTTACTTAAGATTTTTAAAATATGTATTGATCAGGAATCATGATTTCGCAGCCATGTTATTAAATGGTAACCATTACCTCCATATTGAAGTTTTGGCGATGCCGTAAAATTGCAATCTTGTCATATCCCTTCCATAACATTTCAACCTTTTTCAAATTGTTGACTTCAGAGGAACTCGCAAAACATTAAAATGTATTTTTTAAACATACTATTGTCGCCATGGCCGGAACATTGGATTGATGATCGATTGGAAAAGTAATATAACACATGGAAGGATTTGCTCCAGACAAGTTTGAGGTTAATCCCAGCGTTGAAACGTAAGAAGAAATTTAAGATGTGCAAAAGTTTAAAAATTACGATGTGTGACTTTTTAGGCAACTTGAAAAAAAACGATATTTTGAAGAGATTATGAAAACTCACACAGGTGAATAACACCTTTTAACACAAATTTAGAGCTAGATACAATAAAGCCAAACAATTAATTGAACTGCATCCTACCGCTGTTTCGTCCTTCTTGGACTTATCACTAATGCTACGGGCTTTAATGTTGAAGCCAAGGAGGCGACTGATCGAAAGAAAAGTCAAAATCTAGACGAGGAAGAGCACCAGCCCTTAATTAAATAACTTTCGCATGTTTCTGACATCAGATAATTGAAAATATATCAATAAAAGTTCCTGGTCACTACCGACTTATTTAATTTCTATAACATCATTCAAATCGGCAACTTGAAAATATCCGTTTACACTAGTCAGTAAATACTAACTTAGCTTTATTTATATCATCATACCTCTTTGTTTTCTTTTCTTTCATTCAGCATTTTGAACGTTAGATTGCGGAAGTAAGCCAGGCTATCCTTTGGGAAGAGGGAAGCCCCGAACTTTATCAGAAGTGGTTTTATCGCTGGAAAGAATACTGATTAAAAAAGAGAACAAAATTAGACAATACCCGCTAATGTTTCTTCTGTATCATAATCAAACATACAATGTTCAGATAATTATCTGGTATGTGCAAAAATAAACATTGAATGCTTATCAATGTTATAACAATGTCCGCGATATTACCTATTAAACTTTGGACAGGTATTATTGCAGAAAAAAGTAGTGACAGTAACTAGACTTATAGAGCTACTGATGTTAAAGAGAACCTACTCTTATATCATTATAATACTAACCGAAAAATATAACTGCTTACAGACGTAGATATATAATATATATATATATATAAAAAAACAAAAAAAAAACAAAAAAAAGAAAACAGGAAAAGTGCCCACAGTGTTTGAAAATCCTTACGTGGACGACATGTTTATATGTCCTTACTTGGACGACGTGTTGAAATGTCGCACGTTTGTTTTGTACGTACCTATAGCTAGAACCCATAGTTTGGTAAGTGAAAAGTCGAACATTCTCTTGGCGTGTATCACAAAGAGGTCATCTGGGTTATTCTGGGAATCCACCTTGATGCCAAAGGCAGTGGAACTAATAACATCCATTGTGAATCCCCCAAATAGCCTGTAAATAGTAGTAATGCAAACAAAATAGTAAGCGCACCGCAAAATACACGACAGTATATTCGTCATCGTCATGATAAATAATGTGTGTATATTTAAGTATTTCATCCCCCAAAGAGGCAAATCAATATATCTTCTATTCCACCGGGCCGACGTCAGGGCGACATCCACTATGCTGTTGAAGGTAGAGGTGTATATCGAATGGCTATCCTTCGATAAGGTAGCAATGGGTATTGAGTAATTAATTGATTTTTGAGTATTCAAAACGTGTTTCTTTTTCGTGGTTGATGAACACTGTGATCACGGGGTTGTGTCGCGGTTGTGTTTTTAAATATTTTAATCTGGCGACACAGACACAGTAAAAGCTTGGATTACTTGTTGAAGATGTGTCACATCTTGAGTAACTTCGAATAGTTTACGTTTATTTGAGTGGTGAGAAGCTACATAAGCTGTCATTACTATTTACTATGTAAACGTATCGTTAAACAATTAAGTATAAGGTTGTCCTGTAATACCTTTCTTATATCTTTTATCTCGGATATACATAATAATTCATCAATACCTTTTCATTTCCACTTGGCCACCGTCACCAGTTTGGATGGCGTTCCGGGCAGTTTTTATCAGAGTATTACACCCGTCCTGGATCAATGGTACCATCTGTTACCATAAGAAGACATTTGAACATTATACTTAATAATATTAAAGGTTCTACGTGATGGAATATTGAAATTAATAAACAGCATCATTTGACGAACAGCATATATATATAGTGTATCTTTAAATCTGCATTATAATATAGATAAACTGAATTGTTATAAAATACCTGGCGAAGTTTCCCAGACGAAAATGCAGGAGTGATAACACTTCTCATGTATTTCCAGTTGGTACCTTTAACACCGGCCAGTCCATGATCCATATCGCCGGCGAAACCTTCCCCAAATGTCTACTGAATAAAAACGAGTTATTAAGTCACCCAAACCAAGTCCATTACGTTTCTTACTCATTATTCAGTGAACAGTGGTAAGACTGATACTTACTCTTCTATCTGGGAAGTTATTAAACTGTTTTACAAGAATTTCTCTCATCATCTCCTTGTCGGCTACGACTAAGTTTGTAGACAGCATATCGAAATGTCTAGAGAATGTAAAAACGAAATATAACAATGGAAGCCAAATCAGGAATCCAAGTGGAATTATAGAAACCAATGCAGAATTAGAAACAATATCATATTAATGTTCAGAAAACTCAAAGATTTAAGATAAAACTACAACCGCTGAAATATCACTTAATGCTTGCTATTAAAACAGAGCTAAGTGTATCACATGAAAAAGAAGGAAGGAAAAAACAACATGTCCACATAATTTTCTTCGTATTGAAAGTGGATGAAAATAGAGCAGAGCATGGACAAAGGAAAGATGTTCACGAATGCCGCCGAAAAGGCATCAGGGAAGACCAAGTATTCAGGAAGTGTAAACGTCCTCTCCTTAAACATGGCGAGACTGACTCCATTTACGGTGATACTGCATTGGCTTAAATAAACGATGTCACAAACACGAATGAAAATTAATTGATGTATTTATAGGAATAATTGATGAAGGTGTTTTATTTTTCTTATCATTTACTCCACCACCACCTGTGATTTCACGTATATCTTACCCGTAAACTTTTCCATATTTCTTAAGCGACGTCTGGTCAAAGGCACGGACACCCTTTAATACACAACAAGGAGATGATAAACCCCAGAATGGCAAAGGTTTAAATTAACGATACACTTAATTACAAATAATTACAATGATACATTTAAATAAAAAATATTTGATTATTAGAATTATATATGTTCTTTCCAAACCTTATTTCACTAGCCGTTGGTGAAAGCTATCCTTACCTTCGACGTCATGCTCATTCGGTTACCGACAATCGGTAAAGGCGTGGGACCCGGTATTCCCATCCTCCAGAAGGTCAAGAAGTCACGACTCATCAAACTTGAATTCCGAAAATACCAAATAAACAGGATTGGGGTGAAATCCACTTTAAACTGTTCTTCCAACAATTAAGCAAGTTATACACATGACAAAATATGAACACTAATGAGTAGAAATAAGAAAATTTGTATATTTCTTTAAATTTCTATCAATCCTAACAAATTCTTTGGAATTATTTTCCTGATATATTGATATGCCATTCTAAACCTGAATTACTAAGTTGTCAAACGTAATACTTGTTCGTGTTTGTAGCTTAATACTTGTTACTTAATAAAGCATTGTATAAATACATATACATCAGTTTGTTTTAACAAGATTGGACATACTGACAAGAAGTGTATCAGCTCTGTCACGCGACTAACCTCTATCTACTTATATTTGGTCAGTCCTATGGGACTGAAAAAGTGTCCCTGGGAAGGGAAATCCAACTCAGACAATATGGATCACTCAAGGTATAGTCGAAAAACGGCAGACTTTGACACAGAGGTAATGTGAGGATTTATACCAATAATAATAATTGGGCTGGCTTATAACTTTGTAGGTCACAGAACATCCATTAAAGAGTATCACCTACGGTTCAGTTTTCCACGCGACCATATATAGTGGACAGTCCATGCAATGACATACTTTACATGTGTTACGCACAATGTATATCGTGTTGCTTAATTATAGTTTTGTTTCTAAAATATAGAATGAGTTCAATTCAAATTATAAACAAATAAAACTTTTAACAAAAGAAAGTATATATATGTTACAATAATTGGAAGAGAATGTTTGCTATGGTCCCGAAAGCCTGTTAGTGTCGGCGTGTGTGTAGCGTACAAGTGTCCGCGGTCAAGGTCGCTAATGTGAACATCTTATTTAGCCATAACCTACATACTTTGTACACGTATGACAACATCTTTCTGGTTCTTTATCATAGTATAGTGCAATGGAAGTTTTAACTAGCAGTGTTGTTATCATTTAACAGATTTTGCAAAGTTTGTTTCCGGCTTTAATTGATTAAGAACATAATTTCAAAAATGAACTTTAAGTTTGTCGTAATTTTTAGTAGAACACATGGATATAAAAAAGGTAAACAAACGCATACGTATCATTGGCAAATATGAACTATATTCAAAAGGGGTCATCCGGAAATAGTGCACCCGTGTACCCGAAAATCTATACTTATAATCAAGTGCGGAAATTCCTAGCTACGTGAGTTTGTTAATGTAATTTAGAATTAACTTAAAATGATAGAAACGTTTTTTGTTGATAGAGATCATAGTGGTGAAAAACAAATAATCAGAGCACAAAAAATCTTAACCGTTTTGAGATGACCCCAACCTAAAAAAATTAAACAGTTAAATAATTTTTTTCCCCTTGTGTCCTATATATTAACACACAAAACCAAATTGAAGTTAGGTGAGGCAAATGTCATACTTACAAAGTATACAGGATAATAGCTGCCACCATCAGACTGATCCAGATTGGCACGTATATACCGAAGATCTCCATTTTGTCGTCAGCGGTGTTGTTTACACGCTTGTCACTTTATCATATGCTGAGTACGTGTGCATTGTGCTATTTTGAAATCGGAGTGGTTCACAGCCTTGGATATTTTATCAGTGTGGACTTGTTGACAAGTGTCAGCCAGTGAGAATATCACCTATTTATGAGACTTACATTAGGTACAATTTTCATCCCGTATATAGTTCTACGGTATGAAACTTCCTATCGATTCTTAAAAGAAACATTGTGATTTGAATTGTCCAGTATTTTTTTAAAATTTGTTGTAGATGAAACAGCAGTTCACGTACTTTATAACTTTTCTAAAGACAGATACTAATTAGTGTTATTTTTCGGCTGCTTTTCTACATAAGTGACTTAAAAATTAAAGAATGCTTAAGTTTTGTTTTTACCTTGATTTAAAGTTTTAAATAAAAGACACTCAAACTGTACGTGCAGATCTGGTGTTTTCTTTCTTTTGTTTATCTTTTATTTTTTTATAAAAAAAATTGTCATCGATTTTGAGGTAAATGTCATGATTCCGCGAACAGATTTTTAATAAAGAATTTTAACACCAAGCACAATTTGCCTTGTTCGTGCGATCCTATATAGATAGATTCATATAACTGTTCACCATAAGCATCCTGATATCGGTTAACCCGAAGCAAAACTATGATAACATTGTTCTGTGTATCTGAATGAAATGAACAATGAAAGTCTTCCTTCGAAAGAATATCTGTTGATGTTTTTGTATACACGTAACAGTGCTGAATGATCATTATTTTAAAATACATCCTATGAAAACAAGATAGTAATTTTCGCATTTTATCTGACCGCGAAAACCTGGCCAGCTGTTTATGAAAATAGAAACTTTACTTGAATTAAAAAACGAGATATCCAAATGATATTATCACCCTGCCTCTTGGTCTGAATTGAAGTTTGTGCGTTGTCTTCCTGTGCGATGTAAACCCGATATCCTTGAAAAAAAACCTTGTAGTAGTACAAATGGCTCCATCTGTTTACATCCATTCGCAGTGCAGTGATTTCGAATTGGTGTTGTTTCTACACGGGTAGGTGTATTCCTAAATTTTATTCGTACCTTAAAATTCATCTAATACAAGCATTATGTACATATACCACAGGAGTGATGAATTAATTTTGGACTGACGTAAAATCTATTTTAATTGGGCTCTCTTAGCTGTATTTTAATCAGTCCAATATCATGAACAAACAATTATCAATAAGATAGATAACTAATATAAGGGTAGTGATGTGGCACAGTGGTAACACACTCGCCTGTCACCTGGACGTCCAGGAGTTCGATTTCGGGAACGGACATGAAAAAGCATGCCCGACAACGTAGGTTTTTTCACGGATACTCCGGTTTCAGTCCCACAACACGCTTCCATGCGGATCAGTAAGATTTATGTATAGAAGCTGAAAGCTTGTTTCGCAATTGTTGTAAAATAAATCGGTTGACATGCTTAATCAATATAAGCAAAATACCCTGGGTAGATTTTTCTACATTTACGTTTTCATGTCTGATACAAACAAGGGGAAGTCATTGTCAATATCTGGCGTGGTGGTTGACACCGGATGAATAACATGTCTCTCCAAGTTCAACCATGTCTGATATTACTTATAATATATACTTATATATTGCAATATACTTTTCCGCTAAATACCTGTCATTCCCTCAATATTAATACTGTATTATTCTGAGTAGTTGAATCTTGCCTTTGTCGATATCATGTGTTAATAAACTGAGCTGCTATTGAGATAAAGATTCTATGCTTATATTTCAGGCAAGACTGTTTGTTTTCAATATTCCGTACAAATGGAATTCTACAGTTACTCGAACTTGTGCAAGTCTAACAGTTCAGTTGGAAAACTATAGCCCCGACATATTAAATTAAAGGATGATCAAAAGGTATTACTCGGACAAAATACAAAACTGCGACACTAAAGAAATCAAAACAACATAATTCAGATGCAATGATTGATGTTGTCAGAATATTTGAGAAATTATTGAAATTCTCTGACAGCTACGCTGAAGAATAACGTCTGAACTAGGTTCTTTAAATTGCCATTGAGTGTTTTGTTACCTATCTCAGTAGCCAAATACCCATGTCAACAAGAAGCAATTATGTATCAAAATCACTCAATAGACACTCTTAGTCTTGTTGGAGATTTTCATGTTCAAGCAGTGAAAGGTTGAAATGATTTTAAAAGTCCAAAATATTGGCAAGGTCTCAAGTAGATATCAAAACATGAAAAACAAATCATTTCTGTTATCATTTAATATATATATTTATATATTGTTTTTATCTATCAATTGTACAATCTACAAATCTGGATAAAATCTTATTACATTTATTTTAAGTTTAGCATCAAACATTTGTAAAAGGGTGTTTTCCTATGTCCAGATCAGTGTTAATCTGATCAAATGCTTGGACAAATAACACGGGAAAAAATTGGTATTTTCATTGTTTCCAACTTGAGAAGAAATACATAGTATATTAGTTTGGAATCAGGCGATGGCTTGGTTTGGTTATAGATTGTTTACACGATCTCTTCCAATTTGAGCCACACTGAAGAAGGCATCAGTACAGCGTTCTCTACCATGTTCGGAGGAATCTATCAAAAATGATGGTATTTTAGAATTAAGGTTTCAGATTCATTATCAATTTATATAAATTTTCAAATACGAGATACGTTATCAATTTTTTTATCCACAGTAACAAACTTCCTAAAAATCACCATAGATATTGATTCAAATAAGAATGACGAATATGGAAATTAACGTAAAACAGCGTTCATTTCACATCCTATCTTATGACAATGGTTGGAGGTCGTTCTTTAGTAAACACTTACATCAGTTTTGCTACCAACCAACAGCCGGAAGTTTTGAATAACAGCAACCATAGCCATTTTAAGTTCTATATAAGCAAGTCGTGTTCCAATACAGCCGCGAGGACCATGCCCAAATGGCAAGAAATCCATAGGATCATGCTTTGCTCTCTCGGAGGCAGAAAACCTATACAGTAAATATATAATAGTTTTATTATTTCATTACTGGTATCTATCAAGGGATTGTAGTAAATGTACAGAATATACAGGGTTTTAAAATATCCGAGTTTCAAATTCAGAAAAAAAGAAATGATATATGATATCAAATGACTCAGAAAAGTTACATTTTACAGGTTTGAAACTGAAATTGTAGAGGACGTCAACACGTCATTGTCAACATTATGACGTCACAATTGATTTCTAGCTGACGCAGCAAATAACAAATAGTTTTGATACATTCGCAAACACATTACGTTGGTGAATTCATTGCAGTACAGGCTGGTTGTGTGACAAAAGTGATTGTGTGACAGCATATGAACAATAACTGATGAGGAAACAATTTGTGAAGAAATACATTGTACATGTGGTGGTTATCATGGCGCGTACCAAAGATAGATATACCAGTTGTCAAATTAGCTGGCTAATAAATCATGTACATCATCATCAAAGAGAATAGTGATGTCTTACATAAAAAGGAAGACGGGTCTCACAGGGATTAGAAATATATGACGTGTTTGTTGCATTAACTTCAAAAAGCATAGAAGATTTATTTGCTAACCCCACGAATAAAAATGTCCTCCTTACCCAATGAAATCCTATTCCAACAGGTAATACGTTACAAAACATTTAAAGTTTGATCGATTTCAGACTGAATTCTCTTTGTAAATCGTTTTGACATTCAATCATTGAGGAAAGGAAAACATTAAGGAAATCAGTAGATTTGACAGATTTTATGATTGTTTTGTATTGTTTTCAAGGAACACTATAAAAAAATCTTCTGTGTATATACAATCGTTTCATTACATGAGTGTCTTTTCACTGTCCAAAATGTCGCCGACATTTTAATAAGGAGAATCATATCGCCATGATCGTGTACAGTTGTCCATGTAAACCTATTTATCTAAGGGGTCAGAGATATAGTTCGTCCAGTGACAGAATTTAAACATTATTAGAAGATTTTAGTGTAATATGAACATCCGACATAACAATTCAGAAAGATTGTGACATAGGACATCCAAGTAAAAGTGACCAACACGAACGATGTAATGTAACTCAGAATAAAGTGCTAAAAATGCTCTGTTTTGACTAAAAATTAGGAGCATCGTTGACAATTGCTAACTGAGACGCTAGATATTCTCTAACGCCCCCGGAGAACTTTTCTATGTTTTGCCTATTCGGCAGTTTTTGACCTCTACCACAGTATAAAACTTAATCATTAGGTCATTATGTTTTTAACGATTGTTAATAATTAAAACTGAGAATCAACAAATTAAAATCAAAAGATATTAATTTGAATATATAATCACCTTTCTGGATTGAAAACGTCCGGTTTCTCCCAAACTTCCGGATCACGATGAATCGCATTTATAGGTACACTCACCACCATTCCAGCCGGTATTGTCATGTCCTTGACCTTAGTTGTTCTTACGCACTTCCTGTCGAATCTGTATCAGTGATATCAAAGAAGTCAAAAGAAATATATTTCAACTGGGTTGTAGGTACAGATTGGTTAATGCCAAATACATGGCCTGTATCTAAAAGCTGTATTATGGCGAGTGTGAATAAAATTTATGTATGAGGACAATTACAGCTTAATATGTACACCATAACTTTGAACAAGAAATAAGTACAAAGTTCTGACTGGATCTACAATGAAATATATTATCATGAAATTTGGCAAAGGAGATAACAATTCAGTCGACAACCTACCTCATGAACGGGGAGTACATTCGTAATGTCTCATTGATACACATTTCGAGGTACTGAAGCTTGTTGAGATTGTCAATGCCAATGGGTTCCTGTAATAACGAAAACATTTTTTGTTGATTGCAACTTTTAGATATGTCGTTCTTGATTTCTTTTCGATATTGAAAAGATCGTACATTGACTTGTACAATTTAAAAAATTGGAAAATAGGAAATCAATATTCTGATGCAGCCTGATGCATGTATCTGGTAATGTGTATGTGTGTATAGCGAGTGACTGAAAATCTAGATCAATATTTGGTCATAATATATATATATGTCTTAATTAGCATCGAATAGTTATATTCACCTGTTTTTAAAATTCAATAATAATGAATATATAGGACATTATTCAACGAGTTACTTTGGGGATGGACAATAGTCCACAAGGTACTTTGGTGATGGACATTAGTCCATGGGTTACTTTGGTGATGGACAATAGTCCACAAGGTACATTGGTGATGAACATTAGTCCATGGGTTACTTTGGTGATGGAACTTTGTCCACGAGTTATTTTGGTGATGAACATTATTCCACGAGTTACTTTGGGGATGGACATTAGTCCACAAGGTATATTGGTGATGGACATTAGTCCATGGGTTACTTTGGTGATGGACAATAGTTCACGAGTTACTTTGGTGATAGACATTAGTCCACGAGGTCCTTTGGTGATGGACATTAGTCCACGGGTTACTTTGGTGATGGACATTAGTCCACGAGTTACTTTGGTGATGGACATTAGTCCACGAGTTACTTTGGTGATGGACAATAGTCCACGAGTTACTCTGGTGATGGACATTAGTCCACGAGGTCCTTTGGTGATGGACATTAGTCCACGGGTTACTTTGGTGATGGTCATTGGTCCACGAGTTACTTTGGTGATGGACATTAGTCCACGAGTTACTTTGGTGATGGACATTAGTCCACGAGTTACTTTGGTGATGGACATTAGTCCACGAGGTACTTTGGTGATGGACATTAGTCCACGACTTACTTTGGTGATGGACATTAGTCCACGGGTTACTTTGGTGATGGACAATAGTTCAGAAGTTACTTTGGTGATAGACATTCGTCCACGAGGTCCTTTGGTGATGGACATTAGTCCACGGTTTACTTTGGTGATGGACATTAGTCCACGAGTTACTTTGATGATGGACATTAGTCCACGGGTTACTTTGGTGATGGACAATAGTCCACGAGTTACTCTGGTGATGGACATTAGTCCACGAGGTCCTTTGGTGATGGACATTAGTCCACGGGTTACTTTGGTGATGGTCATTGGTCCACGAGTTACTTTGGTGATGGACAATAGTCCACGGGTTACTTTGGTGATGGACAATAGTCCACGGGTTACTTTGGTGATGGTCATTGGTCCACGAGTTACTTTGGTGATGGACATTAGTCCACGAGGTCCTTTGGTGATGGACATTAGTCCACGGGTTACTTAGGTGATGGACATTAGTCCACGAGGTCCTTTGGTGATGGACATTAGTCCACGGGTTACTTTGGTGATGGACATTAGTCCACGAGTTACTTTGATGATGGACATTAGTCCACGGGTTACTTTGGTGATGGACTTTTACTCTGGTGATGGACATTAGTCCACGAGGTCCTTTGGTGATGGACATTAGTCCACGGGTTACTTTGGTGATGGACAATAGTCCACGAGTTACTCTGGTGATGGACATTAGTCCACGAGGTCCTTTGGTGATGGACATTAGTCCACGGGTTACTTTGGTGATGGTCATTGGTCCACGAGTTACTTTGGTGATGGACATTAGTCCACGAGTTACTTTGGTGGTGGACATTAGTCCACGGGTTACTTTGGTGATGGTCATTGGTCCACGAGTTACTTTGGTGATGGAGTCCACGAGGTCCTTTGGTGATGGACATTTGGTGGTGATGGACAATAGTCCACGAGTTACTTTGGTGATGGACATTAGTCCACGTGTTACTTTGGTGATGGACATTAGTCCACGAGTTACTCTGGTGATGGACATTAGTCCACGAGGTCCTTTGGTGATGGACATTAGTCCACGGGTTACTTTGGTGATGGTCATTGGTCCACGAGTTACTTTGGTGATGGACATTAGTCCACGGGTTACTTTGGTGATGGACAATAGTCCACGGGTTACTTTGGTGATGGTCATTGGTCCACGAGTTACTTTGGTGATGGACACGAGTTACTTTGGTGATGGACATTAGTCCACGAGTTACTTTGGTGATGGACATTAGTCCACGAGTTACTTTGGTGATGGACATTAGTCCACGAGTTACTTTGGTGATGGACATTAGTCCACGGGTTACTTTGGTGATGGTCATTGGTCCACGAGTTACTTTGGTGATGGACATTAGTCCACGGGTTACTTTGGTGATGGACAATAGTCCACGAGTTACTTTGGTGATGGACATTAGTCCACGAGTTACTTTGGTGATGGACATTAGTCATTAGTGATGGACATTAGTCCACGAGTTACACATTAGTTCACGGGTTACTTTGGGTTACTTTGGTGATGGACATTAGTCCACGAGTTACTTTGGTGATGGACATTAGTCCACGGTGATAGACATTAGTCTACGGTTACTTTGGTGATGGACATTGGTCCACGAGTTACTTTGGTGATGGACATTAGTCCACGAGTTACTTTGGTGATGGACATTAGTCCACGAGTTACTTTGGTGATGGACATTAGTCCACGAGTTACTTTGGTGATGGACATTAGTCCACGAGTTACTTTGGTGATGGACATTAGTCCACGAGTTACTTTGGTGATGGACAATAGTCCACGAGTTACTTTGGTGATGGACATTAGTCCACGAGTTACTTTGGGGATAGACAGTAGTCCACGAGTTACTTTGGTGATGGACATTAGTCCACGATCTAGATCTAGATCTATTTCTTTCAACATTATTTAACAATTTAGGCCGTTAATATCACTGACGAGTCTCACTAGCCTCAATATACCACTTTGCTAGAGAGACATTCTCTTTAGTTCGATCAGCTGATCGTTTGAGTAGTATGTCAAAGGTTCCGGGTTCGGAACCTAGCGGAGGCGTTGAAATAGAATAATGACCTCTGTTACATGATGAAGTTTGAAATTTGTATTGAAACGCGCTATTGACTTTTAATATTTTAATATTTCTGTCTGAGACATTTTTAGGTATCGGGTTGTCTCCCCCAGGTATTGCTATTTCCTCCAACAGTAAAATCCCTCGCGCTTTCATCGGGGCAAACATGAATGATCTGATCACTTATTTGCAATTATTGTAAACATTTTATAACTTAGCTGAAAAAGTTTATAATTAGTCTTAATATATAACGACACAGCGTTCACACAGAGCAGTAATTATTTCGACATGTTGAAATATATGAAATTTAGGACTTTATAATTTGCAAGGTAATGAATTCATTTTTTTTAGAATTTTTATTTGCTTTGCTTCATCTGTTTATTCTTTCCCGTTTTTTTACCTTCTTTTTCTAACTAATTTCAAGTAAAAGCTAGTGCAGCATACATGCAGACCTATTGTACCTTAATGTGCAGAAACCTAACTCCTCTCTCTTCGTTCCCCTTACAATAAAACTCGAGCTAAGATGTATTTCGTTTCACTCATCGACAAGTATGTGAAAATAATAAGAAAGTGCTTGCAAATATCTGTTCAGTCCATAAGGTTTATGAAAACAGTGAGACTTACCGACCCAATTTCTTCTTCAATTTCTTGGCGCAATCTTTCCTGGCATTCGGGATGGGTAGCGAGATTGTAAGATAGCATCGTCAGTGTTATAGCCGTAGTTTCGTATCCCGCGACATAAAACAATTCTACGTTACCCAAAATTTCCTCAAACGTCAGGCCTAGAACACAAATCATTACCTTCAAATATCAAACTGGAGCAAAATGCGTTATTCAATATTCAATAAGTAAATATGTTAAAATCTGACAGATGCCGCCAAGTCCTGGGTTCAGCTACTGAATAATAAGATGTCCCACGTATGATTTATATACAACATTTCACAATTGCACCATTATATATATTCATCACATTTTTATTGAATAATTAAGAATTGTATTAGTATTGCATCATGTAAAAAATTATATAAATACACAAAAATTTAGATATGAATAAACAGTTGAGTGAGCTACACTAAATTTGTATTTAACATCATGTTTTCATGTTTTGTGTTTAGTTTCACTATGTTAATCACATTCAAACTGAAAATATTTCTGGAAGAACAAACAGGTCATCAATGATACTCTTAAAGTACAATTAAATCCACTTACTTTGATGGTGTTCATTTAACAAAATATTCTTAGCTGTACAATCCTCATCCTCACCATCCTTTCCAAGTCTACCTTCCCGAGCATCTACCATCAGCTGAAGGAAATCCTCGCGACACATCTAGGACAGGATAAGATTACACACGATAATGAAAGTCACAAAACAACAGCAAAGCATATATAACACATAACATTACAAGTAGGTACAGGGTATCAGATGTTAACATATTTTAATATACATTTTGAGATAAATAATAACACTTATAATTTTGTATATAACTATGACCAAATTACTATTTGCTTAAGTTATATAAATTAGAACACATCATCGCAAAACTATTTTACACTATCATCGATGCAAAAATGATGCCATGAAATCCACTTGTAATTTTACATTCTTGCTTCGTCTTCTTTCGTCAAGGAGCTGAGCAGTAAGTTTGCGGAAGTAAGCCATGCTATCATGTGGAAAAATGCAGACGCCAAGCTTTAATAGCAGAGGTTTTAATGCCGGACAGAACACTGTAAAAAGAGACAAAAATGATTATTGAAATACACTCTTCTCATTTGATAATATACATAGTAATTTTACAAAATTTAAAAGCTAAAATTACATTAAAAAAGAGGATAAAACCTGAACAAAGATAGTTCTCACAAAGACTGTTTGAAAAGTAAGGATGATGCAGTATTTCAGCAGGTGTAGAATCTTCTGCTTTAGTGACGACACCTGTCATCTCATGTTTCAACAACTTAGTATGAAACGTCACTTTCTCATATGAGGAAAAAAGATTGATAATAACACTATCAAAAGGCATACGGTTTGGTATCGAATATTGCACAAAAGATGGGATGCTTTCAATGGCGAAAATGAAACTTTCATATTAACCATGTTTGATATGTCATGAAAATTTTACTAATAGAAACAGACTTAAACTAGCTCGATGCTATAATTACTGGTGGTTTAGGAAGCAGGTGTATTGCTACCTAAAAATGAAACATTCACAATGGTGGAAGTGAAAAAATCATCATGATCATAATTCAACTTTGTGGCAAATATCAACAGCAACGATAACACTCTAACAATTGAATTGAGCATTTTACACAAATAATATCTATCAGTCTATCAAGACAGGGGTCCCGAGTAGCGTCGAGAATATCATGCGTACATTGTACATCGCCCAGGGATTTTCTGTATTTAATGTGGAACATACAATGTAGTATGTATATTGAAATTAAGATTTTATAGTTGTGTTAATTGGATTTGACTGACCAAAATGGCTGGTGCCTCCATCGGTAGCTTAACGCTGATTATAGAAACTTCATTGAAATTTGAAGTATTCACACCTTATATGGTCCCGTGTATTTGTGTTGAGAACATTACTTGTAGTACATAATGTTATGAAAAATCATTCACGACTTTAATGTTGTCGTTGATTTTCATAAAAAATATACACATTTTCTATAAATGTTTATGAAATATCAACCCATTTCCCTCACTTACAATATACATTAGTTATCTATAAATTCAAATTTACAGCCTCAGTATCAGACAGTATCGGTTCATTAGGACGAATTAAAACGAGAGTATACTTTGTTGGACGCGGTGTATAATTCGTGCATATTGACTTCACTGTGAGCATAGCGTACATGTTGGAAATATGTAGATCACCATGGTCCGATGTATGTGTCAGTATACGGAGGTAAGGGCTTCGATGTAAAGTAACAACATATATCAGAAAGTCTTACACATAAGGAGTATCTTAGGTCCTGTCAACGAAAAGTCAAACATCTTCTTAGCATTCATTACAAATGGGTCATTCGGATTTCCCTGTGAATCCACTCGGATACCGAACGCCGTAGAGCTGATCATGTCCATCGTACAAGCTCTAAATAACCTAAATATGAGAGTAAGAAAATGTATATCACTACTTAAAGCGACCCAGCTGGAATGTTATTGATATTATATTTGCTTTTTGACCCTGCTGTTAATTTCACCGTGCACGGTTCGTATTGTATCGTGTTATTGTATATGTATATAATAATCTCTGGTGTCATTATTATACATTAGTAACAGTCGACGACACCTATATATACTGCCTCCTCCGGCTACAGCTAGAACACACAACACTACATCACACCACACCACATTACACCGCACCACACTACACTACACTACACTACACTACACCACACCATACCACACTACACTACAATACAATACACTATATCACACCACACCAAACCACACTACACTACACTACACTACACTACACTATTCCACACCACACCATACCACACTACACTACAATACACTACACCACACCACACCACACCACAACATACCACATTACACAGCACCACACTACACTACACTACACTACACTACACTACACTACACTACACTACATCACACCACACCATATTACACCGCACAACACCACACCACACTACACTACACTACAATACACTACGCTACACTACACACTACACACACTACACACCACATTACACCGCACCACACTACACTACACTACACTACACCACACCACACCACACCACACCACACTACACTACACTACACTACACTGCACTACACTAGATTATTGTTATAATTTCGATCACACATTATATTCCTTCAATGTTATTAAAAACGTATATAAGAAGTACCTTGTCAGTTCCACTTGACCATGGTCTCCTGCTCTGATCGAGTGTGGCAATGTTTTCACTAGCGTATCACAGGCTTCTTGAATCAACGGCACCATCTGTAAACGGATAATGCATGGTCAAAGCTGACAGAGTACTGTTGAGTTGTTGGTTACAAGTACACGAATACATGCATTCTGAATTTCTCCTTTTCTCTTACCTTTCGAAGTTTTGAAGATGAAAATGCAGGAGTGACAATGCTTCTGTTGCGCTTCCAGTGTTCGCCCCTGTTTACGGTTAGTCCGTGTTCCAAATCCCCGTTGTACCCGTCAAACGTCTGTCAGGTAGACTTGATTTATATAACGACTTGGCAAAAATGTGCAATTATCACATATGAATAAAATTGATAACGCGGTGACGAATAGATTGTTTTATATTTCATGGTGATTTGACTAGCAGCATATCAATACCAATAAATAATTTAGGAATAACTCAATCAGATGTGCCCTGTAAACGTGTATCATTAAATCAGTATATCTTTTCTTCAAACACCAATTTGTAGAGAATTCTGTTACTTACCCTCTTATCGATAAAGTTATTGAATTGCTTCACCAGAATTTCTTTCAAAATTTCCTTATCTGCTACCACCAGGTTTGCAGAAAGCATATCGAAATGACTAAAACATATCAAAAGTTAATAAAACTAAAACAAAATACCCACTAGGAAAGACTGACACGGACTCCAGAAAAAGTACAAGGGGAATCAGACCAGGTGTCACGGAGAGAACAAAAATCAAATACCTCCAGCTTCATGTCACACATAGAAATGGAATTATTCCTCATTGAGATCACTATGACGACTGTAAAACGTCCCCATAATTTGCATCAATCTGTATGTATCTCTGTAAGTGGGCGACTTTTTGCACGAAACTCTTGAATAATGGGACTGCCCCTTGGATATAAGGTTTTGGGATGGAGGAATGTCGCTACCCAAAAATGGAAAAAACCACACTAATGAAACTGAAATCATCACTCTTGTGCATTTTAGCAGAAAGCTGTCAATGGTGGTTTCGTTGTAGGAAACGATCGAGATAAACGGCTGATGTAGATAGTCTGCCGTGTCCTTGATTTCCAGTTCTGATGGGTATTTATGATTTCTTGTCATCTAATAAAAACATATGATGTGGCGGAGGAGTTCACACACACCATTCAAATCAGAAATAATGACATTACAATATCTCAACACAAACATCATCAAAATTAATAAATCCAATTGGAGATTCATATATACTGAGCACGGGGCCACACTTGTGATACAACTTTATAATAAGTATGGAGAACAGCCAGGAACTCAGGAAAAGTTTAAACGATTCCATTTTTGGACAACTTGTATTGCTGTTCTGATCATATCATTGACAAATATATAAGAAATATAGAGATAAGATGACGATATTCAACATTCAAGGGCTTACATTGTTGAAAATGTCGACAACTGACATATATAAAGATTTCAATCAACTATAGAAAAATTGTGCGATCGCCATCAGTATTTTATTCGGCAATACTTACCCAAACACTTTTCCGTACATTTTGATTGTGCTAATGTCGAACTCGCGGAAGCCCTGTAAATCACATTCGCTCAAAATTTAATATATATATATACATATAGAATTACACAGCTATAAAAACATTTACATCAGACATAATACTACCTCGGAAGTAATCTCGATTTCACAAAAGATGCTGAATATTCGAATTTTTTATCAAGTTGAAAATAGCGTTATTTTATAGTTAAACCCTTTACTAATTTGAACTGAGTTCGTGGTTACCTTCCCTACTAGTGCCATCAGGTTTCCTACAATAGGGAGAGGTGTCGGTCCTGGTATTCCCATCCTCCTGAACGTCCAGAAGTCACGACTCATCATACTACCCAGAAATAAAAACCTTAATATATTTTCTTTTGTGAAAGCATCGTTATTTCTGTACAGAATCAACGTATGTACATGTCGTTGTATACAAACGACCAGCATGTATTATACTTTTCTGCTTTATGTATAACCGTGTCTAAAAGTATGAGATGTGAATATCACAAGTATTGCCTGTAGGTGAGTTGTAATAGATGGATATCTTAAGAATGTATACATGCCCCTGTTCAAATGTGTATTACGTTATATAAACAAACTGCCAATATCTCATCTATATCATGTGAACTATTAAAAGTTAATATGTAAAATTAAAAGATTCAAAATTGTGCTAGAGGTAAGTCAGATGTTTCATCATAATGCCTCTGGCCAATGATCAATACATAATTCTCACAGTTGATGTCCATAATAAATTAACAAAGGCAGAGGCTTTATGATGAAACATCTGACTTATGTCTAGCGCAATGTTGAATAATTTAATCCTACATATTAACTTTTAATAGATCATTCGTATAATGTATCTGCCTTTGTTAATTTATCACCGACATCTACTGTGAACAATTATGTATTGACCAGTGGCCAGAGGCATTATATCGTTGCTGTTCTACTACACATGTTCATGTACTTTTTCGTTCCCTTGTTATGTAAGTTTTTATATGAGGCCTATCTAAGCAGTCTGTTTGAAGGTCAGTGTAACTTTATTTTGCTGTAAACAGCCGAATCTAATGCCATTTATGTGTATAAGACCTTGTCGGCAACTCATGTATACTTCAATCCATTTTTATCTGTTAGCTAACGTGTAATATTACTTTATCAGTTTATTAACAGTTTTAGTACAAATACGACCACATTTCTAGGCAGTATGGGTATCGGTTCCATCAAAGACGTCTCTGGTTCCATTAAGGCATGTGAGTGTTCCATCTCTCTATAGCCTACATCACAATAAACCTACAGCACCTGAACAGCGTTTGGACTTCTTCATCTCCACTAATCACTACATGAAACAAACTTCATTTTACATGTATACATTGATTTCTCTCCAGACAAATTTTACTCTAGTTTTATCGAGTTTAAATTCCTATTTTGGTAGACAGCCTTTTGTTACTGATTAATTTTCACTGTTATATCTCTATATATAGACACACAACTGTATTTGTCATTACATGTAAAATTATCAACATGTAATAAATAATAATTTTTACAATCATTGTAAAGCAAGTGTATAGTTCATGTGAATCAATGGACCACCCACTCCTGATACTCTGTCGTAAGATAATGCTATTCAAATCTCGGCCGTTCACCGGTTTTGTCGCTTCAGTTGACATACATGCACTTGATACAGTTAATCACCTTCTCTGAAAATCGTTCATAAATAACTCATAAGCATATTGTTTAACATTTCAAAATAACAGTTTAAAATCGCAAATACTCACAATGCATAAAAAACGAAAGCCATCAACAGTACAATTATCCATTGTAGTAAATCAGTTATCTCCATTTTGTCGTCTGCCTTTACAGATAATGCACATGTTACTGCATATGGTTTTTTTTCTGCAATTTTTATCAGTTACACTTAATCTACTCCGTCTTGTATCTGTATATATTACATCACAGTTTTATATTCTCTGTATTATATCTTTATATATATATAACACTATAGTGATATATCTACTCTGTGTTATCTTGCATTGTCAAGGACGCATTTGAGACGAGATTCCATTGACATATATGAAAAACTAAGTCTAGTAACAGTTAGTTTCCATAGGTATGCCAATAGAATGGTGTAAAATCTTTCCACCAAACTCGACGAAGATGTTGTCAACCAGACCCTCGGTCATTATTATGATCTCTTCCGCCGTATGTTTCATCTTTGATTTGGATGTATTTGTAACATAATCCGCTTCTGTATAGTACACAACCATGCCTTTGTACTGGCACTCACCATTCTTTGAAAAGAAATATCGCATAACAAGTTAACAAAAGCATTCCTTCAGTTTAGAACAAGATATAGTGGTTACATGGTAGAAAATCAAAGAAGAGAATGGTGGCGATTAGTCAAAACCTCTTTGGAGTTAAAAATCCTAAATGTAAAAGTTGTGGAAAGAATATTATCATGACATTACATTTCCACAACTTTTACATTTAGGATTTATATTTGCCTCCTATATAACGTCGTCTGTGTTAATCATGTGAACATATATATCTCGTTGACGTATATATGTATATTGCAGATTGCAGTATGACAAAAAACACACAAGTAAATAACGCATTTAATACATAATTACTGAGTTATTATGCACATGACATGCAATAGGACAGCACATTTGAAAACAATCTAGGTACAACGCAGCCAACCCTAGAATTCAGCTGCATCACACAACTCTTTCGTCCTCCTAAAACTCATCAATAATTTCATATACATAATGATTCGTTAAAATGGGACAATATGTAAATTTTGTCAAAAGTCCCCATTAGGTACATGTAGGAAACCATTTTGCTGATAATGTCATTTTTATTATTCCATCCAAGAGCATACTCGATTTCTAGCCATCTGGACAGGTATTGGCAAATCATAAGCCGACAGACATTTGAATGACATCTTTCATAACTAGGGTCTATGATAAATTCGTTTCTGAGTTTCTGAGAACATGCTTTATTGAAAGAGGAAAAGAACATTGAATAATAGAAACTGAGTAATCTTAATAATTAAATTTTATTTTCGAGAATTGATAAGCAATCAGGCAGTCTCTAAAACATCTTTCCTGCAAACCTTTCATATAATTCTAACAATAAGGTACCGACATATATTTGTGAGAGACAATGACAACTTAATGATACAATTTTATCATGATTTTATTCAAACAGCATATTCACCACACAAAAACTGTAGTTGGTGAATAGATACAATTTCTTGAGACATCATTTGTTATAAAGTGTACATCAAGACCAAAGGGGCTGTTACGTCATTTTACTTAAACAATATCTTCATCAGACAGAAACTTCATTCGTGAAAATAAACACAATTCCTTGAGACGTCGTTTGTTATAATGTAAACATCGAGATCCAAGGGGGCGTAACGAAGTTATAGCTATTTTTCAGGACAAGCTATAAATCACTTGTGTCAAGGATATCCCGTTAAGTTCACTTTAAATCATACATATATAGTCAATAAATAGTTATCGCTTTTTTATTCAATTTGTCGTAAAAAATAGAATATCGTATATTTGAACTATTTGCTGGTGACTTGTTCTCTCTTCAGATTAGTGATCATTTCGGACGATTTAGTTATTGGTGCTATTCATAGTGTCAGTCTGTAAGATGTTCATTTTAGCTCATGCTAAGTGATCTCATTTGATTTCCTCCATCTTCAGCCAAGAAGAGATTGGCTTCAAATTTACGGAATCATCCATTTTCGGTGGAATCTAAAATGAAGATATTGTTGTATTTAATATAACATCATTGTGTTATGTCACCTATCCCGTTTTGCTATTTAAACAAAAATCAAGCGTAGTATGAAAAATGATTATCACTTCTAAACTTAATGAATGACGAAAGATTGTCAGTGATACAACGATTTAATTACTCCATGAAGATGAAAAATCGTTTGATCAGTTATAGGAAAAAAACTTACGTCAGTTCTACTACCGACACACAACCGGAAGCTGCGTATGATATATGCTGTTGCCATTTTTGCTTTCAGTAAAGCTAGCCTCATACCGATACAATTACGTGGACCGTATCCGAAGGGAATGTAGTCAAATGGATCGTGGTTTGCCTTCTCCGACGCTGAGAACCTTAAAAAATAACGGTTACCATTGATGTGAGTGGATTTAACACGTGAAAACATCTACACGTCAGTTTGCATATACATTTTAGAACGAAGTGCCAATATAAAGGAGACAGTACAATTCTTTAGAAGTGAAGAAAAAATAAATACATTTCCTCGATACAACATAGTAATAGATCAAACATTACCCATTGATTCCGCCTACATCGCTGATAAACATCAAGTGAAAGAAATGCTACGTAAGCGATGGCCATCAACGTATAATATTCATAGTGTTTGATTGACTAGCATCATTTACTGTATTATAATATGCAGCAAATAGTAACACACACACACACACACACACACACACACACACACACACACACACACACACACACACACACACACACACACACACGCACGCACACACACACACGCACTCACTCACACACACACACACACACACACACACACACACACACACGCACACACACACACACACACACACACACACACACACACACACACACACACACACACACACACACACACACACACACACACACACACACACACACACACACACACACATATATATATATAATGAAAATTGTTTTAAAAAAAACAAGAAAAGGTTAATTTAGCATTTTGCATAACGTTTTCACAGCTTAGCTGCTCCTCAGTGCAATGTTACTATGCAAAGAATCTATGGCGTCATGTTTTTTAAAACATTTTTTCTTTAAATTATCACTTGCGTATCGTCATTAACTATATATATATATATAGGTTACACATCAATGTGTTTCACTCGAATATGATCCATCTACACATGTGACATATCGAGATGTTTCACTAGAACATGATACATCTACACATGTGACATATCGAGATGTTTCACTAGAACATGATCCATATACACATGTGACATATCGAGGTGTTTCACTAGAACATGATCCATCTACACATGTGACATATCGAGATGTTTCACTAGAACATGATCCATCTACACATGTGACATATCGAGATGTTTCACTAGAACATGATACATCTACACATGTGACATATCGAGATGTTTCACTAGAACATGATCCATATACACATGTGACATATCGAGGTGTTTCACTAGAACATGATCCATCTACACATGTGACATATCGAGATGTTTCACTAGAACATGATCCATCTACACATGTGACATATCGAGGTGTTTCAATAGAACATGATCCATATACACATGTGACATATTTAGGTGTTTCACTAGAACATGATCCATATACACATGTGACATATCGAGGTGTTTCACTAGAACATGATCCATGTACGCATGTGACATATCGAGATGTTCTAATATAATATGCTTCAACTACATTGGTGACACATCAATATGTTCCAATACAGGATATATGTTAATAATATTACAATATTCTATTTATTGGGATGAATTTACTTTATACAAGAAGTGCTAATAAACAGTCTTAATGAATAGCATAATACATTGTTTTCAGTCATTAGTCAATTTTTATTTTCATTGTATTGTGAATAAAACACCATGTTTACCTTTCTGGATTGAAAACATCTGGTTTGTCCCAAACATCTGGGTCATGATGCATGGCATACACAGGTATAGTTACCACCATTCCGGCTGGAATCGTTATGTCCTTGACCTTGGTTGTTTTTATACAAGTCCTTTCTATTCTACAATAATAAACGGTTACACAGCTGTCATTTCTACAACGAAAGCTCTCATGGAACGAATGCCACCACAATATTCACTTTATATTCATGTTTTTGTGTTTGGCTGTTATGGTAGAATTAAATGAGATCTGCTAAAATTTGAAAAGACTTGGATAGCAACAAAAACGAGAAAATAAAAATAGCATCGTTCTCCAGCTTCATAAAGTCTGGATTTAACTTTAGACAAAAATATATACGTGAAATAGCAATTATATCGTACAATAGCATTCGTTTGATATATTAGTCTTTTAATTTTAATATCCTAAAGACATGTCCAAAATTTGACGGAAATTGTAATTGTTTCAAGAAACAAAATTACAATATATGATTCAAGTACAATGTAAAAATATTTCTGTACCATAACTAATTCATTAAAGGATTAATGTGAGGGAAACATTTGGTTTGTGAACAAATGACGCTAGTGGACAAATGACACTCGTGAATAGTGAACAGTGAAGACAAGCAATGAATTAAACTGCATTGTACATATGTTTCTAAAGTAGTGCTAAGAGCATACGTTTAAAATCTAAAATGTATGAGGCGACTGAGGAAAATCCATAGCGATCACAAGAAATATAAATTTAGTAAATTCAACATGTCTAATAATTCCAAGAGAACCTCAAGTACATGTGTATATTCTAAAGATCCATTTTCAAAGGCTGGAATGATTCGTTTACTTATTTAATCGATCAAAAATGGAACACATCTTTTTTTTCCAAATACATGACTTTAATGAGATAATTCAAAAGTCAATAGTGATCATTTTACGAGGATCGCCATCCCAAGAAACAACTTCTGTCTCCTTGGTTATTTCTTCAAAAGGAGGCCTCTATATCGTCAGAGACTGTCATGAAAACATGCAATACCAATAACCTAAATCCATCGCATTCAGGTTTTGTTAAATACATCAGTAACAAACGCGCAAAGGTGGCAATGCACTTGCCTATCTTTTTTTTGCAAATTCAGTTGAAATAAACTAAAAACCCTATTAAATAATAGTAGATAAACTTAAACAAAGTGAGATATCGACATGGAGTTTCAGTTTATGTAGTATAGCAGCATCAACGAATCTAAACCAATGCACCACTCCGTGATATGACAAACTGTATTATTTTTGTTATGAAATTGCAATCAGTTAATCAGTTAATTGTTACCATGACAACAATTTGTTAGAAAAGAAATAAATATCTTACTATACTATACCAAGGAGTTAGATAATCATGTGAACAAAACGGTTTGAAAGTGTTGTCTATCTCTATCAAAGTGTCTGTGAATGAACAGATAGAAAGAGAGACGGAAAGTATTTTTTTCTATACCAGTACTAAATTCATACTGCGTGCACAATAACGATAGAATGGTAAAGAGTTACCAAACTATTAACACACAGATAACTTTCTAAATCTCAACTTACAAAACATACTACTAAGCGCCTGCATAGCCAGTGTGTTAAACATTATGTCACCTACCTCAGTGCAGGCGGATAGATCCGGAGAGTCTCACTTAGACACATGTCCAGGTAATGGAGCTTCTGGATATTATCATAGTCGATCATTTTCTGTGATTAATAAGTTTGGTTTTATGATAAATAGGAATATCTATTTTTTTTAAATCAGTGACACGTTAGAAATACATTTGTTGTTTAACATCTTTCGCTTATAAGACAATCTTGCTATGCTATATTTTACTGAAGCATGTTCGCTTTCATAGGAACACTACACTTTTCATATAGAACACGTCACTGTCTTACAAGCACTTAACTTTTCATAGAAGCACTTAACTTTTCATAGAAGCAATTCACTTTTCATAGAAGCACTTAACTTTTCATAGAAGCAATTTACTTTTCATAGAAGCACTTAACTTTTCATAGAAGCAATTAACTTTTCATAGAAACATTTAACTTTTCATAAATACAAATTACTTTTCACAGAAGCCATGGCTTTCCATAAAAGAGTTTAAATTCACGGAACCACTTAACATTTCATATAAGCGCATCAATTTTAACAGAAGCTGTAAACATAGCATATGTGCCCTGAAATTTCACAGAAGCATTGAAATTTTTATAAAAGCGCGTCAGATTTCATAGAAGCTGTGATAGAAACTGTGAATTTTTCATAGAAAGATAACACTTTTCACAGGATCAGTGAACTTTTTTTATAAGAGCGTTTTGTTTTTACAGAAGCACTTAACTTGTCATAGAAGCATGTCGCTCTCAATCAAGCACGTCACTTTCATGGAAACACGTCTCTTTCATGGAAGCACGTCTTTTTTCATAGACGTACATAACTTTCCAAAGAAACACCGTTCATCATAGAAGGGACTCATCAATTTTTGTCATATCTTATTCTCTCTTTGAACAATCTGTTTTAAACTTAACTATTCTGACAGGTTCAGCCATGTAAGCATTGAAATAGATACAGAGAACGAAATATAATTCAAGACATACCGATCCAATCTCTTCTTCAATTTCTTGACGGAGTCGCTCCTGACAGTCTGGATTTGTAGCAAGGTTGTAAGCTAGCATTGTCAGGGTTACAGACGTAGTTTCGTAACCCGCAACAAAGAACACTTCTGCGTTCGCCAGAATCCCTTCAAAGCTCATACCTATCATTTGTCATATTAAGAGAGTGAGCACAAAATTGAAGATAACATGATTATCACATTTCAGCTTTATCAAATAAGCACAAAATCATGTTTTGATGAATATTCCACTACGGAAGAAATTATTACAATGGTGTATAATTATTTTCAGCCGACACAATACCTTTTGTTTACCATGCACTAATGAAGCACCATTTCCCTGGTGGTTCACCAGTGTAACATTATTTACAGCCGACACAATACCTTTTGTTTACCATGCACTAATGAAGCACCATTTCCCTGGTGGTTCACCAGTGTAACATTATTTACAGCCGACACAATACCTTTTGTTTACCATGCACTAATGAAGCACCATTTCCCTGGTGGTTCACCAGTGTAACATTATTTACAGCCGACACAATACCTTTTGTTTACCATACACTAATGAAGCACCGTTTCCCTGGTGGTTCACTAGTGTAACATTATTTACAGCCGACACAATACCTTTACCATACACTAATGAAGCACCATTTCCCTGGTGGTTCACCAGTGTAACATTATTTACAGCCGACACAATACTTTTTGTTTACCATGCACTAATGAAGCACCATTTCCCTGGTGTTTCACCAGTGTAACATTATTTACAGCCGAAACAATACCTCTTGTTTACCATACACTAATGAAGCACCATTTCCGTGGGGTTTCATCAGTGTATTTGTATGTACAGCAAAAACAATATATTTTGTTTACAATAAATCAATGAAACACTATTTCCGTGGCGTTTTCACCAGTGTTTCATTATGTACAGTCCAGCCAATACCTTTTATATACCATACATTAATGATGCACTATTTCCGTGGTGTTTCACCAGTGTAACATTAATTACAGCCCAAACAATACCTTTTAGTTTAGTTTTTGATTCCTTAGGATCAGTGGAACTTTCGCCTCCCTCTGGTGCCTGACTTTCTTCTTGGGAGTCAATCATCAACTGGAGAAAATCACTGCGACCTTCCTACAATAATTAAATGTAGATTTCACATTATCGGTAATGATATCACTGGTTTTTGTAGAATAAATTGAAAACATCATATTAACTTTTGTTGTACGTCTCTTAAGATATCAAAATACCAACATGTCAACATAATCGTAATCCAAACTCAAATTCTATAAACTTGGGCAAAATAATACTAGTAAAAATACACGGATTATCCCTAAAATGTACAGGGAGAATAAGACCAGGTGTTGAGAGTTATTTAGGTTACATAATTACACGTACATGTATACGTAGAATATGCGTCTACTTTCTGGTAGAGGCAGTTATTTATTCAATTCAGTTTACCAATTTAAGGGAATTTACGTCTACTAGGATGGCCTTTTGGTCTTTCAGTGAACGAGAAAGATAGGGAAATGGATAGAAAGAAAACAGTATTTAGTGTGAGTGGGATGCAGTGATAGGGAAGAGAGGAGTTGTCTTTACTATCAGATATGTTAGTAACCTTTAATTTTGAAGGCGACCCCTTGGCCTGATTATAGTCCCAACATAACTTTGCAAGTCGTAGCACAGGAACTGGTTGTGGACATGTAAATTTCGATATTTCGTAATATATTTGGAAGACTGCCAAACTTCCTTAACAAATAGTCCCTAATGCTAACCCGAACCTCTGACAGGGATTGCCAAGCCTACTTTTTTTAGAGGTCCCGTAGAGGGACGTTTAACCTTGATCACCTTATTTCATAGGGATGTCAGGTAAGGAATTAATGTACAGCTTCTCCAAAACATTCCCCGTAAGTGGGAAGAAAGAATAAAATGGACTGTTCAGTGCAACATCAGCAGATAGCATGACTAACTTAAATAAAGTCGAGACTCTCTGAGGTTAAAACGTGCAATATAAACGTGATTATTTCAATTTCCCTATTGCGAATTTCTGGAAAACAACATATGATGTTTAATATCGCAGTTGATTCAGTATCCAAGGACCTGTTCCCATTACCAGGATTTCCTGGCAAAAAAGTCATCATCTGATGGACAAACCATAAACACAGGCCTTCAAAAGATGCAAATAGATGAAAATCATGTGGAAGTTTTACGATCATCGAAGTAATCTCATAGAGAAGTATTCTGTTCCTTGATATATCTTCAGATATGAAGCCGAATTTGTTTGATGTCGTTAGTTTGCTTATTGGTTCCGTAACGGTTGCTGTTTACCTTCTTCTCATTTGAGAATGGGACATTACTTGGACTGACTAAGGTTTACATAGCGGATGTCATCGATGAAGCAGAAGACGCTTACTCTTCCGGGACATCTGGTCTTATTTTCCATTTACTGTTTCTCTGACATCATCAAAAACGACAAGGTCTATCAACACGTAATAGGTTCTAAAATCTCTTACATTAAAACATAATAATTAAATTGGTAGTATTATGTGATGTATGAACGAAATAAGATGCGAATCTGACAATTATTCGGAGAGTTGGTACATTTCAAAAATAAAATCTCCCAAACATTGATTAATGAAAAAATCCCTAGTTCTATTTCGAGCCAATTCCAGTTCTACATTCTACATAAATCGGACCACAAACCTTTCAATTGTTCTCATTGTGAAGTTATTCTATACATTAAATTATATTGTTCTATTTACTAATCATGTATTTGTAAATGAATTCGTCTTTCTTACTTTTTTCTTTATCTTTTACAAATATAAATACTTCAACTAACCTTCTTGTTTCTTTTTCTTTCTTCAATAAGCCGAGAAGTAAATTGACGGAAATAATCCATGCTGTCTCTCGGCAAAGCGTAAATACCACATCGTATCAATATGTGTTTGATTGGTGGAAATAACACTGTAACCACAAGATGACAGTATTTTCTATTTATGACCACTGAAATATGTATGATGTATACAGAAGAGCTTTAAAACATGAAATATATCACTGGCAGTTAGTTCTACATATTAAAGAAAATTGGATTAACAGTGAAAACTAACCTCGAAACACTATTTTCAAGTCGATACAAAACAAAAACTCCACTGCATGAAAGTAGCAATAAAATACAATGTTTATCAAATAAGCAATACCTCTGCAGATTTAGTCATCATCTAAAGACATGTTTAGTCATAATCTATAGACATGTTTAGGCATCAGTTATAGACATGTTTAGTCCTCAGTTATAGACATGTCTAGTCATCATCTATATACATGCTTAGTCATCAGCTATAGACATGTTTAGTCATCAGCTATAGGCGTGTTTAGTCATCAGCTATAGGCATGATCAGTCATCAGTTATAGACATGTTGAGTCCTTAGTTATAGGCATATTTAGTCATCAGCTACATACATGTTTAGTCATCAAGTATATGCGTGTTTAGTCATCAGCTATATACATGTTAAGTCATCAGCTTTAGACATGTTTAGTCATCAGCTTTAAGAGAAAGGTTTATCCATATTTAGTCATCATCTATATACATGATCAGTCATCAGCTATAGACATGTTTAGTCATCATCTATATACATGATCAGTCATCTGCAATAGACATGTTTAGTCATCAGCTATAGGTATGTTTAGTCATCATCTATATACATGATCAGTCATCAGCTATAGACATGTTTAGTCATCAGCTATAGACATGTTTAGTCATCAGCTATAGACATGTTTAGTCATCAGCTATAGACATGTTTAGTCATCAGCTATAGGCGTGTTTAGTCATCAGCTATACAATCTGCATAGTGTACTCACTAGCAAGGAGTATCCAGGTACCCATGATTGTGAAGTCGAATAATCTTTTTGCATGCCTTATGAATGGGTCGTCCGGATTACCCTGGGAATCTATGTGAATACCAAATGCAGTGGAACTGATCACATCCATAGTATAACCACCAAACAGTCTACGAAAGTAACATTAAAAATGTGTTATATAAATATGTAACAAGTGTATATCTTTAAGAGAAAGGTTTATCCATACGAAGATTATAGTCAAAAGTCACAGATTACAAGCACGTTCCAGTGTAAATCTAGAATCAGCCACCACACAGCCAAATCATTCATTCTTCTAGGTCTAATCGGTGATGCGAAAGGTCACAACGCTGGGGTTTTATAATGAAGCTTTGTCGCGGCACCAGTAAAATGATAGTTACACTAACATGCTGCATAACGGCTTGATATACGGTTGTATTTATACTAATATGTCATAAAACTGTTGATAAAGTAATATTACACATTAGATAAAAGGCTAACAAATATCGATTACATGAGTAGGTGACAGAGACTTATACATGAGAATGGTCGTAGATTAGGTTGTTTCTCTCAAGTATACACTGACCTTCATGCCAACTGCCTAGATAGGACTAAGGAAATTACTTATATCATCAGGGAATGAATTCATACATGTGCTTCTGGATACTGGTCAAAACATAAGTGCCCGCTGGTCTATAGATGTCAGATACAAATTTAGCTAGTCTCATTCAGGCTTTGAAAATCTGGTATATGTCTAACTGAACACAATTTTGAATAATGTAATTAACATGCATATTAACTTTACTAATAGTTCAGTTTAATCAAACAGGGATCTGTCGAAATCTAGATTGGAGGAGCCCAAACCCCAAAATAATTTTTTTCTCTAAATTAAATCCTAAATTCTCACTCTCACAAATAGTGCAACACAACACACACATGAATTTTTACAATTAACATTCTAACCTTTATTCCTTTAACCAATATATTGATTAAATGGAAGGCACGTGGCGCAGTGTACCCATTCAGAACGTATGAACGCATATCTCACTGAAAAAGGGACAACATTCCCTCCGAATGAAGTGGGGAATGGGTAAGTTTTACCCCATGTTTTTCTTCTTCATTATTTTTTATTCTTTGGGTCGGATTCGAATGCAACTTTACATGAGCATAGATGACCATCTCTATTGAAAGTTTTGTACTTTCAACACTGATGTTGTTCGATCGGACGTCAAAGAAACAAAAACAAAAAAACAAACAAACAAAACTGCCAGAGCCCCTGAATGAGCAAAAACCAACGGACTATATCTGAGTTACATGCAATTTTCCCGAAAATATAGCCCGATCTTTTGTAACCATGGCATTTACATGTAACACATAGATGAATAAGGGTAATAAAAAGTACATACTCCTTTATCTCCACTTGACCGTCGTTGCCAGACTTCATGGCATTGCGGCAGGTTTCTATCAACGTTTCACATGATTTTTGGATCAATGGCGCCATCTGAAATAAAGAAAAAGATACCTTTAACTAAACAGTGTTGTGAAACAAAAAGTGATAAGTTCCAATTATGAACAAATGAAAGATTTCAAAAAGACATTTGGGATGTAAAAACAGAATAAGACAGTTATTATTAAATTACTGAATGTCAAACAAACCATTATCTTAAATAAAACTCGATAGGACGAGTGCAACCTATGAATAGAGGAACGATTTCCATGAGACATTTGAAAAGTAAAATGCGGAATAAAATAATGATTTATTCATTCAATGTCACTTACCTAGGCTAAATTAAAAAAACGACAAAACACATTAGAGAGTATCAAATACAATAAACAAGTACTATAAGAAAAATAATATTTCCTAATGACGTCCATAATACTTCAGCAAATCAATGTTTCTCAGAATGTATAACGAACGAAAAAAGAATTCACAACAGTGATTGCGGTTTCTACATCCAATACAGCACCAGTTACTTACTTCATCTTTAGTTTCAGATTTAAGGCTGAAAACAAAACATCAGTTTCATATAATGCCTACCTTGCGTATTTTTCCAGATGAAAATGTGGGAGATATAATGCTTCTGTCGTGTTTCCACTGTTCACCTTTAGTTACCAAAAGACTATTATCGATATCCCCATTGAAGCCTTCTAAACTCTGAAATAAAGGTCACAGAACTGGACAACAACTTCAGATGAACAGAGAGTATCCGTTGTTAAAACAATATTGTAGTAAAAATCTTGAAACATTGACCATTTATTTCGTATGGTGTGACACGTACCCGTCTATCTGGAAAGTTATTGAACTGCTTCACGAGAATTTCCCTCGCCATTTCTTTGTCTGCTACCACGAGATTTGTGCTCAGCATATCAAAAAACCTATAATTCAACGGACAAATGATTTGAGATAGCAAACTTTATACTACATTTCTTATTCTAAAAAGGAAACCATGAAACAAATAAGACACATGAATGAATGATCTCGATATGTGAGGCTTGGGGTTCTCGTCTTGATATCCACCATCATACGACAGGTGCTGATCTATCACGATCAGATACAAACAAACTCCTTGTATAACATTTAAGGACTGAATTGACACCTATTATTAGTTATGTAGTTCGCCCGAATCCCCCTACCAATCTGACTGAACCCCTATATTCCTGTAGGGGGTCACTAGCAAACTACATAACGAATTTATTGCACCAAGGACCCATTTAAATATATATATAATACGTCCCATCACATTTCCTGGCATCCATGTAAAAATGGCCAAGACATTCGTCCAGTCGGACTACATCGTAATCTTCAAAATCTGGGTTTTGCTGCTTTTCCACCAAATAATCTTTGAACACTTTAGCGGCCAACTTATTAGCTTTTAACGTCTTATCAGCGTTAAGTGCCAGGCGTTTTTTTCCTTGTCTGCAGCTGTCGTCTGCCCGAACCGCCCAGCCATTTTTGATCCGAGTCAAATAGGTGCTTCGTGTAGGGGAAACAACTCGTACTAGATAATAGCAACTTCTAGGATTCACTCTAGCCAATATCGCCAATCTGTGATTTGAAATTACGAAGTGACGCCTTTCAGAGATAATGGATGGCGGCCACTGCCCCCTATATATTCAGCTGCCCCCAATAGATTTATAGGGGGCAAGCAACGTCCAATCAGATCAATGCATTCTAGTCCGAGGTGCAATAAATAAGATAAATGACCAACAAAATTTGAATTTAATTAAAAAAAAGGAATATTTTAAGAATATTTAGTCCCAGCTGTAAACGCTTGTCAGATGTAGTGAAAAGAAGCAAAGAATCAAGATCATAGTAAGTCCGTCCACAGCAACATGTTAATAGACAGGTTCGAAATAATATGGCTACAATGGTATTCCCTACCAATATCTGTTGACATTTATTTCTCTTTTCACTTAATTGACTTCTACAACCAGAAGCCAAAAGGACATACCCAAACACGCTACCGAATTCCCGTATCCCATCCACAAGAAAGGCGCGATTACCCTGGAAAGAAACGGAACTCCTTAATAGGGACAGGTAATACATAAGATATCAAACCAGTTTGAAAAAATAATGTCGTAAATTTGATTATCAAATTGGTTAAGTATGTATTTGCAATAAGCTGGGAGCTAGAATTTTTGCCGTCTATATAAAGAAAACCAATTGAGTGTAACCGATGGACTGCACGGTCAGCTAGACCTATAACAGTCTAACATCGACATTAACAGTGACGAGAGGTTGTCGAATCATTGCCGATTCAAAGTAAATGCTGTTGGATAACAGGATAAAGGCTTCATTCAAAATCTCTTTCGTTTTACAAGCCTCTATAAACCCTGTATTGTCCTATAGATGTGCGAACAATGATATTCATGTTTCATATAGTTCAAAAGTCTGAAATCTGTCCCAATATATTGCCACCTTTTATCGGCTGGTAAAGTATAATCGTGATACAATAATACATTGCTGTGAGAAACATCTAAAAAACCTTACTCATAAGGCGCGGCTTATATTCTATGATGATAATCAATTGCAGGTTTATTTCTATACGAAATTACAGGCTTATTTTCAGTATATGTTTATTTTGTGGTCGGTTTGTTCCCAGTTCTTAGTGTAAATCCTTTTGAATATTGAACTTTTTTGAGAAGCTGTGTGTGTTATAGCCATCGCCCAGATCAGCTCTTCGCTTGCTAGACTACTTATAGCCTGGGCCGACTTTTATACCACAAAAGACCCAACAACACACATATATGCCTCCACGGAAAGAATATAAAACGTGTTTGGAAATTAGTTCAAGAAGGTATTGATGCTGGTATTTTATGAATACATGTATGCAAGACAAATAGAAGAAACAAAACCCAAAAAACAATTTTCCTCGACACTTGATGACGTTCAGGGAAAGATTGTCATGGATCCCTTCTCAATTTTAACTAAACTACAGACACTGATACAATAATAGCCATTGGAAGTCTCACCTTCTTTACTATCTGGCCAAGATTACCGAAAACCAGTGCAGGTTTAGGGCCTGGTATCCCCATCTTGGTGAAGGTCCAGAAGTCTCGGCTCATCAAACTGCAACATATTCCACGTATATTTACTTAATGTGTAGTAGGGTTTTATTACTGTATAAACAATCAAACAAAACAAAACTTCCTTTCAAATTTCTAACTGGTTCTTTAATTCTGGTTTTTATTACTTATGTTTTTGTTCATACAATTTATATTACAATCAGAGGATAGTAAATTACATAGAATATACAAATCAGAGAAAGAGAGGAAATATCTGGAACGCCTGGTCTTGTTCTTGTACTTTTTCTGGAGTGTACGTATACATCTTTCCTCTGTTCGTGTTTTTCCCACGTTGTACTGAACTTGGGTTTGGGTAATTATTTTGTCGTTCATATCGTGGTATTTACCTGTTGTATAAGCTGCTTCACTAAAGAGGTGTTATGTCATTGTAACGTCAACATTATTTAAGAGTGTCTCAGTAGCATCTTCTGTTTTCGAAACATGTCATATAACATGGGTTCATTTGCAAAAGTGCTCGAAGAGTAAATATTTCGTTTGGTTTAATTAAAATCAAATTTGAGTAGAGCATTAAGTAAGTTACTTTCAAGATCTCGGTAGAATTTACTGTGACACCAAATATACAACACAGAATGTAGATATCACTTTATTATATATGACCTTCAACCGTGGGTTATTGATGGTTTTCGTTCTTTCTTCTGACGTCATACCAGAGCACTTGTTGTAACAGCCAAACAAATATACCACGACCATTATTACTTAGGCAACATTTACGGAGAACTTGATTTCCGATTATTTATCACTTAAATAGAAATCCATACATATTAAATCGAATATATAAGGAATGCATTAAAATTCTAATTTAATTTTCAAAATTTTATTTTAGTTCTGAAAATTTTAGTTACATAACAAAATATCGCAAGAAACAACTCACTAAACGGAAGTAATACTGGTTAACATTCTTAAGTCATGACGAGAACATAGATAGATTATCACGTGGTACCTGCCTCTTATGCCATATACAGTAAGTAAACATTGGATAAGGTATTGAGTAAACTGTGTCGGACAGACAATCTGTGACTAACTAACTAACTTTTCAATGCCGGATGTAACTATATGGTTATATTCACTGAATATCCTAGGAATCCTGTGATAAAAATTAACAAATATTCGTAAGGCACGACTGATTTATATTCAACGTTTACCCGTTTTGGCTATTTGTAATCCATATCAGTTTATGTTGTTAAAAGACCCACCTACATTGTATCGCCTGATTTGTCTAGAATAGCAACCATTTCGAGTCCTTTCTAGCACCGATCAGGTTGAATGAGGTATTAAAACAAATGAATTTCATCTCTACATAAATGGCAATGTACTTACTATACATAAAGAATGACAGCTAGAGGCATCAGAACTAGCAATGGAGACACGGAAACACCCGCAACCTCCATGTTATCGCTCTACTAAATGACGCCTAGGACACACATACATTGTGTACAAGTACACATTCCTAAACTGCAGCTGGCCGTAAACAGTGTACATTGTATATAGTGCAATCTTTCAATACGTTTACACACACTACAATAACACAGTGTGATCCTTCAATCCGTTTACGTACACTACAATAACACAGTGTGATCCTTCAATCCGTTTACGTACACTACAATAACACAGTGTACATTGTATATAGTGCAATCTTTCAATCCGTTTACGTACACAACAATAACACAGTGTGATCGTTCAATCCGTTTAGATACACTACAATAACACAGTGCAATCTTTCAATCCGTTTACATACACTACAATAACACAGTGTGATCCTTCAATCCGTTTAGATACACTACAATAACACAGTGTAATATTTCAATCCGTTTACATACACTACAATAACACAGTGTGATATTTCAATCCGTTTACATACACTACAATAACACAGTGTGATCGTTCAATCCGTTTACATACACTAGAATAACACAGTGTGATCTTTCAATCCGTTTACATACACTACAATAACACAGTGCGATATTTCAATCCGTTTATATACACTACAATAACACAGTGTGATATTTCAATCCGTTTACATACACTACAATAACACAGTGTGATATTTCAATCCGTTTACATACACTACAACAACACAGTGTGATATTTCAATCCGTTTACATACACTACAATAACACAGTGTGATATTTCAATCCGTTTACATACACTAGAATAAGACAATGTATTTATCCGTAAGGCAATGAAATATGGAAATTATGAATTTTTGTTTTAAATCAGTTTCTAGTTAACTTAGGTTAATTAACAGGGAATAACATGGTGGTGTATTTTGATGTCACATCATTGGTTGACGGGGGTTGCTGAAGGCAACATGTGACTAAGGAGACAACTCGTGACAAGTATGACACATTTATTTATTTATTTGGCTATTGTTGATAAAATAAGTAATATGACATATTACTAGCATGGTGATTGCTTAGGAATTTCTAATTGTAAGTAGGATTGGTTTCTTCGAGAGAGAACTTAGTATATATTCGATTTTCTTTAAATCAAAGCATTCTGACGAATTTCTTACTTTAAAACAGATATAGTTCGATATGTGTGAAGTGGAGTTGAACGATATATGTAAAATTATATATATATATATATATATATATATAATCATGTCCTTTTCCTACATGTTTGAGTTATATTTTCTATGTTAAATATGATCTTTGCAGGTAATGAAATGGTTGATGTAAGATAAGAATACATTTATACAAGTTCATAATAAACTCATGAAAATAATGATAATTTGTTATAAAGAAGCACGCGCCATAACACCATAATGACGCTAAATAGCATCTCATACTCGTCTCATACTCGTCTTCAAATATCTTAGTTTGCTCAAAAATCGTCTGTGTTCAGGAAATCAAATGTCAGATTTCTCGTAAGCTGATGACAGTTTTCTGGTGAAGTGAAAGGCGAGGATTGTCCCGGGTAGAAAGAACAACCCATTGGATTATGTCGTCCCTAACACTAATTCAATGTGACAACATGACTGGAACAAGTCACCAGTTTGTGAATAATATCTTTATTGGACCTCTCAAGGGATCAGCGTTTGGCTAAATCAAATTTTAAATATGTTTATCAATAGCACATACAGTATTGAATCATTGTGGTATGACTATTCAGCGGTCTTAGTACTCATTTACAGTATTACAATCACGTGATTTCTCTCTCGTTTACAATATCAGTGGACAAAGAGGGCGAATAAGATTTTGAATTTTGAATTCAACAAGTTGAAAGAAATATTCAGTTATCTGGTAATTTAACTTATGACCATGAAATATTTTTTTTAAAATGAGCTATGACCAGTTCTAAAGTTGTTATTTCTTTTTGTCAATGTGAATTTTTGAAGTTGAACACCTGCGTGTTAACGTTATTTTAACGCAAAAAAATAACGTTATTTTAGTGTCACTTCAACGTTAAGATAAAATTCAGATTTTTAACGTAACATTTAACACCAGAATTACATTGTAATTTGACGTCATTTTAACAATTAATATTTTAACGTTATTTCAACGTACGTGCTCGTTTCACGCGAGTTTGACATTAAAATAACGTTATGAAAAATTGGTAGTGTTTGAGACTTAATTTAAACGAAAAATGTCATATCCTAGAAAATAATACCTAGTCTTGTAGGTGTGATATTTTCTTTTCTCTGACATTGTTAAGACTTGGTTGATTTCTTGACACTTTCCATGACGTTACTCTTAATACCTGCACACAAGATCACATAACTCTGTATTACGAAAAGATCAGGGCTTATCAAATGTAATAAAGGAAATTTATCAAATGTTACTTAGTGTATCATCTAAGTTATTTCAGAACTTCAGGACCTTTTGTAGATAGACTAACTTTTTTAATTCGTTCAATACATTTCATGCGTTAAAAAAATCGTTCACATATGTGGCTCTTGAACTACGTTAAGAACTCATAACGGTCGGTCAGACAGGAAAAACAGGTCCACCCACTCTCTCATACACTTACTTAGAGGGGGGGGGTGGGGGGTGGGGGGTGGGTGGGGGGGGGGGGGGGGGGGGTTGGTCAGACAGCAAAAACAGGTCCACCCACTCTCTCATACACTTACTTAGAGAGGGGTTGGTCAGACAGCAAAAACAGGTCCAACCACTCTCTCATACACTTACTTAGAGGGGGGTTGGTCAGACAGCAAAAACAGGTCCAACCACTCTCTCATCTCTCATACACTTACTGAGACTGGGGGGGGGGGGGGGGGGGGGGGGGGCAGACAGCAAATACAGGTCCACCCACCTGTATAGTAAAGGGGAACCTCTTTATATAGATAAATACTAGCTTACAGGCTTACAGAGTACAATACCTTTAAGCTACCCGGTTATTCGACTACAGTTTTATCTCTAATGATGAATTTTGAGACATACAAATATCCGATTATGTTTGATAAAAAGGGTGTATACCTGTTGCAGATCATGTTTATATGTGAACTCGTTCAAGGTTAGCAAACACACATACACACAGTTAGTCGGTAAAACGCTGACTAGAAAGATACCGGTACAATCTATAAATAGAGCTTTTAATCATTGTGAGATATCAAGTCAGACGTGTTAGCAGGCCTTACCCTTACGTTAATATTGTAGAAATAAAAGGAGGTTTATAAATTTCTAAGGATGACCAGAGTGTACATGACAGACGTCGTCAATACAACATGATACCCTTACCTGTGGTCTTATTCTTAATACAAAGAAATCAGTTGTATTTGTTTTGTTAATATCTTCCCTCGTCCTAGGATTACGGGCTTCTTTTGTGTCGACATATCTTTTTGTTTTTCTTTTTGTTTGTTTTAAGTTGTTTAATTTTGGGTTGAAATGATAATGGTAAAATACGAGGAATCAATAACGTGTATAAAGAACGCTTTATTTTCCGCTGGTGTTTCGTCATAGTAATGCTAATCGACCGCTATGATAACGATAAGGACGATATGACATCATACAAATGTTTGAAATTACCCAAGGACATTATTTTATCTAAATATGTTATGTAGATATGATAAGTCCGGTGTATATGTCGTTTTTACTAAATGTTTTATGTTTTGATATTTACAAGTCATATAAAACGCAAAAAAAAATAAAATAAAATAAAAATAAAAATAAAAATAAAAAATAAATAGATAAATGAAAAAATAAAAAAGATAGAAGATTTAATTTTCAAACACATTGTTAAAATATTGGTTAAAAGTACAACAGTTTGATTAAGTAGTTCATATGAGGGTCAAAGGTTACAAAAACAAAATAAAGTTCATAGAAAATATTGTTATGGTTTCAAACACGGTGATGAGATGTATCAGTAAGGTCATGATTGTCTATACCACATCCTTAAGACACATGGATAGATAGGGAAAACAGATATAATCAAGAGATACAAAGCAATGACACGGTAATACGAGAGAGAGAGAGAGAGAGAGAGAGAGAGAGAGAGAGAGAGAGAGAGAGAGAGAGAGAGAGAGAGAGAGAGAGAGAGAGAGAGAGAGAGAGAGAGAGAGAGAGAGAGAGAGAGAGAGAGAGAGAGAGAGAGAGAGAGAGAGAGAGAGAGAGAGAGAGAGAGAGAGAGAGAGAGAGAGAGAGAGAGAGAGAGAGAGAGAGAGAGAGAGAGAGAGAGAGAGAGAGAGAGAGAGAGAGAGAGAGAGAGAGAGAGAGAGAGAGAGAGAGAGAGAGAGAGAGAGAGAGAGAGAGAGAGAGAGAGAGAGAGAGAGAGAGAGAGAGAGAGAGAGAGAGAGAGAGAGAGAGAGAGAGAGAGAGAGAGAGAGAGAGAGAGAGAGAGAGAGAGAGAGAGAGAGAGAGAGAGAGAGAGAGAGAGAGAGAGAGAGAGAGAGAGAGAGAGAGAGAGAGAGAGAGAGAGAGAGAGAGAGAGAGAGAGAGAGAGAGAGAGAGAGAGAGAGAGAGAGAGAGAGAGAGAGAGAGAGAGAGAGAGAGAGAGAGAGAGAGAGAGAGAGAGAGAGAGAGAGAGAGAGAGAGAGAGAGAGAGAGAGAGAGAGAGAGAGAGAGAGAGAGAGAGAGAGAGAGAGAGAGAGAGAGAGAGAGAGAGAGAGAGAGAGAGAGAGAGAGAGAGAGAGAGAGAGAGAGAGAGAGAGAGAGTTTTTATCACTAAATTGTGTTCTTATCGGTATCTTTATTTCAAGGCATAAAAGAATCATAACTCTTGCAGAATCGACTGGAAGCAGACACTGGTTTATAAAGTTTACTATAAGAAAATGAAAAAAAATCTAAGTAAAAAATCATTTTTTCCATGTCGACGATAGAGGTCAAATTTGGGATCCCCTGACTGCGAACTCGCACGCATTTATAACAATATGAAGGAACCAGCTGATAATTTTGAAACAATGCAATGGACGATTAGACATTCAAACATACTAATAGTTTGTTTATCCTCTGGTGAGACTATCGGATTTATACAATTAGTCATCCATCAAAGTAGAATCCGTAATATTTAGAGAAAAACCACAATGTTTATATTGATATACAGGAACATCCTGGCGACAGTTTTTTTTTACACAAGCCAGACATTATACTGGTTTAATGGTTTGACTCATTCAATTTCTTCCATTTTCAGCCATAAGTGCGTCGGCTTCAAAAGTTCGTAGTTTTCGAGTTTCGGTGGAATCTGAAACAAAAAATCTGATTTAACTCATTTGTACCGATGATCATTTCTGTTCGTGTAAAAATATTGATATACGATTTTTTAAAAAAATACAATACGAATAAATAATTATATCGTTAGTATACAATATACTTATACATCCGGGAAATACAGATCAAGATGGAGCATCAAATAGGCAATCATAATCATCGTCCTAAATTATAACTGATGCACTTACGTCAGTTTTACTGCCGACACTCAGCCGGAAGTTGCGCACAACATGAACAGTTGCCATTTTTGCTTCTAATAAAGCCAGTCTCATGCCAATGCAGTTCCTTGGGCCGTAACCAAAGGGTATGTAATCGAGTGGATCGTGTTTGGCTTTTTCAGCTGGGGAAAACCTTTAATAAATGAGTTATAGTTGTAATCAGTGATGAACATTAGTGTGGCTACATACTGCTATTAATTAATCACTGGAATAGGTTTGATGATGTTAATGATGAGTCGTTGCACCAACCCATGTTACAACACGTGTTTTTATACAAACACAGGTGATGTTAATGATGAGTCGTGGTACCAACCCATGTTACAACACGTGTTTTTATACAAACACAGGTGATGTTAATGATGAGTCGTTGTACCAACCCATGTTACAACACGTGGTCTTATACAAACACAGGTGATGTTAATGATGAGTCGTTGTACACAGGTGATGTTAATGCTGAGTCTTGGTACTAAACCATGTTACGACACGTGGTCTTATACAAACACAGATGATGTTAATGATGAGTCGTGGTACTAACCCATGTTACAACACGTGTTTTTATACAAACACAGATGATGTTAATGATGAGTCGTGGTACCAACCCATGTTACAACACGTGTTTTTATACAAACACAGGTGATGTTAATGATGAGTCGTTGTACCAACCCATGTTACAACACGTGGTCTTATACAAACACAGGTGATGTTAATGATGAGTCGTTGTACACAGGTGATGTTAATGCTGAGTCTTGGTACTAAACCATGTTACGACACGTGGTCTTATACAAACACAGGTGATGTTAATGATGAGTCGTTGTACCAAACCATGTTACAACACGTGGTCTTATACAAACACAGGTGAAGTTAATGAGGAGTCGTTGTACCAACCCATGTTACAACACGTGGTCTTATACAAACACAGATTAGAAGAAAATTTTGTCTTGTGAATGATAATTTTAAAGTTTTTGTAAATCCCGCAATTAGTGAAAACTAAGAGACCTTAATTGATATGAAAAATATATAAAACACGACAAAACACCAGCCTACAGTCGAACCTCGTTCCTGTGCATCTTAATCTATATAAAAGAGTATTCGATTGAATTGAGTTCGAATGTTTCGAATTAAACGAGATTTCCGAGTCAACATAGTTTAGTTTTCCGTTTATCGATAATTCTTTAGACGATCAATTACCTCTGTGGATTGAAAACGTCTGGTTTTCCCCAAACATCCGGATCATTCTGCATCGCATACACAGGAACGCTTACCGCCATACCGGCTGGAATAGTGATGTCTTTTACCTTTGTAGTTTTAACACAGACTCTTTCAAATCTACAACGAGAATTAATCCAATATTAGCTAGCAAAAGTAATTCATACACGATGCCACGAGAGCAAACTATTATCAAGGGATTCAAATGAAGAATAACGCAAGGAGAGTACGAAGAAATGTTAGTGAAGATCAAACACCTAGTTCTGCTCCATAGACGACATCGTATGATAAGATGTGGCACCTACCTCATCGCTGGAGGGTACATCCGCAAAGTCTCATTTATACACATATCAAGGTACTGAAGTTTCTGGACATTCTCATGGTCAATCGGGCTCTGTGTGTAATCAATATATAAAAACAAAGTTATACTCAAACAACGAATTTTTTTCAAAAGCGGTTTTTACAGAACGTATCAACGAATCCAACCATTAACTACATACAAACATAACTAGTGCTGGCAGTTTTGTAAATAGATTTTTGATATCGAGAAACAATTTTAATGTTATCACGACCTACCAATCCATTCGTCTCTACTTTTCTGGTCCACGTTGTAAGGATGTGACAAATAAACAGCATATTGAATACCTCTAACCAAACGGAACAATCGGGACCAAAGAGAAATATAAAAAAAAACGAGTAATTATTCGCTTAACATCTTATATTTTATTTCTGAATATTCAGTAATTAAATCATTGAAAAGATTTATGTATTTTCGTATCTAGATATTTTTTTAATGTAAGCGCGAGACGAAATCGATATATCTAAACGTGGAAATAGAGAACATAGCAAGGTCTCTATGGTCACTTCCGATAAGTTCTTCGATAAAAATTCAGCCTTTATGAAAACAATTGTATCAGTAAACAGCGTCAAACGCTACGGATACATGTATGACCTCTTCAATAACATCCAACCAACCGTCTTGACCATATCATTAACTTTTTTAAAATCAATTGATTTATCCATCTATTAAACATTCAACAACTTCCGACTTTATATCTATATCCGGCACATGTTAAAACCAGGATATATCATCATCTGTAGCCATGGATACCCTGAACTTACCGAACCAATCTCTTCTTCGATCTCCTGACGCAGCTTGTCTTGACATTCCGGGTTCAGAGCGAGGTTGTACGCATTCATCGTCAGGGTTATAGACGTAGTTTCGTAGCCCGCAGCAAAGAACAGCTCTGCATTCGCCAGAATCGCATCGAATGACATGCCTGAAACGTAAGAACTTAAGGATAAATTAACAATATTCGCTTTAGACTATATTTGTTAGACTAAATAAGAAATGTACAACTGACAAGCTGACCATGTCAAACGTGTTTAACGCTTCTGGATAGAGAAGACGCCAGTAGTGTTTAGCCAGAAAAAGTTTCGTACAAAATGTTTACAATTTTAAATATTGATATTTTATCTTGGCCTACCTTGATAACTCTGCGAAACGTTCATTCAAACATCTGATGATTGAATGGTATTATATAGATAATCCATCATTTACGGAATTTTACGGAATATATAATCATCGTTACAGTCCTTTTGGACCTCTTCTTATGAAACCTATTATAGATGCGTGGTTATACGTTGTATAATTATCATTAACACGGGAGGCATTACCTTTCTGTTTAGACCAGGATTCTATGTTATCTGTGGAATTCTCATTCTTCTCCCCTTCATTCCTGCTCTTAAGAGCATCAACCATTAACTGGAGGAAATCTGATCGACTTTCCTGCAATGAATATTCAATTTTCACGCATGAAGATTTCTGAGGTTGAATCTTTCTATAAAAAATATAGGAATAAGAGATAACGCTAATCGGTGAAAGTTTTTGTTATTTCCTTGTTTAATGCACAAGTCCCATTCAACCAGAAGTTTTTCGCATGCCGACAATCTAGAGATTAGCAGTATCGAGTTGATGAAACAGCATTATATCCTATTCTGTTAATTCTATAAATGTATTGTTCGTATAATCTGCTTTTGGCTCTCAGACTGATCAAAGAAGAAATGTAAGTATATGAAACTATATATTTTCATCATTTGATGTTAAAAAAAGCTGGAAGAGATCATATTGCAACTGATGCGCAATATGTGTCTTTATTTCGCTTCACGGATATCGAGTTCATAGAATTTCGCATTTTAGCATTAAGAAAAAGTAATGGGTTTGAAATGAAAGGTAGATAGCTAGATCACCTTCTTGCTGTTTTTCCTTTCCTCCACTAATTTAGAAGTGATTCTACGTATAAACGCCATGCTGTCTTTGGAATAGACACTTATACCCAGGATTCGCCATAATGGTTTTAAGGCTGGAAACAGTGCTGAAATAAGTTTAATAAAAAAGAGAGATTTTGTTATCAGTTTTCAAAATATTCTACGAAATTTAACAGAACATCGGATATCATTTTTCTAATTGATAGAGGAATACCATACAAAAGGATTGAACAACAGTTACTTTGAAATAATGGCGGTTGAATAACATTTGACAATGTATTATCGTACATCATTCCAACAAGGAAAGCAAAGCAAAAAACAAAAACACAAAACCAAACCATTAAATAAATAATTAGAAAAAAAAAATGAGAAGACCTTGAGAACTTTTTTTAACAATAAATATACCTGCAATTTCGAAAATATTCTGTAGGGAATTTATTTTGTGATATGAAGTTAGAAGTATTTGCTGCTAGGTAGTATGCCTATTGATTCCGTTGTTATTTATATGCACAATGCTCTCATCTGGTTATGTGACAGAATGAACCAATATTTACAAGGCGGCTGTCCTCGATGAAGCAGAAAACGCTAACTCTTCAGGAAAAAGTTCGTTTTATTCTCCTTGTAAATAGGTCTTTTGTTCCTAATTTGTTGTATCTTATTTGAAATTGAAAAAGATTTGTTTACATGTTGGTGTTTTCTCCCATGTTTTAGGATTATCCGCGCGTAGAATAACAAATGTATACTCACAGATCAGGAGAAATGAAAGCGATGCCGGGCTAGTGTCTAGTAGTTTTTTGACGTGCTTTACAAAAGGGTCATCTGGGTTACTCTGGGAATCTACGTGGATACCAAAAGCCGTGGAACTGATCACGTCAATAGCGAAACCGCCAAAGAGCCTGTTAAAGGAATGACAAACACTCGTCAATTTCATTTTTGCGTACGCTAATATTTTAGCATTTCCCTTCAACTTTCAATAAGTAATTCAAAGCCTTGTATAAACGTGAAGTAAACAGTCCTATTGAGTTACAATGTACTATGATCTGGGCCGGTTTGGATGTTTCATTAACGCCATGAGTTCAAAGTGTCTTGGTAAATATCCTTTTTCAGTTCAATGAAAAGAGACAAGAGCACAGCTGTATGGACAATATATCTTTACACTGAACATGCATTATATTGTTTATATAGTAAGAGCTGTCTGATTAAGTTATTCAATATGTTCTAACAATAAAGAAGAAGCATTCCAAATAACAAGAGGCGCTTCACATTCGAAACACCTTGTCTTGTTACCCTTCTGTTTAAGTGGATGATTAATATATGGTACTAGATAACCGTTTCTCACATTGATAAACAAAATGTGAAATTTAATAATTAATGCGTAATACAATATACATATATATATATATACTGAAAAAATGCGTCCATTGATCTATTGACTTAAAACGTATAGTGGCTTGATCAAGATTGACATTTTCTAATATGTGAAATTTAGGAATCCAATAAAAATTGGTGAGATCCTAATCCTGATAATTAATCTAAATGATTGTAATACTGAAGCATCATTAGCCAGTATTTCATTCTCGGAAATATCTGATAATGTATAAATTGGGTTTCTTTCGTTATCAAGCAAACTTTTATTTCTTTCATACGGAAATGTGATAATGTCACCTAACAAAAATCAAGTTATTTGACGTCTTGTGTGCTGCCGCAATTACACACCCCTCATGTTGCTGTTTAAGTGTGGATTCAGGATCGAGGAAGCTGACCTGTGTTTTGTTTCCGTTTTAGATTTCAAGCTGCGAAGACAGTTAAGAATGATGGACCAAATGGACGTCACCAACCCAGAAATTAATTCAAAACAGCATATTATTGTTTCACCTATTTGCTGGCATAGCTTTCAACGGAGTCCATACGTATCTGGATTATTCCAATTAATAAACAAGTTTTCACGATTTTGGGGGCCTTTCATGATAAGCTTCCGCCGTGTAGCATTTCGGATAATTCTTATATCACCAGTTAGTGTGTGTCCATATGAACCATAGTAATATGTAGTAGTAGAACAAGAACAAGCTGACAGAGGGGAAGTTCGTAGGTCATAGCAATTCGGTTGCTGCAGCTTTTGATTTCAGCTGAAACGTTTGACTGCAATGGGCTTGGAGAAACTGTGTGTAAAATATTGGGATATTTCTGGATCAAAAGTATGGCAGGATGTAAAAAGCATATACCCCCTTATCTGCAAATTTAACTATCATAAATTGGCGAGCTACTTGAGAACAGCGGCCATCCGCACGAAGAGGTATGATAGTGATGTCTTCATGTCAACATGTCCTATCATGCAACATAATAAAGCTTGATAAATGGTTAATAATTTTATCATTATATTTGACAATAACACGAACAAAAGTGTCATAGTTACACAATGAAGCCTACCTTTTCATTTCTACCTGGCCATTGTTACCATCTTTTAAGGCATTTCGACTTGTTTTTATCAATGTGTCACACGCCTCCTGGATTAATGGCATCATCTAAATGGTAAATTTATCTATATATATTCAGTTAGAACAATGATATGAAAATAGCTATGATAAAGATGGTAAATATATATTTATCCAGATAAAACAATGATATAACAATAGCTATGATAATGATGGTAAATATATATTTATCCAGGTAGAACAATGATATAACAATAGCTATGATAATGATGGTAATATATATATTTATATAACCAGATAAAACAATGATATAACAATAGCTATGATAATGATGGTAAATATATATTTATCCAGATAAAACAATGATATAACAATAGCTATGGCAATGATGGTAGATATATATTTATCCAGATAAAACAATGATATAACAATAGCTATGATAATGATGGTAAATATATATCTATCAAGATAGAACAATGATATAACAATAGCTATGATAATGATGGTAAATATATATTTATCCAGATAAAACAATGATATAACAATAGCTATGATAATGATTATAAATATATATTTATCTAGATAGAACAATGATATGACAATGCTAATGATGGTAAATCAGCCAATTAATATTTTATAGAAATAAAACGAAACCTGTAACCATGGTTGCTTTTGAAATCATGTTTCTATGGTCCACAAATAAAAAAACTCCATACGTAATGTATATTGCATATTTCACCTGGTAAGTTTCATTCTTCTAACATAATTCAGAACGTCAGCTTTAATGGTTATAAAACAATTGGCTCATAATCGCGAAGTTAAACCCCAATCTTTTTTAAATCATAGTCTTTCTTGTCATAATGTATATAGAACACGATCTGACGTAAAATAATACTAGGTACAGTCTTACAATGTATATGGTTATGGACTTGTCTGTTAAACTGCCTACCCTTTTAAGTTTCCCGGACGAAAATGTGGGCGTGATAATACTCCTTTCGTGTTTCCAGTGTTCGCCTTTTATATTTATGATACTGTGATCGAAATCTCCGCTGAAGCCATCAAATACCTAGAAATGAAACGATCGCATTATTTGAAAAGTCAAACAAATCTGTTTTTTTTTTCAATTATTCTATTTTTCCTTTAATATTTTTCCACGGTTTTCTTCAGTATGCTTGCCTGATGATTTCGTCATTTCTATTCTCATTCCTATTTGAGGAGTAGGCATTGTTTATGAAAATCCCATTTTTGCTGATGTATCAAAATATACTTGTATGAAACTATCTTCTTCAACGTGTCCAGTTAGTCCATTTAGTGTAAACGTTTAAATTACATTTCGATATTCTCATTTTCGATGTTGAATCACAGTAATTAGAATTGAGCCTCAAAGCAACTTTATCCTTAGGTTTGATGTAATTAAAAAGACATTTGAATATATAGATTTGTACGTACCAATCTATCAGGAAAGTTATTAAACTGCTTCACAAGTATTTCTCTCAACATCTCTTTGTCTGCTACCACTAGGTTTGTACTCATCATATCAAAATGCCTATAAAAATAGAGACACTTATTTAAATAGTAATTCCCATTCTCACATCAACAACAATTTTACTAACTTGTATTTGAACTATAAAAATATTTCATTCGTACACCACGATGTAACCTAAAAGTTAATGTGACTTTTATATAGTGTTGAATACGGTCGCTATCACTCAGCTACTGGGTCGGTGGGCTTGTATATAGTGTTAAATACGGTCTCTCTCACTCAGCTGGCGGGTTGATGTGACTTGTATATACTGTTAAATACGTTCTGTGTCACTCAGCTGGCGGAGCATGCTTCTTTATCTCAGTTGTTATAGGCGACCGTTTATTATGGCAGATACCAGGTTCGGTTCCTGGTCGGGTCACTCGACAGGAATGTCTATTTTTCGTTCTCTCACGATACAAATAATCGCGAGAGATTTGAATTCGCGATTGTCACTCTTCGAAATAAACACCACGCAAAATATAAGTAATTTACAGTATTTATTTTATAATTGAACACTTCTTGATCTTAATGGACGTTCTACATTTTGATCGAATCAATATTCTGAAAAGTGAAATAAACATACCCAAAAACTTTTCCATACTTCTTAATTGCTCCCTGGTCAAAACCACTTTGACCCTAAAAAAGTGAAATGTAAAGAGTGTAAGACAAAATGTCAAAAGGAGTTCACACAGTACACATACAAAAACTTTCCCAATTAACTTTTTTTTAGCAAAAAGTTGAATAATTCTGACAAACTTGTCTTCATTCTTTGCCAGATTAAGGTTATCAACCATGACAACTGAACATCACGTGTAATTAACATGACTACCTCATTATCATTTATTATCTTGTATCATTCGTTGTAGAGGACAACATCACGTGTAATTTACGACAAGACTACCTCACTATCATTTATTATATCGTACCATACATTTAGGAAAACATGCTATTGAACTTGAAGAGCGGATTTCTGACAACGAACAATCCGAAAACTTTCGATATTGAACATACATAGTTGGACTTCTTATTCCTATTTTAGTCATAATTCGCGTATTGGTACTTAAGCATCGCTGTTCAAATTTGAAATTGACAGGTCAACATGTAGTTCAATTAATCATTATAGTTGTTGATATTAAGAACGCTTTAATTGATAATAAGTATTTATACATTACTGTGTTTCTTAAAGCCATCGTTTTTGCGAAATGCAAATAATTTCGTTAAAATTTCTTATTTCTGGGTCCTGCGACGCATGATGCAGTGGTCGGGTCGAAACATTTCACAAAAAACACATGATAAAGCATACTCGTGTTATAGGAAGTGATTATTCTCGTATCAAAATAGCCTTACCTGTCTTATCATAGAGGCTAGGTTACCTATAATAGGGAGAGGTGTCGGTCCTGGTATTCCCATCCTCTTGAACGTCCAGAAGTCACGACTCATCATACTACAATAACAAGATTACTTAATAGATCATTGGCTGATATTTATCATATGTTCTTACTCTTTCGAATATCACACATTTCAGAATATACTCATGCACTTTACTATCTTTTGAAATCATCCCATACTGAAAATACTGAAATTTATTGAGTTTTGGGTAAGTTTGGGGTAAGTTTTGGTGTAAGTTTGGGGTAAACTCGGGGTAAGTTTGGCAGTTAGTTTGGGGTAAGTTTCGGGTAAAGTTTCGGGTTTGTTTGGGGGTAAGTGTGGAGGTAAGTCTGGGGGTAAGTTTCTGGTTAGTTTGGGGTATGTTAAGGGTACGCACATTCCCTCATCTTTATTTTTGACATTCCTTTTGATCATTTCGAATTTACCTCAGTCGCCTCCCTAAAAGGACGAAGCAGATGTATGATGCAGCTGAATTCACTATTTGGTTCTACAATAATTCATTATTAAAGTTTTCATTGAAAGTTGCAATAACCTCGAGTGTCTTTAGTACACTGATATACAATCAATTCAGAGAAGAAAATACCCGTCGCCTATTTCATCTTTTTACATTTTGCCACAAATGTTTGAATTCAGATATATATAAAGTGTCCCGAAACTTTACTGTCCACGTGGCATTCTTGGATCGACATTGATTTTCATGGCGGACGTCATCGTCTATGAATTTGCAGATATTTGTCCTTTTGGTCACTTGGTACTCTTTCCTTGGTGTGCAATGACGGTAGAAAATATTTCGCTTGTAAGGAAAACATAAATATACAGACCTGTCGCTATCATCATGACACTGCTAGAACGGTGAGATTCACTGTTTATTATACCAGGGTCAATCAATTAATTCTGTCGTTAGTCTAATAAATCCAATATTTTATACTGATTGAATTTAACCTCTAAGTATCTTTAATTTAAAAAGTCAGCTTTCGCAATCACGTGATCTATGACGTGAGCGTTGCGCGTGAGTCTCATTTTGGTACACCGGTAAGGCTGGAATATTGAAGCACCTGGTGCTTCACAGCACAGACAAGAAAAATACACCGAGGCCAAGATCGACAAGATTTCTAAAACGACAGCACAATGCTACTGTGTTACTTTCTCCCATTTCTAAAACGACATCACAATGTTACTATGTAACTTTTTCTCATTTCTAAAACGACAGCACAATGATACTTTTACGAACTGAAGCCATCATCAATTATACAGGATTGTAAATTTGACCATTATAGCAACAGAATATGTCTATTCAAACGTTGACAAGAACCAAATCCAGGTTCTTGGACTCTTGCCCTTTAACTCGATGATGCATTGTACATGACACATGTGTGTTAACGCTAACACTTTTGTTAACGCCTTTAGTTTCAGTGTGTTGTACACTCTGTTATCATCATTACTGATGGTAGATATATAAAAACATATTAACGTTAAAACACTACCCAAACCAATTCCAAACACCGCACAGTTACATAATACATATTGTACATCAAGGTGACTTTTTGACTCAGATATCCGCTATTTTTTATAATAAAAACGAAAGACATTTTAATTCGTCGTATCGTAACTCTGAACTGTCAATATGCATCATTAACTCGGTATTCTACAGTAGATTTGATCCTACACATAAATCAAGAAGTGTTCTATCAAACAGATTAACATACTTACAATGTATAGATACAAATGGCCAACAGTGTCAGAACGCCCCATACAGGCACATCTATCCCGACGATCTCCATTGTGTCAGTGTACTGGTTCCTGGACACATACACACATATATATAGCGGAAGTGAGTGGTAGGTTCAGATGTTCTAGATTTTAACCTCTCACGTTACATCGGGCGATCTGAAAAACACTCTAAATCATTGTAAGGCAATAAACCTATGCCAGTCCTATACAAGTCACATGCTGCAGACTCATATTTTAAAATACATGGCAAGTAAACACTCGACTTGCTAGTATTCGAAAATACGGTTTTCAAAACGAGGCTCAGTATGCTTCCCTGGCGACCGCGATGACGTCTATCACTTAGAAAAAGCTTACGATCAATTCCAGTTATTGTGTACCATTATGAGAGATAATAGAGATATCATTCGACATTTGGAATGTCAGTTCATCGCTTTTCTCAAATCGGAGATACAAGAAAACAATTGATCGTTAATTATCAAACGTTATGAGGTATCTTATTTCCATGAAAGTATAATAAATACTAATTTAGTTGACATATATAGATGTATGCCTTATGTATACTCAAGTTTAACTGTTCCAGACGTTGTTGTCTAATGTAACGTATAGACACATGTATGTATTCTGTTTTCTCACGATACTTGTTTCACGGGTATTTTCTGTTACCTGACCTTTTGTCAAGAGCCACATTAATCAGTAATCAAAGATCTCTCAGTCGTCACTTTGAATTCCGTATTAATATAAATAAGTTTTCCTTACCTAAGTATTAATCTTCAGCTACATGGTTTTCCATTTCTATTGGTTTTATTGAGAATTTCTGTACTGATTCTTTAAGTATACATGGAGGTGTTGGGTTTAGGAAAAACATCTTCAATCTCTGGTTTTCGTTTTGTGATTAGTTGAATGGTATTGCAACAGTTTGAAGATGTGGTTGGTGTGGGTTTTAATATGCTTATTGCTATTCTAATTGTTTTGTGCTGTATTCAATATAGAGTTTAAGGGCATTATCTTAGGCTGGGCTATAAAATTTTCGTCCGTAATCTATTGACCACGCCATTGTTGTGTAAAACCCCAATTATTATCTCATTCCTGTATCTACAGGTAATAAAGTAGGTATCACGTGATGTAAGGTATGAATATACACTATTTAATAGAGTAAGTATCTTACTCGTCTTTAAATGTTTTATTTTCTTAAAAATTACCTGTGTTCAGGAATGCGAATTTGTGATTTCTCCTGTTAATTATTATTAAAAGAATGTTCGTTATTGTGAAGTGAAAGGCGAGGATTGCCCAGAGTAGAAAGAATCATCTGATTTTGACGTCACTATCACTAATCAATGAGCCAACATGACCGGAACAAGTCACCAGTTTGTGAATAATATCTTTATACGACCTATTGTGGGATCAGCATTTTGTTAAATCAGGTTTTGAATAAGTCTATTAATAGCACATACAGTAATCGAAGTTTGTGAATGAATCGCCTAGGTATGACTATTCAACACCTGCCCGGCTCGGTCTTGGGACTTTGAGTCATTTACGACGTAGAATCATGTGATTTCTCCGTTGTTTACAATACCCAATGGACAATGGGGGATAACTAGAATTTGATTTTTCAAATGCAACAGGGTGAAAGGATTTGCCAGTTTTCCGGTGATCATTTAGTTTAGGCACCAGTTGTATCATCCTCAAAATTAGTTTGATGAAAAAAAATCTTTTATTTTCGTTCGAGTTATTTTGACAGGTTCGGGGAATTACATTAAAACATTTCATTTTGATACAATATTTTGAATCTAATACTGCATTTTCTATATTCCTTCGTAACACAATGTTCTTATAACTATTGTACATAATTACGCTGATTTCGTGTCTCATCGCCTTTATCGTCAGGTAATATTTCCTAGGCACTGAAAAAATCTGGTAATCCTTACTTTATGTTTAATTACCATGTTGTATCGGCAAATTATACATTTGGCTATGAATACCAAGTATTGTATGTTGCGGAGCTCTTCAGATCCAGTAAAACCTGTTGGATGTATTACTCTCATGAAGGATTGGCTGACAGAATAAAAGATGTTATAACAAATTCACGGGACCATTGATGGAATGGTCAAGGTGGAAAATGTTGATATCAATTAATTCTTAAGGAATAGAGCAACGTCCACAAGTCAATTCAAGATATATTATATGTTAATGTTATCAAATCATTCAGTTCAAACATAGAATATACATTTGTATGTATGGAGCCACACAAAACTACACTCACATGATTGGAGCCACAAGACTATCACTTAGCGTCATGGCAACATAACATTCTGTGATGTACTTTGTTGGGTCTCTCCAGGAACGGTATAAACACAATAACTATATACAAACATATCAAAATGGGGTAAAAAAAACCTCTATAATATACATTGACAGACAACGAGTTACGCAACACTACACTCAGATGACTGAAAGTCATGGCAACATAACATGTCATTCTGTGATGTAATTTCAAGATTTTAGTGTATTCTAACACACTACATAACAAAACTTCATTCTTATCAAATAATATATTTCATTGTTAATATAAACTTTATTTTTATTCCATAACAACATGCAAATAATACATAGCAACGTATACAGAGGAATTGGAATTGGAAACAATTGTTAATACAATGGTTAATACATAATTTTTTTACAGGACTAACGTTATCCAAGAAAATATAAAGATACGAACCGAGGGTTGAACAAAACCTGTTCTCAGCCATGTAAGTTAAAAAAACAAGTTCGGTTATATAATACATACAGGTAGAAAGATACAACAAATAAACTAATTAGTAATTATACTGATATCTTGGTTTGTTATCAGATAAAAACAGCTAGAAGAAAATGTTTGTAGCATTTTGTTTATGACACTAATATAAAGCACTGATACCTGTTTGATGTAATGAAATCTAAACGTCATGTTTTTTTGCGACAATGACCGCTGTATACGAGTAAATGACGAATCACTGACATTGTATTTCCTCCAGCTTTAGCCATAAGTACGACGGCTTTAAAATGGAAGCTTCTTCCATTTTAGGTGGAATCTGAAAAAGCAAAGAAAAAAAAAATGTGACAGCTCAGGTGATTTCTTTGAAGAGTGAACAAATAAAAAGAGAGATGTAGAGATTCCTTACAAAAATAACAAATCCGATATAAACTCAGCAGAAACTTTAAAGTATATATACTTACGTTAGTTTTACTGCCAACAGACAACCGGAAGTTGCGTATGATTTGGGTTGTTGCCATTTTTGCTTCCAGTAAAGCTAGCCTCATACCGATACAGTTACGTGGACCGTACCCGAAGGGCATGTAGTCCAATGGATCATGTTTAGCCTTCTCCATCGAAGAAAATCTTCAACAGATCAACAATAACATCATATCATGTAATAGATACATTACGAGTGTCAATTATGTATCTGTTTTATCCAATGACCACCGAGGTTTCCTCATTCACGTGCCAAGGGCGTAGCTAGAACCTATTAGGAGCCGATTAGTGTTAAGTCGATGATTTTCCCGCTATTTTCTTGCCCATCCCATTTTCTGTCACAGTAATGATGTCGGAGCTGGACAAAGTGTGGTAAGACTTTAGAAACATCGACGCCGGTGTTTTCGGCGATCTCGATGATATAACATTATCACAGGCCGTCGACAAGTATTAATTTATTCGATGTAGGGCTATACAGTGTTAATGTGCTGATCTCTGCTCTAGCGTAAGTAACGCGTTGCACTTTTTTTTTTTACATAATTATTTGAATGTGTTAACTAACGTCAAAACGACGAATATCAATTTAACAAAATCTCTCTTGTTTTTTTTATATTTTTTTATGTATTAAAGATTTGTTCGAAATCTTTCCTATGTTTTTGTTTATCTGTCTCTCCCACTTGGAAATGGGCACCATCTCCCTAATGAGGTGTGGACCAATCAGAGAGAGCCATGCGATATTTTACATATTACATATGTAAAACCTGAAATATTGCATAGTATGGGATTTATCACCAGAAAAAGATCAAACCAAGGCGTCATTGGATAAATATTAGTTATCTTTCTTTATACAGAAAGTCTATTTCTGAACACCATTGATTCAGTGGTTATTGTAGTGGTAACTATAAACACATTTCATTTCCGTTCACGTCACCAGCTTAAAATATTATTAATTTCCACATCATTGATGTTCTGTTGTGTCATAAAAAAAATCTGATAAAGTACAACCAATCGATATCAAGTTTATTTTATAAATCATCATAAAACGACCGAGTGACAAGAACGAAGATCAATGGCCCCTGCACCAAATTATCGAAAATAGACAACAGAGTTGAAAAGGGTAAAAATCGAACAGTTACATTTGGTCGTGTCAAACAATGATTTATTTTGTTTGTTTTTTGTTTAAGATTTATCGATAAAATGTGTGGGTATGTTTCAGAGAATACTTACCTCTCCGGATCGAATTGGTCTGGTTTTTCCCAAACATCTGGATCATGATGTATTGCATATACAGGTACAGACACCGACATCCCAGCTGGGATTGTAATGTCAACGACCTTTGTAGTGTTTACACAAACTCTGTCAAACCTATAATAACAAATTAAACCTATATTGATCGAAATATGTACAATGTAATGAGCTTCAAAGTAATAAATTTTATAATAGTTTTATTGTATATTGTCGATATAAAAGATATACATGTCATACTTCTTCAAGAAATGGGATATATACGACATCGTGCGAAAATGGTAAGGGACTATGAAGAAATGACGACTTGGCAGATAAATAGTCAAAACGAACTGAATAACAGCCAATTACTGTTTCGCGACTTTCGTTTATAAGCCTAACCCAAACTCAAATTCAAAATAGAACTGAAAAAAAGAAAGATTAATATGGACACTCTTGAAAAAAATTAGAATTAGACCATGTGTTCCAGAAGAATCAGCGTTGGCTGCTTCATCAACGACACCCTAACCCTAAACAACAAGAAAATAACATGTCATCATAACCCTAATTCAAACTCAAATTCAATAAAACCTAAGGCAAATTATAAAGAAAAGAAAGATTTACTTTACTCCAAATATATAGTCCATGAATAATATTTTCACTAGTGGTGCTAAACAAAACCTCGTCAAAAAGAAACACAAAGAGAATATCTGTGCCCGCATCTTGATAGCTACCAACCTCATTGCCGGTGGATACATCCGCAGTGTTTCACTTATACACATGTCAAGGTAGTGGAGTTTCTGCACATTCTCATAGTCGACCCTTTCCTGTGTTAAAACAACATTTCGGCTTGGTTAAAAGTATGTTATGTGTATAGAGAATACGCAACTAAAGGACTTGCAATCTATGTAATGACGACCAAGCTTTCAATGCATCGGTATTTTTATTTGAATACATAGAACCTACCAAACCAATCTCATCCTCAATCTCCTGACGTAGTTTTTCCTGGCATTCTGGGTTTAAAGCGAGGTTGTACGCATTCATTGTCAGAGTTATAGCCGTAGTTTCGTATCCCGCAGCGAAGAAGATTTCTGCATTTGCCAATATTCCATCGAATGTTATGCCTAAGAATAATATTGAAATATTAGCACAGTAAATATAAAGCACGTTTACTTTTTCCTCATGGAAGTATCAATTCATATCAAATATTGTGCGTCAATCCCCAGAAAGGCGTAAACATACCAAGAACAAAAACTGGAGTAGAGAGACATTGGGCGTTCTTAAAAGCCATTTGGGTTAAATGCAATATTTCAAAAAGCATGAAACGTTTAATGAAAGTAATAAAAGGAGGAGTGCGTGAGGAGGTTTTGATTGGTCATATTGCTTTGGATTTGAATAGAGGTTCCATTAGAGGAAACCTGTTTTTCTCGCCATAGCGAATTTGTCTTGGATCACGTGGTTAGTGTGGATATACACAAGGTATCACAGTATAGTGTGACATAGTGCTGGGACAGGGAAACAAATAGACCCAGACCCAAACCATTGAAGGCTGTTTACACTCTGGTACAAAAAACATACCCCAGTGAATTGGTAAACTTTACCAAACAGATTATAGAGTGGTGAAAGACATTAGTCATTGGAGATCAATCTGCCAAACAGATGGTGTAGTGACCATCGTTTACTAGAGAATCAGATGAGTCACACTGAAGGGCCGATTATTGAGAGTGACGTCGATGTGTGTATATTATAACCACATTCCTGTTAATACTAACGCTTGGCAGTTATAACGATAAGTTTTCCAGATCCATCAGTCTTTTCAACAAAGTAGAAATGTTCCATTCTTTACAGATAAGACGTTACCTTTCTGTTTAGACCAGGTTTCCTTCCGATCAATGGAATTGTCCCTCTCCTCTTCGTCGTCCTCCTCATGCTTTCCTTCCTGAGCATCCACCATTAACTGGAGAAAGTCTGTGCGAGATGCCTACGACACACATATAAGGTACATAGCAAACACATGAAGTATATATATTCTATGCCCTATTATCTCGACAAGACCAAGTCCTTTCTGTCCCAACATAATGTAACTAGTGGAGATATAGAGAAGGTTTTTCGATTTCCAAGGGTAAGGTCTATCATTTAGTGAATCAGATTCAAACAAAAGCTGAAGGCTAAAAATTCAAATCGGACTTTGGTTACATGAAGAAGCCATGTTCCAACAAGATCATTGTGGAAGCCACAAGTACTGAAAACATTCTAGTCTCTCAAAGGTCTATGCGTAAAAAACAGCATTTTCTATGTTTGATTCTTGTTATTTTTCATGGTTGTTCTGTAACGTTTATCATGTTCTCATTTGAGAATGTAACACTTATCATCTGAAATGACCAAAATTTACACTCACGTTGTCGTCGTTTAAGCAGAAGACGCTTACTCTTCAATGACACTTGGTCTTGTTATAATTGAATTGTCTTTGTGTAAATCATATGTTCCCTAGTTTCATGGAATGTGTGATTAAAGTATGATTCCGTTATCATGTCAACGTTTTCGTTATTTTTTTTATATCGCTCAAGAAAACAGAAATATGCTCAATTTCTACAAAACTTTGCCATAATCTTCATCAACATGCCAAGTGTATCTGCAAGTTTACTGTCAACATTTTGTAAGAGATTGGTGTTACAGGTTTACTTTGATGAATATTATCATCAGTAATGATAATTTCTTTAATCCTCCTCTGTGCAGAACTAATAATTACTTCAACAGCTTCTTCCCAAGCATGTGTCGCGAATTTAACACAGTTAATCCAAAAACATACTTAATTCTCCGCCACTTGCTGCTTTAAAGACGTATCTGAACAAATACTTAATTAATGAATGTATATCTTCAACTATTTTCAAAACTGAAGGCAATAGACGAGCTAATATTGTTCTCTGTCAATTACGAAATAATTGGAGTAATTTAAATTATGATTAATATTGTGATCATCTTGTGGATAATCCTTCTTGTGTTTGTTCATATGAAAATGAAACAGTTTCTCATTACTTCCTGAATTGTCCTTTGTAAGCTTGGTAAAGAAATTTATTATTTGTTTCTATCATTAATAATCATCATAATCATGTAGATTTAACTTCTCCAAGGCTGTGCTGCTTGTAATGAGCTTACTAATAAGAATATACTTGAAGCTGTACAGCTGTATATTGGACAGACCAGAAGGTTTAAACTTTTTTATATCTTAACTACACATAGCCATGATGATGTGCAAATATGTTATTTTATCATGCTTTACTCAATATTGACAGACAATTACTGGATACCAGATGAATATGAAATATACAAATTCATTTATACTAATTATGTGTAGTCTACAAACCATAATAAAATAATGAATTTAAATTATATTGTCAGAATTAGCTGTGCAAATGCACATGGGACTTTTATGCCAACCTGCCAATCTATTTGATAAAAAATATATCATTGATATGTGTTATTGCAAGTTTATACAACTATAGGTTGCTGTATATATATATTGTGCTTAGTGTATGCTAGATGTGTGAGAGTTATCTCCCTTTATTTGTTTTTCCTTGTTTTTTTCCCCTTTTTGTGTTTATAAATTTACTTTCATTTTAAATTATATAATTTACATCATTACTCTTAAACTTTGCTAACTTTGGCTTCGTGGAGAGAATTTATATAGGCTTTGTCTGTTATTCAATCCACATTGACTGTACCATCTTTGTCAATAAAATTTGTCGAAATGAAATGATAATTTCAGGACAGTCTATGTATACGAGGTGAGTATATGAGTTGACTGCATGTTTACGAAAGGCTGCGATATTTTCGTGGGCGCCTTTTTTCCCGTTTAAAATGAATTTAATGATTTGAAAATGATTTATCACAGGATACACATGTATTTGACAGAATGAAAACTCGAACAAACGTGTAAAAAAATCCCTGACTATGATGTGTGTGTGTGTGTGTGTGTGTGAGAGAGGGAGGGTGTGTGTATGTGTGTGTGTGTGTGTGTGTGTGTGTGTGTGTGTGTGTGTGTGTGTGTGTGTGTGTGTGTGTGTGTGTGTGTGTGTGTGTGTGTGTGTGTGTGTGTGTGTGTGTGTGTGTGTGTGAGGGTGTGTGTGTAAGAGAGAGTATGTAAGTGTGAGTGTCTGTCTGTCTGGCTGGCTGGCTGGCTGGCTGTTACTAGGATAAGCCACTACTCACCTCCTTACTCTCTCGTCTTTCCTTTACAAGTTGTGTGGTAAGTTTCCGGAAGTAAGCCATACTGTCTTTCGGAAAAATAGTTGCACCCATTTTTAACAGCAATGGTTTCAATGACGGAAAAAAGACTGAAAAGTAAGAAAAATGTTAAATTGAAAGTTCTGTCACCATTCCAACATTAATACATGTCTTTAGGTGAAAGTAAGGTAGAAAGTGTAGTGTCTATGCTTATACCCATGTACAAGCAATTGTAATTCATAACCACTACCTCTACACACTTTGTGTAATGCACGCTCCCTCAACATGCGCACTAGTCGAGGAATAAAAACAAGACTTGATTTAATTCGGTAAACAGTCTTGCGTTATCGCGTAGAGGAACTCATCAGAATGGCTAAAAGAAAATTTTAAAAAGACACACAAGTCAATAAAGATTTAGAGTAAGATACAATAGAGCATAACAATCAACAACACTCAGCTGTTTCGTCCTTCTAGGACTCGTCAGTGATGATAGGGCCTCAATTCTAGAGCCAAAGAGGCGACTGGGGAAATCCGAAGTGATCGAAAGAGAAGTCAAAATCTAGCAAAAAAGGCGTTAGTCCCATCATCAAACACATTTAGTAATTTATGGGTTTTTCCAGTATCCGTTTGGATACCTTGCAGTTTTTCGATAAATATGATGATATAGATAAAATGCAAGTCTGCCCACAAAAACAGGTGGATATCATCGCAATAGTTTCAAATTAAATGCGCACTTGAGTGAACAACATACTTGAAAACAAATTTTCAAGTTTATCAAAAAATAGCGAAAACGTCATCATAAAGCTGTTTCGTCCTGCTGGGACTCAGTGATTTTAATGCCCAAATCGTTGGCACCTAGAAGGCGACTGAGGGATTTCAAAACTTATCGAAATCTGGAGAGAGATGTGCACTTACCTCACTATGCAATGTGTTTCAAAATGTTCGATACTGAATGATTTTTTTTAAAAATCGTAGGTATCAAATGTATTTATAAATTGTTCAGTTGTGGAACTCCAACGTTTCAGTCTGATTACTGGGACATCTTCTTCATTTATCTTATAGGATAAGCATAAGATGAAATAAAACAATTACTGTTTATGTTATTATGTGTAACTACCCTTAAGGAACTACATCATAAAATACCTTAATTCCCATCAACTTAGATCCAAATCCCGCAAGCTCTTTAATTGACGGAAAAACAATTAATGTATGGAATAGCATTTTACATTATGGAAACCTGCTTGAGCTTCTTTCATATTCTGTTCCAGTCAATTTTGTTTTAAACGTTTAACTGCGAGTTTATCCCGGATTATTTCATCTACTTTGTATATAGATATGGAATAGATGTTCTCACATCAAGACTAGTTAAGGTCATATGACGTTGCGAGGACCACACTGTCACATTAATCACATAAATAATAAGTGTGAAGCGTATTGGTGCAGAAGTATACAGTGTACGAGACTGTACTAAATCACAGGATATAATAAGTGTGAAGCGTATTGGTGCAGAAGTATACAGTGTACGAGACTGTACTAAATCACAGGATATAATAAGTGTGAAGCGTATTGGTGCAGAAGTATACAGTGTACGAGACTGTACTAAATCACAGGATATAATAAGTGTGAAGCGTATTGGTGCAGAAGTATACAGTGTACGAGACTGTACTAAATCACAGGATATAATAAGTGTGAAGCGTATTGGTGCAGAAGTATACAGTGTACGAGGTATATCACAGGATATAATAAGTGTGAAGCGTATTGGTGCAGAAGTATACAGTGTACGAGACTGTACTAAATCACAGGATATAATAAGTGTGAAGCGTATTGGTGCAGAAGTATACAGTGTACGAGACTGTACTAAATCACAGGATATAATAAGTGTGAAGCGTATTGGTGCAGAAGTATACAGTGTACGAGACTGTACTAAATCACAGGATATAATAAGTGTGAAGCGTATTGGTGCAGAAGTATACAGTGTACGAGACTGTACTAAATCACAGGATATAATAAGTGTGAAGCGTATTGGTGCAGAAGTATACAGTGTACGAGACTGTACTAAATCACAGGATATAATAAGTGTGAAGCGTATTGGTGCAGAAGTATACAGTGTACGAGACTGTACTAAATCACAGGATATAATAAGTGTGAAGCGTATTGGTGCAGAAGTATACAGTGTACGAGACTGTACTAAATCACAGGATATAATAAGTGTGAAGCGTATTGGTGCAGAAGTATACAGTGTACGAGATATAATAAGTGTGAAGCTGTACTAAATCACAGGATATAATAAGTGTGAAGTGTGAAGCGTATTGGTGCAGAAGTATACAGTGTGAAGCGTATTGGTGCAGAAGTATACTAAATCACAGTGTACGATATAGAAGTATACAGTGTACGAGACTGTGAAATCACGGATATAATAAGTGTGAAGCGTATTGGTGCAGAAGTATACAGTGTACGAGACTGTACTAAATCACAGGATATAGTAAGTGTGAAGCGTATTGGTGCAGAAGTATACAGTGTACGAGACTGTACTAAATCACAGGATATAATAAGTGTGAAGCGTATTGGGTGTGAAGCGTATTGGTGCAGAAGTATACAGTGTACGAGACTACTAAATCACGGGATTTAATAAGTGTGAAGCGTATTGGTGCAGAAGTATACAGTGTACGAGACTGAACAAAAACAACCGAAAGAAACAGTGTGAAACCTATTGGTGCAGAAGTATACAGTGTACGAGACTGTACTAAATCACAGGATATAATAAGTGTGAAGCGTATTGGTGCAGAAGTATACAGTGTACGAGACTACTAAATCACGGGATTTAATAAGTGTGAAGCGTATTGGTGCAGAAGTATACAGTGTACGAGACTGTACTAAATCACAGGATATAATAAGTGTGAAGCGTATTGGTGCAGAAGTATACAGTGTACGAGACTGTACTAAATCACAGGATATAATAAGTGTGAAGCGTATTGGTGCAGAAGTATACAGTGTACGAGACTGTACTAAATCACAGGATATAATAAGTGTGAAGCGTATTGGTGCAGAAGTATACAGTGTACGAGACTGTACTAAATCACAGGATATAATAAGTGTGAAGCGTATTGGTGCAGAAGTATACAGTGTACGAGACTGTACTAAATCACAGGATATAATAAGTGTGAAGGGTATTGGTGCAGAAGTATACAGTGTAGTGTACTAAATCACAGGGATATAATAAGTGTAAGCTAAATCACAGGATATAATAAGTGTGAAGCGTATTGGTGCAGAAGTATACAGTGTACGAGACTGTACTAAATCACAGGATATAATAAGTGTGAAGCGTATTGGTGCAGAAGTATACGTATTGGTGCAGAAGTATACAGTGTAGACTGTACTAAATCACAGGATATAATAAGTGTGAAGCGTATTGGTGCAGAAGTATACAGTGTACGAGTACTAAATCACGGGATATAATAAGTGTGAAGCGTATTGGTGCAGAAGTATACAGTGTACGAGACTGTACTAGATCACAAGATATAATAAGTGTAAAGCGTATTGGTGCAGAAGTATACAGTGTACGAGACTGTACTAAATCACGGGATATAATAAGTGTGAAGCGTGAAGCGTATGGTGCAGAAGTATACAGTGTACGAGACTGTACTAAATCACGGGATATAATAAGTGTGAAGCGTATTGGTGCAGAAGTATACAGTGTACGAGACTGTACTAAATCACGGGATATAATAAGTGTGAAGCGTATTGGTGCAGAAGTATACAGTGTACGAGACTGTACTAAATCACAGGATATAATAAGTGTGAAGCGTATTGGTGCAGAAGTATACAGTGTACGAGACTGTACTAAATCAAGGGATATAATAAGTGTGAAGCGTATTGGTGCAGAAGTATACAGTGTACGAGACTGTACTAAATCACAGGATATAATAAGTGTGAAGCGTATTGGTGCAGAAGTATACAGTGTACGAGACTGTACTAAATCACAGGATATAATAAGTGTGAAGCGTATTGGTGCAGAAGTATACAGTGTACGAGACTGTACTAAATCACAGGATATTATAAGTGTGAAGCATATTGATGCAAAAGTATACAGTGTACGAGACTGTACTAAATCAAGGGATTTCTTTTACTGAAGCGTCATCTCGTGTACACTTAGTGAAAGGTAGTGAAAAGTGTAGGAAATATCACTGAAAATGTGACCTCATATCCCGGCGACATTCTATTCAAGAGGTTAAACAGGGGAAATATACATTTATTACATGAACATCTGTTTTGTGTTCAGTGATGACACTTTCAAAATGTTGTGAGATATTTCAAGCATGTATAGGGATGGAAATAGTACATATGAACTTACGAATGAAGAGTAACCAAGGCGTTGTCAGACTGATGTCAAGCATTTTCTTGGCATATTTTACGAACAAGTCGTCTGGATTGCCCTGTGAATCCACATGGATACCGAAAGCCGTGGAACTGATCACATCCATAGTGAAACCACCAAATAATCTACAATGTATTGACGGATAAGTGGTGAAATGCTTAATCATAAAATAAAGTAATGCATAATAAGGTGTAATAACAAATCGGTCAATAATATAACACGGTACTACAATTTATCAGTCAAGTATTGATCATATATTACTGTTTTACATTTTATCAATAAAGTATTACCACAACATTATATCAGTAAAATATACGTAAATATAAATAAGTATATAAACAATTTGATGTATACAGCAGTATAACTTATTAGAAACTTATATACCTGCAGAAGAGAACAATACTATGTGTGATCAAAGTTCTGTAGAAACAAGTCGTGTATTACTAATGTCCTACATAACCATACATGTTAATTACATCAATCTTCGTCTTATAATTTCTTAAGAAGTAAATTTATCTTGTATCGATTGTGAATCTAATGACACCTTGTAAAACAATTATTTTTTATTTATTTAATGTCTTAATAGGAATGATTATTTTTTCCGTTGTGATGAACAAAAAAAAATATATTTCACAATATGTTTCTTTTGTAAAACAGTCACTTATTTCCTATACAAATACATTATATAATATCAAAAGAAAACCTTGCCTTCTCATTTCTACTTGACCATCGTCCCCACACCTTACAGCATCACGACAGGTTTTCAGCAATGTGTCACACGCTTTCTGAACTAACGGCACCATCTACATTTAGACAATGAACTTTTTCCATGTACGTTACTAAGCATTTTGCGATATACATTAACTTGAGGGAAAATTACAATACGAAATGGATTGTAGTTGTCGCTAAAGAATCAAAATTTGCGGAAATTCCGATTTAGCTCGTCCTTATCAATTTAAATATATGTTATTAATTACATACTTTGCGTAGTTTTCCAGATGAAAATGTTGGAGCGATAACACTCCTGTCCTGTTTCCAGTGTTCCCCTTTGGTATTCAAAAGGCTGTGTTCCATGTCTCCATTGAAGTCTTTAATTGTCTACAATATTTGATGCACCATTAGTTACAAAGGAGTTAAAGAATCAAGGAGAAAATGGACTTAATTTTTGAAAAGTTTCAAAGACGCAGACTCAGCAGAAACGTCGCATAATTGAATCATTAAAAAGAGATTCTAAAGAGTTTGTTTCTTGGGTTTCTTCTCATTTGCATTCGTTTAGGTCTCTCTTCAGCAGCATGTAGTCAATATATCTTCATACTAATCATCGAAACGCCATAGTACATTAAAATCTTATCGAAAGGTAGCTGACCTGAATCCCCCATTTGCCTAAATAAGTAAATACTCCATGTAAAATAAGCAAAACAATAACTTAGTTAAACATACCCGTCTATCTGGAAAGTTATTAAACTGCTTAACGAGAATATGCCTCAACATCTCCTTGTCTGCTACAACAAGGTTCGGATCAATCATATCGTAAGTTCTGCAAAATGAAAAAATGGACGCTTGAAAAAATAAATAAAAAAAAACCCAAACAAAAACAATAACGAAAAAAAACACAAATATGCTGGAGTGGGACATTGTGTCCAAATATTCGCCATGGTGATCCCGATATTGTATCCAAACATTCGTCGTGGTGATCTCGGCATTGTGTCCAAACATTTCGTCGTTGTGATCCCAGCATTGTGTCCAAACATTTCGTCGTGGTGATTCCGGCATTGTGTTCAAACATTCGTCGTGGTGATCCAAGCATTGTGTCCAAACATTCGTCGTGGTGATCCAAGCGTTGTGTCCAAACATTCGTCGTGGTGATCCCGGCATTGTGTCCAAACATTTGTCGTGGTGATCCAAGCATTGTGTCCAAACATTCGTCGTGGTGATCCAAGCATTGTGTCCAAACATTCGTCGTGGTGATCCAAGCATTGTGTCCAAACATTCGTCGTGGTGATCCCAGCATTATGTCCAAACATTCTTTATTATGTTTCCTTGAATTACTCTTACCTCTATCTCTCGAATATCAAACATTCCTGCAACTGACCCTAAATCTAAATATTGATAGTCTGTTAATTATTTAGAATTAATACCGATGTATGGTTCTTAATAGATACTGTGCTAACACATGATGTATTGTGAAGCGCGTGAAGTGTTCTCTAATTCTTAGATATATTATATAAACGCATTTTTGTTTGTCACAAGCTAATTATACCGATGATTTGTGTATAACACAGTTTGTGTAATGAAGCAACACAAATGTCAACCCTTTAAAATTCGTAAAACTTACCCGAAAACTTTGCCATATCTCTGTATTCCTTTCTGGTCGAATTTACGAAGACCCTGAAACGAAAGTGGAGATAATTTAATGTTGTTTACTAAACTAGCATTTGACAATTGATGCCATCGTTTTTTTTTTTTTTTTTTTCCATTTCACTTTTATTAACTCTTTGATGAATTACTGTTGACATGAACCCTGAACACCACTGAAATATCGTCTATATCTCACCATATGTGTTACCCGAGACAGAAAGCAATAGCGAGGTATACTTACCTGTCGAACTATCCCCACCAGGTTACCGACAATAGGTAGAGGGGTAGGTCCTGGTATCCCCATCTTCCAGAAGATGAAGTAGTCACGACTCATCATGCTACAATAACATTATCATATTAATCATACTGATTCCTTAGTGGTAGTGTAGGTGTAATACCAGTATACCACTAGCTGTGTAGTGTCTCTCTCGGATCTTAAGGCTTATTCCAGATTAATATATTCACTTACTATTTCAAGTTTGGGCATTCTTAAATTATTATTATTGTCAAAATGATATTCTTACTGGCCCGTCAACACAGCAAAGGTCATTAGGACCATCAACCGGAAAAAATATACAGCGATCCAAAAGGAAATACCATTAAACAAACTACAACATTAAAGACAAACTATTAAAATCTTTAATTGGTATATTATCACAAAATATTATAATGGTACATCAAAGGTTATTATATAGACCAACATCTTTCAGGTAATCTAGAGTTTTATAAATCTCAACAGTATCAAGAAGGGGTTTTAGATTTGTAATGTTACGATAAAAACATTCTCAAGTAGACAGAAGATCTATGCAGTCCAATAAAAAATGTTTAACGGTGAATGGCTCATTACATCCTATGCACCTACCGACGAACGCCTCAATATTCTCAGCGGAAGTGCGAGCTATCTACCTCGCCCTTGAACACAAATAAAGTAATGAGAGCTGTTATCCATTCAGACTCTCTTTCTATACTACAAAGTCTTAGCAATAGAAATTTCGAAAACATTTTCATTTGTAATACATAAATGCAATATCATGAACTTGCCTCAAACTTTCGTATTGATTTGTGCTGGGTTGCTGGGCACACGCGGATACCAGGCAATGAAAAAGCAAATCGTGCCGCAAAGGAAGCTTTATCGCTACCACCTGTAGATTTTAAACTTCATTTCACCGATTTAAAACCATGTATCAAACAATTTTTTACAGTTCAGTGGCAGGAGGAATGGAATACATATACCAATAATAAATTGCACTCCGTAAAACCTATAGTCAGTGAATAATCTCTACTATAGGGACAACCACCGAGACGAAGTTGTCCTTGCTCGTCTTCGGATGGGCTATACATACCTTACGCATTCATATATGTTGAAAGGCGAAGATAATCCTCGGTTCATTCTTAAAAGTTAGCGATTTGAACTATGCAACTATTAAATGATGCCTAAAAACTAATGATGGAGATCAAAGTCCACCTCAACAAATCTTTAATAAATATAAAATGAAAATAAACCTAATGCTCAGATAGGAGAATAAACCTTATGTAAAACAAATTACTCAGATTTACACCGAAATTGATAATCGAGATGCAAATAAATGTATTCAGTAATTTTACAGATACGTAATAAGGTGCATTTCTGTCATAAGCTGCCTGTCATTACTCGTCAACAGGTGTTTATCTAACTAGACATGACAGGTTTGCTATAACATTGAGTGCATACTCTTATAAGAACCTAACCCTAGTGTATACTCATTCGTTTTGAGATCTCACAGCTACTGAATAGAGGTGGAATTACGTACATAGTATAGAATCACCTGTGAAAACGAAGTCGTGTTATTGAGTGCATTTACATGTAAATAAGAAAATCGAGGTTAAGTTATCATTGGTATCTGACAGAATGATCGTTCTACGCTGTTGTCAGCTAAAAATAAATTTGTCTCTGTGTACATAAACCTGGAGTGACACACTGCATGCTAAATATACATACTATGACCTTCACAATTTACGGTATGGTGTCGGAGAAAGTAGTTTATTTCTAAATGTGCTATTACACTGCATATCTTTATATCAACGGGATTTTTTTTTTCCGAGTTGGTAATTATTTTTCACTTACAGACATAAAATACAGAATAATGATCAAGTGTCCTTGTATGTTTTTGCGTCTAATTCTGGAAACAGCTCTCTAACGTCCTGTCTTAATGGTTACTGATTATCAAGTATGCCGATACGTTATAAAAATACGTTTTAGTAAGTTCTACCACTAAATTACTTAATGTTATACATTCACGTATATGATATACTTACAACGTGTAACACAGACAAGCCACCAGAGTCAGAACAGCCCACACAGGTACTTCTATACCGAGAACCTCCATTTTCATGTGTTGTCGACCAGTGGCTGTCGTATGTACAGCTGTTATAACGACCTAGATTATGACTCCGCGTCTATCTAGGTTATATTGGAAGAGAGCCAACATTTTCTTTCTGACGAAATCAGCACCCAATAGTTTTCCGTGTCCGTCATTATAATTCGGGGCCGCCGAATCACAGCCCCGACCTCGGAAACTGATGAATGACCATACGACATTACACATCCCCTACCTTTCTCCAGGCACTTCTAAAAACAATTAGCAATTGACACATACACAGCGGGAGCACGTTGACCAATGGGACACATGTTGTGTGACACAAGTGGTAGTTTATACATTGCAAGCGATCGTAGATATCATAAAGAGAGCATATGTTAAGATGTGTAGAATTTGGTGGTGACTGACAGAACTCGATGGACACTGACAGAACATGATGATCACTGATAAAACTTGGTGATCACTCACAGAGCTTGTTAGTCACTGACAGAACTAGGTGATCACTGATAGAACTTAGTGGTCACTGACAGAACTTGTTGGTCAATATCCGAAGTTGGTGATCACTGACATAACTTGGTGATCACTGACAGAACTTGGTGGTCAATGTCTGAATTTGGTGATCATTGTTAGAAGTTGTGGTCAAAGGAAAAGTGACATAAGTAAATTACATTTTCCAATTTCAATGCAACTTCGAATCTAGAGTCAAACAATGAGTTAAACTTCATGTACATAAAACCTCATCAGTGATGCTAAGCATTTACAGATGTAAATGGTAGTATCTGATATTGTCTTGATGGCAGGAAGTACTATAAGGAATTTCATAACATTCAAACATTGTTCTTGTGTGTATTCCAAACAATGTCACTTTTCGATCAAAATAAAATGTTGCAAAAAGTTTACATGGCAGGTGCCGTCGATGAAGCAGGGGACATTCAACCTTCTGGAACACCTGGTCTTATTCGCCATGTACATTTTTCAGAAATCACGTTGTAAATCTTTCTTTTGTTGACAAATGTCCCTAGCTTCATCATATTGGCTTTTGAATTATGATTTCGTTAACATGTCCGTATTGTCTCTATTGCTTTAAGGTTATTTTGCTTTGTGGTTATTTCTTTGTTGCTGTGTCTATATTTGTTTTGCAGGCTTGTTAACGTTTTCCTTCTCAATATGATATTTTGTTTTATTATGTATTATTCTCCTGTGCTGTTGTATTCTAATACATAAGCAGTTTTCGTGCACTAAAAGAACAACCGTTAAGGCTTCTTGAATAAACAAACCTTGGCCACAGATTGCGAACCCAAAGCTCGAAAGTGCATGATTCTCCAAATTAGTTTGCCATTTTGTCTATTTAAATTGCTTAAACTTTATGAATGACATAATCGTTTATACAAAATGTAGAGCATATGCTGGCCTTTCCATCTTCTTTTCTTGGTCGTGATGAATCTTAGTAATTAGAATTTTCGCAAATGCAATAACATAAATATTCCTTATAACAAGGCCCTTATCGTTTGCTTAATAATGTGCTTCATTGTGTCTATGTCCATCACATATATTTTTATTTCTTCCATTTCTAATCAAAGATATTTCGGTTTTAAAAGTATTATGCCGTCCATTTTCGGTGGAATGTAAAAAAGTTATGCCACATTTAGAAAAAAAATCTCTTGGTTTTATTCTGTTACATTTGAAGGTTTCGGAATAAAATTAATAATGAACTATTGATAGAATTAAACATCTTATGAAGTTTAAATCATAAACAGCCATTTAATTTTTTGTATTCAACTTGTTCGATTTGTAGTAAAATTTGCCATATTCCAATACTACATATCCGGGGACCGTGTCATAAAGGCATATAGTCGATAGAAACGTGTTTTTTCTTTTTTGGTCAGTGCAAACCTTCAAGAAATCAGCGATAGTTGTAAAAGTGAATTTTGAAATAAATCCTTCACAATTACTAGTTCACTAAATATAAGGTTAACATTCCTGCCAACTCATTTGGGCTATCATTACCTTTCAGGCATAAATCCGGTTTATCCCAAATTTCTTGATCGTCGTGTAGAACATTAACAGGAATCATGACTGGTATTCCAACTGGTATTGATATGTCCTTGACCTTTCTAGCCTTCATATATTTTCTGTCTAACCTACAGATATATTAGTGTTAAGATAATGAGATCTACTAAGTCATTTCTACTCATACGCATTCAAGTTAACTGTAAGTAGTTTACGCGATTTTAAGTAAGTTTATATTTAGATCTTAAGGCTATTAATATACCGTCATTACAAATATCAGCAAGACATCTAAAACATATTTAAAACTTTCTACATTTTTCATTTTTAAGAAATATATTTAGTAGATGTTGATTGATGAACACAACGTGTTAAAGACAAACAAGTGAATATTATCTTTTCACAAAAATCTTAATTTAGATACAGTAGCGTCCAGTAATGAATAAGAATAAAACTGAATCATACAGCTATTATGTTTCTGATTGACTAAAGTGTGAAGCCTATGTCGCGGGAGATTTAAATCGATCGAAAAAAAATGTCAAAAATCTAGATGTGAAATTCAAAGTGTATAGGATTCATAGATGACCTGATTCTTCAAAACATTGAAAATGAAATGAAGTAAACAGTTTAGGTTTATATTTACTGACAAATGGGCATAGGCGCAAGTGTTATACACTTTATACTCTTGGAGACAGAAGTTTATAAAGACACAGAAATAAAAAAAAACCAGATGATGTCATAATCACATAACTTATTAAGCAACATTTACATAATATTTCAAATAGCGTTTGCGACAATGTGTTTACAATTTTAATTCCAAGCACCTGTTGCCTTTGCTAAATTGCTTTAATTGGGTTTTGATACGCTCCACGTTTTATAACGTACAGCATTTTAACGTGAAGTTAATACATCATGCTTAGCGCTATATAAGTCTTTCGCCTCAATAAGTTAACAAGCTCGTCGAAGGCGGATACATTCGCAGTGTCTCACTCATACACATGTCAAGGTACTGGAGTTTCTGGATATTCTCATAGTCGATCTTTCTCTATGGAAGTCACCGAAGTATAATATGAATTCTTCCTAAGATTTTCATTTATTTAAAAAAAACTACCGGCATTTGAATCTTTGCTTAGTTTAAGTAGATATTGTGTTTAGCAGCATATTACATAAACATCTATTGAGGGACCGAATATTTCAAATATCATTGATACATCAACAAGACAATTCATACCAAGTATCAGTCAAGATTTCACAAATGTGCTGGATAAGGATCTAACAATCTTGTTACTTCCTAAACATCTCAATACTATAGACTTTTACTTTGGATAAAATCCTAGAACATATTCATATTGACCGCCTTATCTGGACATTTCGGGTTCATAGCTAGGTGGTATGTATTCGTGGTTAGAGCTATAGCCGGAGTTTCTAAGCCCGCAACAAACAAAAATTCTGTATTCGTGGGTATCAGTCTGGAGTAATCTGTCTGTTTGTCTCGAGTAATCTGTCTGTATGTCTCGATTAACCTGTCTGTTTGTCTCGAGTAATCTATCTGTTTGTCTCGATTAACCTGTCTGTTTGTCTCGAGTTACCTGTCTGTTTGTCTCGAGTAATCTGTCTGTTTGTCTCGATTAACCTGTCTGTTTGTCTCGAGTTACCTGTCTATTTGTCTCGATTAACTTGTCTGTTTGTCTCGATTAATCTGTCTGTTTGTCTCGAGTAATCTGTCTGTCTGTTTGTCTCGAGTAATCTGTCTGTTTGTCTCGATTAACCTGTCTGTTTGTCTCGAGTAATCTGTCTGTTTGTCTCGATTAACCTGTCTGTTTGTCTCGATTAACCTGTCTGTTTGTCTCGATTAACCTGTCTGTTTGTCTCGAGTAACCTGTCTGTTTGTCTCGATTAACCTGTCTGTTTGTCTCGAGTTACCTGTCTGTTTGTCTCGAGTTACCTGTCTATTTGTTTCGAGTTTTCTATATCTCCAGATTCCTCCATCTAAAAACAATTCTTTTTTTTTTCGTTATGGTTACAATCGTCTGTTTCTTGATCTGCATTAATATGGTTAATATGTTAATTTGAAGACTTCCTAATCTCAGCACGTGCCGATATCCCGTTTATGTCATACCTGGGTGAACACGTGGACACAGGTGAGTGTCCAGTGTTGTCTAACTAATGTCAGGACCATACAGGTATTAATTACCTGTGTATTTTTCGAAGTCGATGATGTACCGTTATTATAAAATCGTTGCCGATCATTAATATCAGAATCTAATGCGATATACATATACATGTTCCCTGATAACCACAAAAACTGAATGTTTTTACAACTGCTGAATCAATATTCTAACAAGAATTATTAATGCTAGATGCATGCTAATGATAGATGTTGTTGGTTTTTACATTAAACCACCTTATATGGAATCCGAAAAGGCTTCTTAGTCGTCCTAGAATCTGATTGGCCATGTCCAGAGTGTAACCATCAGACAGGTCTATGCTCATGAACTACATATAGTTTCATTTTTTTACAGTAGGAGATCCTCAGATGCTTGTAATTAGAATTCTTGGGAATAAAGGTATATGTACCATCAAGTGTGACAGTCGCCTGCTGGCCAAAAAATGTTTCTAAATACCAGTGCCAATAGAGGAGGAACAAAAAAATAAATAATCAAACAAAAACTGTTTCTGTCAACCAGTCCAGGCGTATTTTACGAGATTGCATTATGGTAGATATATTTGATTGAAACTCTTCATAAATTGGGCATTTTGCGAGGGAAGACTGGCCATAAAATAGAATAATGATCTAAAATACCATTACTGTCCACATAGATTTTTGTAAAAATACGTTTTAATTGTACTTTGATGGTTAAACGAACACAAACTTGTGCAAACAATCAGTCCTGTTCTTAAATACACCATATACCAATTGAAACTGTGCAGGCTCATCTCCTAGACAATACCAATCGCTGTTCATATAATTAAGCAATACTATTTTGAACATTGAATTGTATTTTGTCGAGGATGTCTCATCAAGCAGTATATTTTAATGTGTCATATTCATATAAAAAATCCACCTTTAATATTCAAAAATTATGATATACATGATATCAGCTAAAATGCCCGGTCACTCGAAAAAACATTGACAAGAAAATAGTAACTGGAAAACAGCTACAAGTACATTCAAGTATAATTATAATAAAATTGACGTATTTACTTGAAATATGGAAAGATGAACTCGCAACGTTTTAAGAAATAAAAATTTCCCCTATTTTGATATTTTTGTTTATTTCTTCAAATAAGTTAATATCATATGTTCATAAACACAAAAAATATTGTTTTTTTATATAAATATTTCATTATGTTTGATTTATTGATTTTAAAAAATTAACTAAAATTTTCATTTTTCTTTGATAATTGACATATGTGAACAAATATGATAAGCTTGAAAAGACATCTTGTGTAAAATATTGCATCCACTCCCTTATTTAGAAACTCAACTCTCATAAATTAGCGAGTTTGTGGAGGATTACGCCCATTTGTATGGACAGATTTCGTAACATAGAGAAAGAAAGTGAATATAGCATATTTTGAACATGATGGACACCCAATGGTTTCTGTTAAACATCCACTGATTTTTTCAAACGTGACGGTATATCCGCTTGAGTAATTATAATGCCTCTGTCCGTGGCTACTATTACGTCCAATTTGAATAAAGTCTTACGTTAGTCCAAGGACTGGACGAATTTCCTAAAGAGTTTCAGCGGTCATTGAAGTCACATGGCGCAGCAGTGCCAAGGTGTATAGTGTTCCTCGCGTTGTCTACGTTATGGTGTGCTAAGTGTGGGGTCATATGTACGATGACATAATCCCCCAAATACGGACACTCATCGACAGTATAGAATTATCCAGAAGGATGAAAATTTAGATACCAAAATAGGTTTCCTCAACGGCTCACGGCGGAACGATGACAACTCAAACATTGTCTTAATTGTCCTCGTTAAACCAAAGCGCACATTCAATACCATAAACAACCTTGGTAGTTTTACAATTTACTGTAGGAGCCACGGCCATGTGTCAGGTAATATGATGTTATCGGTATCACCTGATATTATTTAATGCAGTATTTGTATCCAAACGTAACGTCTCTATATACATTGGCAGACCAAGCGTCACAAAAAATTACCCTCAGATTATAAGAGCCACACGGCTAACCCTCAAAGCAAAGACCACATACCAGGTTATGTTAATTCTGAACTAATTATTTTTTGTTTGGTTAGTCCATTATTCCATACGATATCTCTCTAACCTAACATGATCTTATAAGTTAGTAATAACCATGAGACATTTTCTGTCAAATTTATGTTTAAATATCATTACAATTTTCATTCTTTTGCGGGGCATATATATCATCAATGTAAACCACATCATGTTTACAAATTTGTTAGACATATCCGCATGTAGGCATGTTCATAATACACCTAGGGTCTGGTTATGGTAACATATGTTGATATGGTTGAACAGAACAAAACTTATTTTTAGATATCCTGCTTTTTGCAAAACAATTCTTTTTATAAAACATGAAAAAAAACCAACTTCAATAGTGATAGCGTGATGTAAAACGTAACTAATGATGTAAACCTATCGCCAAAACAGTACTAGGTACACTAAAACACAAACGAAGCAAAGATAGGAATATACATAAACACGCTACTTGGAATGAAAATAAGAATAAAAACAAAACAAAAATTGCAGGATAATACAAACAAGTTTTATAAACGTTATAAATAAACAATTCTAACGAATATTAGAAGGTATTAGTACGGTTTTACAAATATTACGATATAATAAATGTTAATTTGGTTATAAAATGACGCATTTGATATCGAAGGCAAAGTCAAGATAAAGATGTTTCAAAACGTCAAATCTCCATCGAATTATCCAAGGCCGCTGTAATCGAGATATTTTTTTAAATGCCTGAAAATTCTTGTGAGGCTCAGAAACCTAATGAAACGAGATATTTGCCGTGTTGACATTGACATTGATCATTTCATATATATAATTCGATGTATGGACGATTTTGTATAATAGTTCAACAACGGACTAGACACCCGTTAAAATATGTTTTCAATAAAATCGTGAAGACTGTTGTCAATAATAATAATAATAATAATAAAAGAAACAGAAAAATGTGCCTCCTCTTTGAATGGGAGGTCATGGTAAAACTTGTAGTGCTGTTTGCATACGTTGGGACTGAGAATCATACCAGCACGACAGTTAAATCATATGACCATAATATATAATGATATATACGTATATGCCGGTAAAGGCGTGAGGACAGCGGAACAAACAAGCAAACTAACGAGCATCAAATACAGCTTCATGTCGCAAAAAGAAGATTAACATTTCTATATGATATAAATATGGCGACCATTACACTTCCCAATGATATTCATCAACCTGCATCTTTTAAACCCTTGTGTTACGAGTTACGAGTCTGTCAGTTGGTTGATGACTTTTTGCACGAAAATCGTGATAATGGGAACAGATCCTTGAATATCGAATCAACTGTGACATGAAGGTCGGGATATTGCTATTCAGAAATGGAAAATTCAAAACAGCGAAATTAAAATCATCACTTTTATCATAGAGCTTGGTGAAAAGCTGTTCATGTTGGTTTCGTTGTTGGAAAAAATCGAGATAAGCAGCTGATGTAGAAGATCCTGTCATGTCTTTGGTTTTCAATTCGTATGATGGACGTGGTAAATACCTTTCTTGTTATTTAAATACAAATCGTCATCAATATATCTGAAGGTGAAATTAAACGACTTGGCTATGTATTTGTGACCAGTTTGGATAAGTTCTTTAATAAATTCAGCCTCATATGAAAACAATGCTAAGTCAGCCAACAGATTGACGCAGTTGGTTCCCATAGATATCACAACATAGGTACCATGGATAGGAGATGCAGGGATCTTGCTATGCAGAAATGGAAAATTCACAACAGGGAAATGGAAATCATCACGTTTATCAGATACTTTGCGGAATTGAAAGGGTTTTGGAGATTTACTCCCGAAATACTTAATTATGAGACTTGAACACTGCTCCATAGTAAAGGACATTAATAATTTTTACTTGGTACCCTACAGGGTCTTGTCATATGGCCATAATGTTGTCACATAGTGCATTTTCCAGTTGATCAACTTTCCTCTGGGACATCACTTGTCTGTTTATTCCAAAATAAGGTAGAAACGATCCTAAGCATCAGCTGTCTTATTAAAGGGTAGCTGCTGGTTCTTAATCGTCGGCTTGTTTTCGAGTTGTTCTTACACACTTCATAACTTAACATACCTTAATTCTTACCAAATAACCTCAATAGGACTCACCTTACCTAAGATACAAACCTAGGGTTGAACAAAATTTGTTCTCAGTCATATCACTTTTAAAAAAACATGTTCGGTTATGTAATACAGACATGTAGAGCAATAAAACAAATGTTAAGCTAGGAAACATTTGTAGGATTTTGTTTATGACACTAATATAAAGCACTGATACCTATTAATTGATGTAATGAAATCTAAACGTCGTGGATTTTTGCGACAATGACCGCTGTATAAGAATAGTTGATGAATCACTGACATTGTATTTCCTCAAGCTTTAGCCATAAGTACGACGGCTTTAAAATTAATGCGTCCTCCATTTTAGGTGGAATCTGAAAAAAGCAAAACCAAAAAAATGTGACATTTCTGGTGATTTCTTTGAAGAGTGAACAAATAAAAAAAGTGATGTAGAGATTCCTTACAAAAATAACAAATCTTATATAAACTCAGCAGAAAGTATATATACTTACGTTAGTTTTACTGCCAACAGACAACCGGAAGTTGCGTATGATCTGGGTTGTTGCCATTTTTGCTTCCAGTAAAGCTAGCCTCATACCGATAAAGTTACGTGGACCGTATCCAAAGGGCATGTAGTCCAATGGATCTTGTTTAGACTTGTTCATCGGAGAAAAAGTCCAACAATACATCACTTCATCTACTAGTTATCTTTCTTTATACAGTAAGTTTATTTCATACGCCATTCATTAAGTAGTACTTGTGATTATAAACATTTTTATCTGTTTTTCGTTCACGTTACTAGCTTAACATAGCTTTCATTTCTATATCATTGATGTTCTGTTATATAGAATGTAGAAAAACAGTTCTGAAATTTCTATTTTGTACCTTAAAAACCTTAAAGTGCAACCTAGTGATATTAAGAATATTTTATAAACGTTCATAAAACTAACTAGTGATAAGAACCAAGATCAATGGCCCTTGTGCCTAAATATCGGAAAAATCGAAGAGAAACATTTGATCATGTAAAAGAATCATATATTTTGTTCATTTTTGTTTAAGTTTTTTTTATACAATGTATGGGTAAGTTTCAGAGAAACAATAACATTACCTCTCCGGATCGAATTTGTCTGGTTTTTCCCAAATATCTGGATCATGTAGTATAGCATATGTAGGTACAGACACCGTCATCCCAACTGGTATTGTAATGTCCTTGACCTTTGTAGTTTTTACACAAACTCTATCAAACCTGTGATAAGACTGTTTGCTATTATACCTATGCTGACCGAATGGCGATATGTAATGAGATTCAAAGTTATAAATTTTCAAATTGTTGATAAAAAAGATATAAACGTTATGCTTCTATAAAAATACAATATAACGAACATCACGCGGAAATGATAAAGAAAAGATGCTATGGCAACAGAAATAGCCTGGACCAACTGAAAATTTTTGTTTTGTTATTTTCCGATTATCTCAAAAAATCGAACATAGGTAATTTTCATATCAACTGCTGGAGAATATCCTTGTTGATTGTACGTAGATACTTGTTGACGTATGTAGCTAAAGTGATATTTTATCTCCTGCTTGTGCTACTAGCACTACTTGCGCTTTTACCAATTTGTCGGGCCTTTTTATTTGTATAAGATGAAAATTAGTCCATGAAACTTTTAATGTGAAAATGATATATTAATTGTGCTATATACACCCTTGTCAAAAAGAAACACAAAGCGAATATTTGTACACGCATCTTGGTAAGCTACCAACCTCATTACCGGTGGATACATCCGCAGTGTTTCACTTATACACATGTCAAGGTACTGTAGTTTCTGCATATTCTCGTAGTCGATCCTTTCCTGTGTTAAAACATCATTTCCATTTGGTTACAATTATTGTATGTCAATAGAGAATACGCAACTAAAGGACTTGCAAGCTATGAAATGACGACCCAGCTTTCAATGTATCGGTATTTTTATTTGAAAACATCGAACCTACCAAACCAATCTCATCCTCAATCTCCTGACGTAGCTTTTCCTGGCATTCTGGGTTCATAGCGAGGTTGTATGCGTTCATTGCTAGTGTAATAGCCGTAGTTTCGTATCCCGCAGCGAAGATCATTTCTGCATTTGCCAATATTTCATCGAATGTTATACCTAAGAATAATATTGAAATATTAGCCAAGCAAATATACCGCACGGTTTCTTTTTCCACACGAAAGTATCATTTCATCAAGTATTATTGTTATATACTCTTCAGGTTTAAACGCTTATAGAAGAGGTTATAGCATTTTTTTAGTTTTGGCTGATAAAATGGCAAGACCAACAAAACTGGAATACAAAGACATTGAACGTTCCTTAAAGTCATTTAGGTTTAATGCAATATTTGAAAAAAAGCATGGTACGTTTAAAAAAAACTTATAAAGGTGTAGTCGTCATTGCTTGATTTCCCTAGGAGGTGTGGGTGAGGCTTTGATTGGCCATTCTGCTTTGAACGTTGCCTTTCTGTCTAGACTGGGTTTCCTTCTGACCAACGGTATTGTTCCTCTCCTCTTCGCCGTCCTCCCCATGCCTTCCTTAATGAGCATCCACCATTAATTGAAGAAAGTCTGTGCGAGCTGTTCACAACATACATATAAGGTACATAGCAAACACATAAGTATATCATATTCCCTACTACTCGATAAGACCAAATCCTTTTCGACAAAACATTATGTATCGAGTGGAGATATAGAACAGGTTTTTCGACTTCCAATGTCTATAGCGTAGTTAATGAGAATTTTACAAGAGCTAAAGGATACAACTTCAAAACGGATTTTGGATCCATGAGGAGGCCATGTTCCAGCAAGACCAGTACTGAGAGCATATCTATTATACCTTAAAGGTACTTGCATTACTGTTTTCCGTGAAAAAGGAAAGTCTGTGTTTGATACTAATTAGTAAACTCGGTGGTTCTGTTGTTGGTTACCTTTTGCACGTTTGGGAACGTGACACTGCTCATTTGGATTGACCAAAATTTACACTTAGAGTCTCATCGATAAAGCAAAAGACGCTTACCCTTATCTCTCTCTCTCTCTCTCTCTCTCTCTCTCTCTCTCTCTCTCTCTCTCTCTCTCTCTCTCTCTCTCTCTCTCTGGTACTATATGAGTTTTGGAAGTTTACTGATACTAGCCTCCTTCTCTCTCTCTGTCTCTGTCCTCTCTGTGTCTCTGTCTCTAAGCCATGCTGTCTTTTGGGAAAATACTTACTCTCTCTCTCTCTCTCTCTCTCTCTCTCTCTCTCTCTCTCTCTCTCTCTCTCTCTCTCTCTCTCTCTCTCTCTCTCTCTCTCTCTCTCTCTCTCTCTCTCTCTCTCTCTCTCTCTCTCTCTCTCTCTCTCTCTCTCTCTCTCTCTCTCTCTCTCTCTCTCTCTCTCTCTCTCTCTCTCTCTCTCTCCTCTCTCTCTCTCTCTCTCTCTCTCTTCTCTCTATATGCTCTATGTCTCTTAAGGAACTCTCTCTACTTAATCTCTCTCTCCTATATCTCAAGCTCTTTAATTGACGGAAAAACAATTAATGTATGAAATAGCATTTTACATTAAGGAAACCTGCTTGCAATTTTTTTATATTCTGTTCTAGTCAATTTTGTTTTAAATGTGTCACTGAGAGAGTATCTCGGATCAAATCAATTGCTTTGTATATAGATATGGCATAGATGTTCTCACATCAAGGATATAATAAGTGTGAATTGGTGCAGAAGTATACAGTGTACAGTTAAAATCACAGGATATAATAAGTGTGAAGCGTATTGGTGCCAAGTATACAGTGTACGACATGTACTAAATCACAGGATATAATAATGTGAAGCGGATATAATAAGTGTGCAGAAGTATACAGTGTACGAGACTGTACTAAATCACGGGATATAATAAGGTGATATAATATACAGTGTACGATTCTGTACTAAATCACGGGATATAATAGGTGTGAAGCGTATTGGTGCAGAAGTATACAGTGTACGAGACTGTACTAAATCACGGGATATAATAGGTGTGAAGCGTATTGGTGCAGAAGTATACAGTGTACGAGACTGTACTAAATCACAGGATATAATAAGTGTGAAGCGTATTGGTGCAGAAGTATACAGTGTACGAGACTGTACTAAATCACAGGATATAATAAGTGTGAAGCGTATTGGTGCAGAAGTATACAGTGTACGAGACTGTACTAAATCACGGGATATAATAAGTGTGAAGCGTATTGGTGCAGAAGTATACAGTGTACGAGACTGTACTAAATCACAGGATATAATAAGTGTGAAGCGTATTGGTGCAGAAGTATACCGTGTACGAGACTGTACTAAATCACAGGATATAATAAGTGTGAAGCGTATTGGTGCAGAAGTATACAGTGTACAAGACTGTACTAAATCACAGGATATAATAGGTGTGAAGCGTATTGGTGCAGAAGTATACAGTGTACAAGACTGTACTAAATCACAGGATATAATAAGTGTGAAGCGTATTGGTGCAGAAGTATACCGTGTACGAGACTGTACTAAATCACGGGATATAATAAGTGTGCAGGGTATCGGTGCAGAAGTATACAGTGTACGAGACTGTACTAGATCACAGGATATAATAAGTGTGAAGCGTATTGGTGCAGAAGTATACAGTGTACAAGACTGTACTAAATCACAGGATATAATAAGTGTGCAGGGTATCGGTGCAGAAGTATACAGTGTACGAGACTGTACTAAATCACAGGATATAATAAGTGTGAAGCGTATTGGTGCAGAAGTATACAGTGTACGAGACTGTACTAAATCACAGGATATAATAAGTGTGAAGCGTATAGGTGCAGAAGTATACAGTGTACGAGACTGTACTAAATCACAGGATATAATAAGTGTGAAGCGTATTGGTGCAGAAGTATACAGTGTACGAGACTGTACTAAATCACAGGATATAATAAGTGTGAACACAGAAGTATAATAGTTATCGAGACTGTACTAAATCACACGATTTAATATATATATTGGTGCAGAAGTATACAGTGTATATAAATCACAATATATATGTGCAGGGTATCGGTGTATACAGTGTACGAGACTGTACTAAATCACAGGATATAATAAGTGTGCAGGGTATCATTGCTCGGCGAAATTCTATTTAAGGGGTTGAACAGGGGAGATATATATTCATCACGATAACATCCGTTTTTTTTTCTTCAGTGGTGAGATATTCAGGCATGTATGATCATGGAACTAATACATATGGTCTTACTAATGAAGAGTAACCAAGGCGTTGTAAAACTGATGTCTAGCATTTTCTTGGCATGCTTTACGAACAAGTCGTCTGGATTGCCCTGTGAATCCACATGGATACCGAAAGCCGTGGAACTGATCACATCCATAGTGAAACCACCAAATAATCTACAATGTATTGACGGATAAGTGGTGAAAATGCTTAATCATATAATAAAGTAATGCATTTTATCAATAAGTAGTAATAACAAATTAGTCAATAATATAACACAGTACTACAATTTATCAGTCAAGTTTTGATCATATATTACTGTTTTACATTTTATCAATTAAGTAGTAACACAATATCTTATCAGTAAAATACACGTAAATATATATATACTAAATATCCATATAATAAATATATATACAAACTGATGTATACAGTTGTGTATATCTTATGAGAAACATATATACCAGTAGAGGTGATCCATTACTATATTTTATCAATCAAAGGTATGTAAAAACAAATCTTGAATATACTGCACAATCTTTATAACAACAATCTACATCTAAGTAAACGGAAAACTTTGTTAAACAGCAATATACTCTCTAGTAACTTCAACGAAATAATTCTACATATAACATTGTATAAGTTATAAACCTAACGTCATAATGTAAATTTATCTTATAGAAAAGAAGTTCTTATCAGTTAAATTCATCTGATAGAATAGAAGTTCTTATCAGTTAAATTTATCTTATAGAATAGAAGTCCTTATCAGTTAAATTTATCTTATAGAATAGAAGTTCTTATCAGTTAAATTTATCATATTCATATTACATAATATAATTTCTTAGAAGTAAATTCATCTTATAGAATAGAAAATATCAGTAAATTTATCTTGTATAGATTATGAATCTAATGACACCTTGTCAAACAATCATTTTTTTAATATAATGTCTTAATAGGAATGATTATTTTTTCCGTTGTGATAAACAAACAAATCGTATATCAAAGTATGTTTCTTTTGTAAAACAGTCACTCACTTATTTCCTGTACAGATACATCTAACATAAAAAAATAACTTGCCCTCTCATTTCTACTTGATCATCGTCCCCACACCTTACAGCATCACGACAGGTTTTCAGCAAAGTGTCACACGCTTTCTGAACTAACGGCACAATCTACATTTAGACATTGAAATTTTTCCATGTAAGTTACTTAGTATTTTACAATATATATATATATATTATCTTGAGGGAATAATAAAATACTTAATGAATTGTAGTTTTTGCTTAACAATGAAAGTTTGCTATAATACCAATTAAGCTCTTCATTATCCATTAAAACATGTTATTAATTACATGTACATACTTTGCGTAGTTTTCTAGATGAAAATGTCGGAGAGATCACACTCCTGTCATGTTTCCAGTGTTCCCCTTTGGTATTAAAAAGGCTGTGTTCAATGTCTCCATTGAAGTCTTTAATTGTCTACAATATTTGTATGCACCATTAGTTACAAAGAATTTAAAGAGTCCAACAGAAAATTGACTTAATTGTTGAAAAATATCTAAGACGCAGACTCAAGGCACAGCAGAAACGTCGCATATTTGAACCATTCTAAAGAGGGGTTTCTTCACAGTTGCATGGGAGTTTAATTACTGAAAGGCGACAAGTGGGTTTAAACTGAAGTAGTACATACATATATTCCTTTAGGTCTCCCTTCAGCAGAACATTCGAAGTCGATGTAGTCGATATATCTTCATACTAATCATCGAAACGCCAGAGTATTTTAAAATGTTATCGAAAGGTAGCTGACTTGAATTCCCTTGCCCGTCATTTAATAAATATGTTAATACGACATGGAAAATTAGCAAAACAATAACTTAGTTAAACATACCCGTCTATCTGGAAAGTTATTAAACTGCTTAACGAGAATATCCCTCAGCATCTCCTTGTCTGCTACAACAAGATTCGGATTAATCATATCGTAAGTTCTGCAAAATGAAAAAAAAAAGGATAATTGAAAACTAACCTAGAAAACATTATTTACAATTGATCCTACCACTGGGTAATGTTGGTGCGGGATGTATCTATAGTGATCCTACCACTGGAGCATGTGAGATGTACCGACCACTGGACCATGTGAGATGTACCTACCACTGGACCATGTGAGATGTACCTACAGCAATCCTACAGCAATCCTACCTCTGGAGCATGTGAGATGTACCTACCACTGGACCATGTGAGATGTACCTACAGCAATCCTACCACTGCTACCACTGGACCATGTGAGATGTATCTACAGCAATCCTACCACTGGACCATGTGAGATGTACCTACCACTTGACCATGTGAGATGTATCTACAACAATCCTACCACTGGAGCATGTGAGATGTATCTACAGCAATCCTACCACTGGAGCATGCTGGAGCGGTATGTATCTATAACATTATTATACAACCGTCGCCGACCATCCTATGCTTACTTATTGTATAATGTTAAGCATGTGAAATTTTCTCTTATTCTTACATCTATCATATAAAAGCGTTTTTGCTTTGAATAAGATTTAGTTACAAGTTAATTATACCGATGATTTGTGTTTAACACAGATTGTTTAACGAGTCAAATGCTATGCATCTATAATCCTTTCAACATACCCGAAAACTTTGCCATATTTACGTGTCCCTTCCAGGTCGAAAGTACGATGACCCTGAAACGAAAGTGGAGATAATTCAATGTTGTTTACTAAACTAGCAGTTGAAAAATTAATGTTATCTTCTTTCTTTTCTTTCATTACACTTTTATTAACTCTTTGATAAATTACTGTTGATATTAACCTTTAACTCCACTGAAATGTCTTCTATATCTCACCAAACGTGTATACCCCAAACAGAAAGCAATAGCAAGGTATACTTACCTGTCTAACTATTTCCACCAGGTTACCGACAATAGGTAGAGGGGTAGGTCCTGGTATCCCCATCTTCCAGAAGGTGAAGTAGTCACGACTCATCATGCTACAATAACATTATCATATTAATCATACTTATTCCCTAGTAGTAGGGTTAGTGTATTACCAGTATACCACTAGCCGTGTAATTTCTCTCTCGGATCTTAAGGCTTACTCCAGATCATTATTTATAGTCAATGATATTAGGACAAAAACAAAACGGCTGATAACATTTTAATAAAGAAAGGGATTTGTTGTAAAAATCAAAACTTTTACTAAACAGCGGAAACCTGAGAATTCAGAAAGACTGTACATTATTTAAATATCATTTCTCATATTATTCCAGGAACTCTAAACAAGTAAAACATATTTTCAGGCGCTTGGTGGCTGATTTAGTTGAGTCTTTTTTACGTTGTCTTTAAAGGACGAAATCAGCCAATGCGCGACTGGGACTCAGTTTTACCAAGTTAGAGACATTTGATTGTGGCCCTGGAGGTTTAAATTAAAAGTTTTAAATATATGAAAGAAATCTGCATTTATTTGTTTTCCTGAAAACTTCCAGAAAATACCACGTGCTTTGGTGACCTCATCTTTCACTGATTTCTGGTTGTAATGTATCATATGTTTTAAATGACAGCACTTCAGTCATGCCAATGGATACTTAAATTGATTATTTAAAGTTGAATTCTATATCAAAATATTATTTTTTCACCTTTAATAGGTGGTTGACTGGCTGAAGGTATGATTACAGAATACATCATGTTCAGAGTCTTCACGGTGCACAAGACTGAATAAACATGCAGGCAAGTGCATATTTTGATAATATAATACAATGTACTTTGCCTTTGTTTTTTGTTTTTTTTTTTTACCCACAATGGCAAGTTTACCAAGTTTGATGCGCAGCATCCTGAGCAAGGAAAGTCAATCTTACAAACTGAGTCGACCTCAGACATCAGGTAACGGCCCTCACACTAATTATTATGCCAAGGAAAGATAACAAAAGGTAAATTTAGATTTGATATATTTAATACGCACACGAAAATTTTACATCAAGTTCAAGATATTTGCCATTAAGATAATTTTCAAAACACAGATATGTCTCAGCGCAATACGCACATTCTCAGCACTGTTCTTAGAACATATCTTAACACAAAGTCTCGTGATTGTCAACTGTACATTTATAGGTAATACTTAATAATTAATAGGGAACACATGTGTTTGCATCAAGCAATATCTTCTGATCCTGTGCCGTTCTCTTGTCACTATAAATGCTAATTGTCTTTTATACTGTTTATGATATGTCTGTTTCTTTCTAAGGAACACAATTCGTCTGACAACATATGATCCACTGACCAAAGCACTGCCGATGACGTTTAACCTCAACAAAACAGAGTCTGCAATACCAAAGTTACACAGATGAACAGAGGTGTGCATCCTTACTAGGAAGTTGTGATAACAAGTCATCATCTTCGAATTTGTTTTCTGCAGCCTGCGGTTGATATCTGATTACTGATAAGTAATTTATTGCTGCCCAGACACTCGGTGCTGAGGTAAAGGAGCACACATTGTATGAACTGATGCTCAACTTCAGGACTGAGACAAATTTATGCCCTTTCTGGCAAACATGTCTTATTCCGGTGGTTGTCTGTTAATCCTTGGAAGCAATAGCTGTACTCAGCACATATTTTCCCATCAATTCCTTTTTAGCACTGTATCATGGCTATAGACACATTCATCTTCATCTGTTCTATGTTTGTTTTCTGAATTATGTGTGTCCGTTCCAATTCCATAACATGCCTGTTACGGACATCCGTTGCCATTCAGGACTTCAGTGTTCCAAAGGATAGACCTCGGGAATCCTTGACCATGCTTGCACTGTATTCCCCTCTTCATAGATTTCACAGAGTGTTGAGGAGATCTTAACAGGATTTACATGCAGAATTTGATTTCTTAATTCCGGTGTAAGACTTGCTGTCTTCATCTGTGGTCAGGAAGTTGACTTCCGCATTGTCAGCAACAAGTACTCGAACCAGGATGACCCAGGCTTCCTCATTCCCTTTGTCGACATCTTCCGACACATTACCTGTACAGGTACCTGTGTGATTCAGACAGGTTACTTTCCCCCCACACCGTGTTATGTACTTGGCTCATTCCCCGAACACCAACTTTGCCAACTTGAAAGGAAGGTGTTTTTATAGGGAATCCTTTGAAGCTAAAGTTATAGTCTGTTTCAACTAAGAATGTCAACTTATTTTGTAAATAGGATACTTACATATCATTAATGAAATAGATAAAGTTTCTATTTGTCTTAATTAATTGTAACACGATTTTTAGCATATAAAAGTATTTTAAAATAGTTATTAGATATCAATATTTAATATTATTATTCTTTATTTAATTATCATATAATTATTTTAATTAATAAATAAAATTCATTAAGTCACATTGACATACTGGTGTCAGCAATTAAATTGAATTGGAAACTGTATCCAAGATGGAGAAGCTCGAATGCTGAATCAGCATAGGCCATCAGGTCGATAGTCCCAGTCTGATGACGGTTCTTTCAGGTGGTCAGGCGTCTGCCAATGTTGGCATATTTCTTCTTCCGTGATTAAATGGTGCTTCCTGCATCTCTCCGAATCCGGCTGATGTCATTCATATTCTGTATGTCCTTCAGCGTCTGGATGATGGTGTAGATGTTGGGGTGGACATGCAGTACATTCTTCTTCAGTTTCCCGTGCCAAGCCTCAAGATGGTCGGTAGTCCGGGGTCCCTCTGTTGATATGTGATTCCAGGTTGTTCGATCTCCCTCTATCCATTGCTCAGTGACATAATATGTGAATGACAACACGGAATGTGGGTTGTCAGCATAATCGGCTTCTTCATGGGTTTGTAACCAGACGTCCTTAATGCGATTTAAGGGGATGAGTGCCAGAACAGCAGCTCAGATGCTGCAAGTTCGGCAAGGTTCTCTGATGTAGCGAATGCTAATCCTGTTGTTCTGTTCACCGTCTTCAAAGAGGACAAATGGTTCGCCTGTAGATGTTTCTGTCCATCCATGTTGATGTCGGCCAAATTCTTTGGTAGTGGAGGAGTAACTTGGGTGGTTCCCTGGTATAGAGAACGGTCTCCACTGCAAAGTGGGTTGTTGTATCTCCTGCCAATCTCAGTGTTCATACGTTCCGGCTTCTCCAGTACACATGGTTTGCTGTCAGCTACAATTTTCCTTCGCACTTGTTGATTTTGTTCTTGCTGATATTGTTTTCTCCAACATGGTTAGTTGTTTTCTGCAATCCAGTATGAGAGCGTGGAATTTCTTTTATTGTAAAGCTTCATACTGATGCAACCATAAGTGCAGTCTGCATGCCAAAGTTCAGTTGGTTCTGTCGACGGTCTCTCCTTGGAGTCTCATCTTCTTTCCTCCTATCCTAATACAGCTTGTTTGACAGTGAAGCTTTTCTGTCCAACCCCATTTCCCCTGTCATGCGTTCGTTGAGTCAAATCGCAAATAGCCTGTGCAGGTTTTGTGCTGCCAGCCGCATTCCATATTTTCTCTAAATCTGCATGTCGATATGGTTTGTAAGTATAACTGTCCGGATGCTGATCATCAGGTTCCATGCAGGAATCTAAAGCTCCTATTGTCAGAGAATCGTCATTTTCATTGGCATATAATTAAAGTTCCTGTAGTGTCAGTGTCTCTAATCCTGTCTAAGTGGCAGCTAATTGGTTTTGGTGTATATCAAATAACCGTTCATGACCAAGATACTTCAAGAAAAATCTGAGAGAAATTTGAATGCATGAACAGATTGTACAACGATACTTTTTCAAAATTACTTCAGTAAGATTTGATAAAGAAATTAGTTAAAATTCCATTTGAAATCATTGAATAAAAATATTGAAGTTTTGAAACAATACTCCATGTGGTACATAAATGTTGTATGAACATGTAAAACGTTGTGGACCATAGTAGTAAATTGATTGTTCGGTGACAGTTTAAATATAGGCACTTGAATTAAAAAATATCCTGATTTTAACTCCAAAAGGCATCGTGGCATCAGGGGATCTCTATAATTAAGAATAAGATTTCCACAAATTCATCAGGCTTACTCGGCATTGGATTAACTTTCAAGATACCACCGGCAATGACCTACCCTTAGTGTATATTCATGCTGCTTAGAGGTATCGCAGCTCTTAAACATAGGTGTGATTACGTACACAGCATTGAATCACCTGTAAAACGAAGACGTGTTATTTTGTGCATTGACACGTAAATAAGGTAAACGAGGTTAAGTGAACATTGGAATGACACAGTGTATACTGAATATATGACAGTCTCCGTTTAAGGTATGGTGTCTGATAGAGTGGTTGTGTTACGCTGTTGGCAGCTAAAACTACATGTGTCTCTGTGCAAACAATCATGGAATGACACATTGTATGCTGAACATATGACAGTCGCCGTTTCCGGTATGGTGTCTGAGGATGTAGTTATGGTCTCTGTCCGACATGTATTGTTTCTATTATTACCTTTGCACATTTTTAAATGTGCTATTACATATCTGTATATCAGCTGATTTTTGTTTTCGAGTCAGTGATTATTTTTCAGACATAAAACACAGAATAATGATCAAGTATCCTTGTATGTTTTTGCGTCGAATTCTGGAAACAGCTCTCTGACTTCCCGTCTCAATGGTTACTGATTATCAAGTATGTCTATACTTTGTAAATATACAATGTTTTAGTAAGTTCTACCAATAAATTACTTAATGTTATACATTCACATATATGACATACTTACACCGTGTAAAACAGAAAAGCCACCAGAGTCAGAACAGCCCACACAGGTACTTCTATACCAAGAACCTCCATTTCCGTGTGTCATGTGTTGTCGATCTGTTGCTTTCAGCTGTTCGTGTAATTATTTACATTTTTTTCTTTGACTTAAGCAGTATCCAATGGCTTTCCGTGCTAATCATGTTTGTAACACCATGAGTAGTAAAAGTTTAATGTAGAACAATGTTACGGAGGACCAAGTGTATACTTCTGTAACTCAGGTAATCACTATATGAATAAAGAGCCCAACCCAAATACCACGTGTCGAATTTTATTTTGCATCACGGCTCAGACCTCGGAAACTGATTACCCTACTGTCTGAGGCTGACTCATTCCCCTACCTTCCTCCAGGTACTTCTACAAACAATAAGCAATTGGCGCACACACCATTGTGGAAGCATTGTAGACCAACGACACACATGACGTTTGACACAAGCGGTAGTTTAAACATTGTAATCAATCGAAGGTGTCATAAATAGTATACATGTTAAGATGTGTATAATGTGGTGATGACTGACAGAACTCGGTGGTCACTGACAGAACTCGGTGATCACTGACAAAACTTGATGTCGACCGATAGAACTCGGAGTTTTACATGTAAAATATTTCTATTACATATTATGACCCTATCACCTTTGTCTTAAGTTAACTTTTTGATGTTGCCAGGTTGTAAGGTTGGATTCATTATTGAAATATGTTTACTAATGGTGTCGGGTATTCAGAATCAACACATTCTTTCATTATTCTTTTCCAATTAACTTATATCTAATACTGACAACTGAGTGTAAACAAAATGTGTAAACTAGTTGTTATCATAATGTTAGAGAGTAAAAAGTAAAGTGTTTAAGATTCCACAAAAGTGACATCATTAAATTACACTTTTTTTAAGTTCGAAAAACTTCGAATCAAGAGACAAACAATAATTTTAACTGCATCACAAAACTGTTTGTCCCTAGAACCTCATCAGTGATGATAAGATCTTAAATATGTTAATGTTAGTATCAGATATTGCTTTGATGGAGGGTGCACTTATCAAAAATATAAGGAATTTCATAGCATCCAAGCATTGTACTTATGTATATTCCAAACCATATTACTTTTCGATCGAATCAAAACTAAAGTCTACCACACGCAGTCTCAAAGATTTAGAGTTAGATCTCGCTTATGATAGTTCAGTTCTTTGTTATTGCAAATAGTCCTTCCTGTAGTCGAAAAACTACCATGTGGTAATCTACAAAAACACAAGCTATATGAATTTTTATTCTATGGAAATGTGTCAATTTCTTCTTCTTCTTCTTCTTCTTCTTCTTCTTCTTCTTCTTCTTCTTCTTCTTCTTCTTCTTCTTCCTCCTCCTTCTTCGGCTGCAGAATGCATTGTTACGCACGGCTGGGATCACAGTTCTTAAACTCAACCAATGTCCATCATCTCATTCACACTCGATTTACAAGTGATAGACAGGACGGGTGCAATTTGGAAACTTTTCTATTACAGCCACTAACCTCGATTATTTCCTTTAACGAAACCAACAGGGACGGCTGTATGTTTAAATATGTAATGAATTTATATATACTCAATGGACAAAGAAACTTTCAAGATAATTCTGGACAAGACGTCGAGTATAATTTTTAATAATTTTCTATAACAATGTTTTCCTCGATCATTTTTGAATAAGGCCAGAAGAACAAAACAATCTCAAATTCGGAAATATTACAATATTCAACAATACTAAAATCAAATCAAATGAAAATCATACTGTATGTTTGAATTTTAATTCTAAAATGTGTTCGTTTAAATCATTCAATGTGACTGTGACATGTGAACATAAGTATGGAGCTCATTATCAGCTGGTTACACTGACTGTGACACGTGTACATAAGTATGGAGCTCATCCTCAGCTGGTTACACTGACTGTGACACGTGTATCGAAGTATGGAGCTCATCCTCAGCTGGTTACATTGTGACTGTGACACGTGTATATAAGTATGGAGCTCATCTTCAGCGGATTACAATGTGACTAGATTGACTTTCAAACGACATTTAACAACCATATGGCTTAGTTCATTATCCTTGACAGTTTCTTTTATGTTTTAGTTTGTCATTTAATACCGTCGATTACTGCAAACTGCAATTGGATTGAGATGAACGACATGTACATTGTATTTGAAAATAAACATTTTTGAACCTGAACTGAATGTTATGTTACATGTCGGAGCCATGTATGTATGTTCCTTTGGAGTTTTTCTTTACTGGTAATGGTCAAATGGCATAGAAGCATTCCAATGTATACCAGAAATTGGAACCTTCATTAAATTGTGTTACACAGAAATAAGGCTATATATATACGTATCTCTTTTTTCAGTGGCGTCATGCGCAGTGTAAACAAAATTGAGGAGACAACAGTCGTGACTCTAGTCGATGCAAAATCGAACCACTGAAAACATACTTAGATAAGTCTACATGAAAGTGATTATTATGGTTTTTGAGTTTATCATGTATCTTTGGTTGTGTTTTTAAAATGCCCAGAAGGTTTAGAAATATAACCGTCGCACGAGATGACATTTTTTGCGCACTTCGAAATGGTTTTGCAGAGAAACGTAGATGCTTTAGACATTAAATCAGTGTTAAATAAATAGTTAGATGTTGATTTGTTATACAATCAGTGTAAATTTATACTTATTTCATTAGCACGGGTTGACGGACACATTTTCTGTAAAAAGGTATCAATTTGGGTAGCGTCACGTTAGATAGGACCCAAAGTTTATGGAATTCATAGATATCAAAGTTACCACCGAAAGTGGATACATCCACTCATGTCAAGTACTGGAGTTTCTGGATAATCTCATAGTCGATCTTTCTCTATAGAAAGCACCGAGTTATCACATTAATTCTTCCAGAGGTTTTCAATGCAATGGTTATTTCGAACAAAAAAAATGCCTTTTTAATCTTTGCTTAGTTTACGTAGCTACTGCTTGTATTGTATGCATTCATATTTAGGTTTAGGTTTAGAAACAGCAAAGAGTATTTCTGTATTCGGAATAATTCTCTCTAATATTACGCCCACGATATAAAAATCTCATCATTTTAATAAAGCAAATGAAACACGTTATGGAAACAGTTATCTTACTGAAGTATCATTCATTCAGTTCGTATGATATCAGTTATGTCCATCCAAACATCACTAATAGGACAACAACTAGTAACGAGGGAGTCTAGGATTACCAATGTTTATCATTGGCTGATTCCAAAAGTGTTTAAATGCGCCATCAAAAGATTAATGGTCACATTTTGTTACATGTGTCAACAAGAAAACCTGTCTAAATGAATAACGACGGACTATTGTGTCGTGATCCATGTTACTTTATACGAATGTGTTAGAAAAATAATAAAGGAAATGCCAACATCTTTACTCGATCTAAAATTTAAAAAAGAAAACTAGAGCAAAATATAATCGAAAGAATTATTATACAACGAGAATAAGACAATGTTCCGGAAGAGTAAGTGTCTTCTTCTTCTGCTGCCGATATTTATCAATATAGACGTAACGTTACGTCCCTGAAAATCATTCATTTGTGTGTTTCATGTATATTTTTAGTTAGCCAAATTCAATTTTCTGAAGTTACCTTCTGGATCTCAACACCACCGTCCTTAATGAATCTTAGATAGACGAAACCTCTGCTTGATGCAATTCATGTAGTATTTGTGACTCTGTAATGTATCTCTGCCTTAATTCATATTGGAAGTTGATATACATATGATCTTATATAAGTTTTCATTTCATACTAGATCTAAGGAAACGAGAAGCTTTCATTCTACAAGCCGTTTGCAATTCTCCGTATTATCACATCACAGTCGATTTGTGACTGGCTCCGGAGTTCCCGAGTGACATAAGCGCTTGATTAACATAAGTGATTCACTGAATAACAGACGGATTATGTGATTTATTTTTCTTCACTACAATTATTTCGCGATCTCAAGCAACACAATACAAAAACCATGTGTAACGTATAAACAGGTGTAATGATAACGTTGTCGATCCGACTGTCTCATTACCTTCGCTTTGTGGCGTCCCGACAGGTTTTCATTAGTGTGTCACACCCTACCTGAACTAATGGTACCATTGCAATCACATTTTTCAGAATTCCAATCACTATTTACAAATGCTTACAAAGGATTATCTATACAAATTTGGCATTATCTACAACATATGCGTATTAAAACATTGGGAATATTAAAAAAGAATTGTAGAAAAGATATACCAAGGATGAGAAACATTATACAGCCAGAAACATTAAAATACGGAAGCATGATTCAGAATATGCCTCTGTAGCTAACGACCTTCAGAAATAATCTTATTTTAGATTACAAAACATATCATGATATCTTATTATAGATGTTTTATACCAACATCGTTTGTTTGTTCTAAAGTTATCTGATAAATGAAAATTAGAAACTGAATTATTGGGCTTTTACATCTCCCTTTCTGAATTTTGATATAACTTTCGATTACTTTCAATGTTCCTCAGTTGCCTCTTAGATTTAACATTTAGACCTTTAGCATCACTGATCCTAGAGGATCCTAGAGGGACCACACAGCAGCATGATGTAGTTCACTTCATTGTTTGGTTCTACTGTATCGTATCCGAATTTCCATGAAATGGTCCTATTCAATTGTTTGTTATTTGTAAATCTTCGCCATGAACCAATGCCCATATGCCATGTTTGAATTTGATGTTGGAGAGATAATACTTCTGTCATGTTTAACTGGTCACCTTTGGAATTAACAGTAGTCCATATCTCCATTGAAATCATCAACTGTCTAGAGCATTTTAAAGCTTAAATGTAGCATCATTTATAAAATGAGTTCATTATGTTATGGACTGCTTTTTCTTAGTATTTTAGAAGGTAGTCGCCGTTTGACATGGTTTGTGATTCTAGAAACTTATTCAAAGGCATTAGTCTCCAACATCTGAGGTTACGATAATAAAGAATTAAAAAATCAAGGAAAAAATAACATGGCAACACAATCATAATTCAA